TCATGTTCGCATTTTTTGTAATTTAGAAAAACAATTTACTTTTCAAATGTGCGTTTTAAGAGTATTAATTTCATAAAATATAATTTTGTGTTTGATTAATCATGGAAGGGTAATAACAATCGTTAAAGCCGCTTTTGAGAAAAGTAAACAACACACAATGCATCGATTGGGAGCGAAATTGATACTGTAGCTGAATAAATCATAGAAAGTTCGTGATTAACACTCAAGGCTCTCGCAAATTTTGACAGGTCTTTTATTCCACTGTATCATGTATGTAGTGGGCTAAAAGAGTCACGAAATGATGTCATGCTTGCGTGATTTTTATTTTTAAAATGCCCGATTATTGTGTGGAATCACTGTGGATAGACAAACATGCGACGTGGAACAAAACTTACCAGGTCAAGCTTAGTAAATCTCGCGAGAGTTATTAAAGTGTGTACACGTCTAGCGACTTTTCTTCCCAACCAGTACGATCCACGTTATCCAGTATTACGCATCCCAAGTGCGCCTTTCACTGCTGGCGATTGGAGTATATCATTACAGATTCTTACACACTACAGCGGATGCACTTGATTCACACTAGTTTATATTATTCTGAATAAAAATGGACGCACGCACAACCATCACCGAGTGCACGACACTTAATCGCTGACTGAAAATGAATAAAATTTTCACGCGCCTACTCATCATAATGTCATGCTGCATAGATAGATGCTCCGTTCAGTCGGAAGTTATGGGATAATTAAATAATGTTTAAGCACAACATGCCGACAATGAGCGGGCTGGCATGTCAGATGTGTTTATATATTGTCGAGCTTGGTTCGCGCGTCTCGAGTGGATCCTGATCTGACTCACTGAAATAAATTGGCACGCAATAAGCAAATAAATATTTGACTCACTCTTTCGATTTCCTAATGATTTTTGCGTGTACGTGTTTGGAAATAATATTAATTTGTAGTTTAATTTGCATAGCGGTTACAGTTTATGCATTTTGGTCCTCTGGAAAATTTTTCTTCCAACTGGATTCTGCAACCATAATTTTTAAATCTATCCAGCGGTACATCAATGATCAGATCGTCAAATGCATCCAAATTGGAACATAAATTTCAGAATGCGATTAGGCTTTTACGCTTATTTCGGTGGGCTTTATTTGCACCAGCTCAGCTCCTACGAGTAGGTTTTTATTAATTTATAGTGCTTCATTTTTTGCTAGGCCTGGCCTGGCCATTCTGCTGCATCAGTGTTACAGTCAAACAGCTACTAAAGTCGTCATTTGGCACTTTAATCTCCAGGATGACTACGATAATACCGGTCATTAATCCAGTAATGTGTAAAAAACCGGGCGGACAAGAGTGGATATAATGATGCCTTTCGCCGCGGGCAGATATCATGTAGTTTGTTAGGAGAAGACCGGCGATAACGAGCAGCCGGCATCCAGAAGTTTTGCATTGGACATTTTTCTCCAGTTGAAAGGCCAAATGAACTCTCAGTTTACATGGGTCACAAAAGATTAAGTTTGTTCTTGAATACAACTCAGAGATCATCGGACTTGAATCGTCATCATCGTCCAAGACAAGTCGATTTTTCTAGCAAATCCGATTTGATTTGCTGACTGCCGCCACCGTCAGTTACTGTTAATAATCTGCAAGATGGTAACGTTAACGGCTCTGTTAATTCTCTCTTAATCAAAAACAAAGCCACGAATTAGAGATTAAGTTTTTATAACAATTTAAAAACTGCAGTAGAGCTCTAACTGCAATTATGCACAACCGGAAATACAATTTTACGCCCATTTATTACCAAATTTTTAATATATGTATACCTATAAATATATTCCATTAGTAGTTTAGTCTTAGTTAAAAGCTTAGTCATATATTCATGTTGCATTGGACTTTCTGAGCACGTGCGCGCATCATTTTTCATAATCGAATGTGGACTTGCTAATGGACATCATTGCATCGTAAAATAACATTATCATCCGCGTCCTCTTTAGCCTAAATTCCCTCTCGCACACCGTCGAAGCGGATGAATCAGTACATCCTGCTCCATCAAACCCCCACCATGCGTATTATGACAGGCAAATTAAAACCGTACCGATATCATAAAAGTTTTACGATAAAACCTGTCAGATGGGACAGCACACAATGAAGATGGACTAGCCACATGAGACTGCCGTCCAAAGCCGACTGCCCCCGAAACCGACAGATTACCCAAACTTATCCTAATGAATAACTGGTCATAGTGAGTCTGACGAGCTCTTATTATGCATGTGGTCGCGCGTCCATTTCCCGGGAAAAATCAAGTGTTTAGTTTGCAGGACAGCTAGTGCAGCAGCTGCTGCGGCAATTGTACTTCCTGTCTGTCCCTTTTATGACCGTTTGCTAATGATGCAAGATCATCTCAAGTAGCCATTGTTCTGACTGGAATGGTCGAGATCAGACGCAGCCGGTGCTCATCACAGAAAAGAGAGAGACAATTAGAGCAACAGGCTGCAGATGGATTTAGGCGTTGCCCAGCACGCGCGCAACTGGTCAGCTGAGGACAGCCAGCAGGTAAACTGCGTGCTCATGCCAAACGTGTCCTCAAGTGGACCGTACAATGAATGAACAGATAAGATCAGACATTATCCAGCCCTAAACTGCGGATGCATCATTAGTGGTAATCGTAGGAGAATGCCGTAAAATGAATATCTTTGGATAGAATAACTGATCATGAATAAGTGAACACTGCAGTAAAATTTCGATAGTGTAATGGTACAAAAATACAAACTATCAGTTTATTATGTTTAAAGCAAGCTTTTCTAGACTATTTAGTCAAGTAAACTGACAGCATGATTCGCTCAAATATGTAATTTATTTTACATGCATTAAAGTTATATTATTGTGACAACTGCACCCGGTTATTTTGCTGAATTAATATATACAATAAATACTAAGCTAAATTGTTTGTCTCATTTGTGAGCGCATTCGAGGAAATTCGATATGTGTCCCATTAGCAATCGTGTAAACTCTGGAAATTCACGCTGAAAAAGCTGAAAAGGAATAATCGATTGAAAATTTCCCTTGTACAAATAAAGTGAAAAGAATGAGCGAATCGACAACATCTTCCGCAGTTCATAATCAACGCTAAAAAAGTTCAGTGTATTTTGTCCATAAAAGCCAGAAATGTTTGCCAGGTACTTACAACATTTCGTAAATCAACAAATGATTATCGATTGTGCCGTCTACACAGTGCCGGTCCATAGTGTTTTATGTAATACATCGAGCTCGTTGATAGAGTTTGTCTAATCTTGATTTGAATCCCGGGAAGAAATACGAGCTGATATCTGTTCAATCGGTAATTTAATTACGCCAACAATATTCCCTATAAAAGATCAGCATGCCTTCCATATTCCTTCCAATGTAATTACTTTCTGCACAACGGGTTGTTATGATGAATGTTTACACATGTACGCAGGCACATCGATCATGAATATTATAAGAACGTCTAAAATTGTATCATGCTGCTGACAATCTTTGCGGCGCAGAAAATCTATAAATTTATCTACATATTTACGGAGATATGAGCAAAATCAGCAAATTACCGCCAATATTTCACATGCATGCTGTATTGCATTTGTATCGAATAAGCCTTTAAAACACCATGCGAAACAATTCTTTCGGCTTTGCATTTATGGTAATATTCCGGTGTGGGATTGTAATGTAGCCACTCGCGTTCCAAAATGATTAACAGGTTTCTGCTCGAGAGAAACAAGGCCACCGCTAATCAGCCTAGCAGATGGTCATTGCATTGACATTTCGGACATATACACTGGCATTGTTTGCCTTCGCGCACGTAGACGCACTTTTGGTCAGGAAAATTGCTGGACGCTTTAAATATCGGCGTTCGAGGCACGTGGCACGCTGGAATATAAGCCCACAAATATATATCCTCGGCATCAATGACACCTGTTCATCGTTCCCGTGCATGCACACACACAGGACTGCATATATACGTCAGAATACATTATAAGATGCAGCTGACCTCGTTGGCCGGCTTCATTACAATAGTGGAAATTGTTTCTAGCAATTGAACAAGCGCACATTCTAGGTGTGTTCTTGACAAGACCCCCTTCTTCTGCTCATTTACTGCTTGACTAGGTGTCCGGTTACCGGCAGACTGTATTAGACCGTCTTCCAACTGTCCTGCAGGATCACCCTGTGTCTGGCAAGGTTACAGAGTTTAAAAACATGTCACGCTGCGGAAAGAAAATGATTTGTCAGGTTTTTACTGCCGAGGTTAATTTATGTTAAATCACCGGGGATTCTTCGAGAAAATTAGTTTAATTTGAAAACTGCGCTAACGCGATATGTGGTCGATTTGACAATCGAATTTTAATCGAAAAAATCATTTTTCAATATACGTTTATGAGCGCTGCGGTTAGGGCGTATATATTTTATCGGTAAAAATTATTACCGTACTACGCATGGTTAGCTGGGCATATGATGCATAAAATTAAACGTCTATGTACATTTGTAATTCAATAGCCGTTCTTTAAATGCGGCAACGTCTGCCAGACTAAACCGCGAAATATGGCATATTATTATCCAAGTGTTACATCTGTTGTTTGGATGGGTACTTGATTTTCCCGTGTTAACTTTACACAATTCCCTTGCAAATATCGGAAAGTTCTCTTTCAGTCGTTTTGGCTTCCTAATAAAAGCCTACTGATTTTGTAAATTTATCCAAACCGTACAGCAATTCAATTATACCCATCCACTACGGTGTGCTGGAGCGTATCGGCAGACGCCACTCTTCTACCATCTGTCAGGGTAATGCCGTGAGGCGGGGCCAGCCAATGGTGCGGCGCTGAAGGTGGAGTGCGCCAATCCGCAGCCGGATCCAGGCGTACGGAGGGATGCCGGCGGCGTGTATCGATTGGCAGTGGTTTTCTTTTGGGGAGATTGTAATGATGGGAAAAGTTGAGATGCCAGTAGCGTCAATCAGTCTGGTGTAGTCGACGCGCATTTGCCGCATATGCACACCGGTATCTATGCGCTAAGTGAACGGATTCAATACCACAACAGCCGGCAAAAAAGCGCTCCGGCTTTTCACCGGCGAGACTTTTTTGCTGTACGATTTTAGTTTTTGCGCATTCTAATATCATCTAAATTGAAGTGTTTACCTGTGTTGATGGTTTTTGCAAAATGTTAAAATCTAAAATATTGCCGGTATAAGGGGAGCATCGTGAATGCGCGCAAAGGACGATGGCTATTTATGGAATATTCTTGTTATTCTTTGTGGGAATTATTCATTTCCCTCATGCATGGACTTCTAGTCAAGGTAAGCGTAAATTATGGCAATATCCGGATTTTCCAAATTTGGCCAGCATTATTGTTTTGCCGAAGTAAACTGCAGATTCGCATTTATTGTGTTTACCGGCTTTTATCTGCCGCAGTTGTACTACACTCTGGCGTTATTTGTATTTGATTTTAAGTAACCACATAAATTTTCCGGGCTTTTAGTGGAATTCATTTGGTGAACGCAGATAGGCTGATTTATCGGGTATACTGAGATTTAATTTCACGATTTAAAGATTTTTAAAATTGATTTTTGCCTGCAATAGTACACTACACAAGAATGTACTTCAAGTATTCTCCTGTGGAAAAGTGCGAACCGGAAGTCAATTTACAAGTTGTAGTGAAGAGCTAGATAAGAACCCCCGAACATGGGTGTTATACGAGTAGAATGTAGTAGAATAACATTGGTAATAAAACGCTGTACAAACACAGCGAATAGCGGGACTACCACCATAAAAAACAATCAAAGCCCCACTAATCCGACACTGGCCGCGCTCAGCATCTTCACATTTCGCAATAAACGTGAATTAGGGCGAAAAGATCAAATGGCTAAAAGTTTCCCCTAAAACGTCCGTTTTCCAATTGCTTTCCGCATAGTTAAGCCAAACATATGACGGATACGTTATTGTCTTCGCCTCCACTCGCTGATTGTGGCCTGCGTTGGCTCCTTTTTAATCGGATGAATGATATTTTAAGCCGATAGGGTAGGGCTGGATATTTCTGCCGCCTTTTTCTGCCCTAGTGATCCGAAGAAAAATGTGCTGATGTGAATTATCTGACCATTCGTCTAATATGATATTATTGTGTAACACTGCTCCCGTTTATTAAAAGTGAAAATGTCACCGGGTTGGAAAAATCCTCACAATCCTTCCTCTTCACCAGCGTAATCCGCGCGTCTCCACTCATGTTGATGCCGGGTCCAACTTGACCACGGTTTAACCGCGTTGTTTACTATGTGATGGCATCATGCATATATGCGCGGACTGTCCAGTTTGTGTACTTGATAACTGTCAATCAAAATGGATACTTTATCGGTAAACTTGACGTGTACGCACTGCGCATCTCACTTTTCCGCCGGGCCAAATATTTCTAGATGATCGTGCTAATGCGGTTACAGTGCTAATCCCCGCGATAGGACAATCCGCTTATTAAATCACGTTCTGCCGTTTGCTTTATTAAATTTGATGGCATCATATCATACACGAAATATGCGCATTTTTCCGAGGTTCTGCTGTATTAGTTTTTTTATTATTAATTTTGACAAGGCGTCCGGCGTGGTTTGTAAGAGATTGACTGTGGCAAGATTAGGAAATATGACAATCGGTCGGTATTGTATCGATTTGAACATAAAAGAATTTGTATCGGTCATCTCGTAAAATAACCCAGCCGACGGAAAAGTTGTCAATCAGTGCAAGGCGAACATTTATTGCAATACGTCTGTAATACGATTTATGACAGCGACTTTTGTTCTTGGTTTATTATCAGCTATATGTTGCAAAAATCCTCCAACACACTTTTTTCAATGAATAAACATTGTCTGAAACCGGAAAAAATATAATTGCAGTATTCCGTTCGTGACCGTTACTGTTATTAAGATGCCGAGAACTAACAAAAAGGGGCATTAAAAACTACGTATGTATAACAAATTATGTATGTCTTCTTAAAATTTAAAAATTTTGCAAATAGATTTTACACAGTAAACGCTTGAAAGCGTATTTTGAAAATATGTTTATTCTGAAAATATACGGTAGTCACTAGTCTGCTCCCATTTTTGCTGTCTTCAGCACATCATTCCACACCGAAACATTAGTCTTTTCTTTATAGTTTGTTATTTTATCCAAATATGTCTGTAATTGCCGCGACGAACATTACTGTTGACAGACGGAGCCGGATAAATGAAAAACTGTTAAACGATGACGATTACAACGTTTGCGCGCGCCGGTTAAGCAGTTTTCCTTTCTTCAAACATTTGGTCTCTTGTATTAAGAGGGGCAGTAGCCTAATATGGTTTCAGCACGGAAGAGAGAGTAAAAAATATAATTTACGCTTGATTGTCGCTGCAGGAGGCAACTTGACCATTACTGCACAGGCCAAGAGTTGGGGGCAAATTGTAATGTGATTATTTAGGGATTTATTGGACTGACCCGGTTTTTGGTGCCGGTTCTTGTTGCGGAAAAGAATTACCCAGCAAATACCGAAATTGAGTGGCCAGTCTCTTTTTTGACTTGCGCTGCACCATTTGAACCCGTTTACACAGTTTAAAGATTAATAGTTTTATGATCTTGTAATGAGCGATTAACTGCGAAATATGGGTGCTCGTATATTCGCAGCAGTAAAACGGAATATAGACTGCTGGTCAGTTAGGGCGGGATTGTCAATGGAATCAGTGTAGAAAAATGTACTGGTTGCACAAGTGCGCCAGATGGCTCGAGAGATAAAAAGCAAATCCTTTTGAAGAAACTGGTTCAACAGCTTAGTATGTAATTTCTCAAAAAGCTGTTTACATTTTGCTATTGGAAACTTTTTCTTGTTGTATGTAATAATGCGGCAGATGTATAACTGGTAAGGACAACGCCTACAGAATATTATATGTGCTAAAAAATTATCGTTCATGTTAAATATTCAGCAGTGGAGAGATTGAGTGACGCCGGAGTCAAGCGGTACTTAAAAAATTTTTGCACTAGAAAAAACAGCTGCCAACCGCAAATATGCAAACATACTTTTTGCACTTTGAGTGTATGTTGTGACGACTTCCGCACTTTAGCCCGGGTGGCAAAGGCCGGTTGGTGGGCGATGTGTGAAAACCTGTCAAAAATATCGCTACTCAAGTGAGTGTTTATTTGATCTTTTTAGAGCGCGTGTTAAGAGTTTTTTCAACGTTCGCTACCGTAATTATCTCCTTGGCGCTCAAGGATCAGAAAAAGTGCTTTAAAAATTGACAAAAACGCGTCTAGCCCATGCCTTTTAACGTGTACTGGACCGAAAGTTGTTATTAAAAATTACTAAAAATTTCTGGAGCACGAATTTCGTTATAGATTATTTATATATAGACTGTACTATATTTTAGTTTTTATGTTTATTTGCCACCCGCATTCCCGAAGAATATTGTGTATTACTTCTGGTCGAAATCGTTTTTTATTAAATAAATTTTAAGCTTAATAAAACAAACATTGGATTCGTTCCAGTTTTTCTATGGAGGCCTCATTGAAAAATAATTCACTCTAAATAGGTTACACAACTAAATATTTGCAGTTGTTTTTAATCGATGTTGTCCGAGTCAGTTAGCGAGATAATTTAAATATCCCACTTAGGCGCTGCCTGTGCATCTAGAAAATTAATGGGACACGCAGCATCTTGAGGCTATTTGATAAAAAGACGTAGACTAATGGCACCGCTCTGTTATACACACACAATTCGTGTGCGCTCATTTAGCCGCGACAAATGATTCGGTGGGAATTTAAAATTCTCGGATAACTGTTGGCCACTGTTTGTCCTACATGGTGGCTTATATATGAGATTTGACAGGTTGGCTGGCTTTGATGGAACGTCTTGGCCAAATGAATGAATCCATTTACGCAATTTATCTATAGAAACATCAATAGCAATATATAGACAACAACCTGCACGACGTCGCCGGCTTTCGGCTTTGTGAACTTTTTCTCTCTTTTTCCACTCAAAAAGCCGTTCATTTTTCCCATGGTGATTGATGGCCAGCCTAAAATAATGCCCCGGACGGAACTTTGCGGCAGTTTTCTTTAAGTTTTCCATTTACCGGAAAGTTTTCTCAAAGACTTGGTGAATAATTCAAACAAAATATCCTACAATATGGTTATGAAAGCGCCGGTCCATGAACTTGTGAACTGTTATTACAAGGCTCGATGGGCCGGTGAAAAGCGGTTTGTGGAGAGTGCATGTATAAGTGAAGCGTTTTGGAGCGCGCCGGTTTTTGTTCCGCTAACATTTCCACTAGGCAATGGCCGGTGCGGCGGAATATTTATGCGGGTCGGCGAAGAATCCGCCGGCATTTTCCTGTGTAATTTATACAAAACCTTCAATGGATACATTCTCCAGATGAGAGAGGGGGTGCGCTTTTAAATTTTGTCACAAGGAACATTTTCTCCCGCTTGGTCGCATTGAAATAAAATGACCGTTGACTACTGGTCAAAGCGAAAAGACATGGGGGTTCCCCTCTATGTTCAAGTGGCCAGTTGTGATGGGCTTTAGAGTATGTCCCAGAACCGGCGTAGACAATTTTATTTAAAAGAGCCGGGTTGAGCATACAATTTTATTTATCACTATGTACGCGCTGGGTCCTTTTTAATTGCTCTTCGATACGGCGCAGCACACATACACAGTGGATATCGACACGTGCTGTAACTGCGGGCACTCAGAAGAGTGGCGAAATATGGATTTAATGGATTATTATCATCAATACGCTACATATGCGTGTGTGCTGCGGCTGCATTGAACTTGAACAGGAAAAGCAGTGCAGTCGACGCATTAATCAATGCTGTCATCAAGAGTCAAAAGAAATTTCTCACTCTCTGCAAAACACTCGCCATTTTCCGAGGAAATAGAGTGCAAAACGTGCTTTGGGATATGTCGTGAAGAGATCTTTGTACCCTTTTCACTACCGCAATATTTATTTGCTATTTTGTTAGGCAGTGGTGATAATGACCTTTTCGTTGCCCTTATTGATTGAATTTTTGTGCAAAAGTTGTTTAAATTTTTCAAATATGTGTAGGACTACATTTTTTGTGCGAAGTGGCATCGCAGTTTTGATTTTTGGAAGATTTTGAAATATTTTCCGCATGAACATTAATAGCTTTTTTTATTTCCCTAGGTTAAGTTTTTTTCTGAAAACTGCAGTGCTAAAAAATGTGTGGGATACGTTGCACTTGCATAAATGTCTTACGAAGCGGAAGAACAGTACAAGCACTTATCGTATCGATAGAAGTTTTGGAAGTTGTTATCGGTTTATAATTTCATGCTTACGTACATAATTAAATTTTCATGAGCTTATGCATTGTTATTGACGAGGATGGTTATTATTCTTGCCACTTAGAAAGAGCCTCAAACTTGTCACTTGACGGTATAAGTGGACACAATAGCCGACCACATAATTGCTGTAACACAGCCGCAGCTGATAAACATCGTTAATAAATGATACCATTAGTGAATATATGCGAATTCGTGCTTATGCCGACAACACTGGGCATTCTTCGGGTGGGCAGAATATGCCGCGGCGCGTAAAGTATAAATGGAACTCCTCATTCAAAGTAAGTGACATTCTTGGGCTATTTTCCCTTGTAGCCGTGTAAAAGCAGATCGCTGCGCAAACTCCGGACCGGCAATAATTTGATTATTATCTTAACTAGTAAACACACAAACAGGCCTTTTTGCCCGCGCCCGATCTCAATCAATATACGCGTATGCCCCTCGAGGCATGTGTCAGATAGATTGGGCTGAAAATTACACGTTTTCCTTTTTGCCTCCATAAAGAGGAAATTGTTCTGAACTAATATACTTTATACTGGGCAATCTCCAGTTGTCCTACTTAAAAACTCCATGATCCTGTTTCCTTCCGTTATGTTGAACAGTGGGGGTGCCATTAGCTGACCAAACGTCAGTGATGCACGGACACCTCTCTTACCATTTTCCTTTTTTTACTTTTTTCGTTGGCATCGTCCTGTTTTTAGATTTTTACCAAAAACTCTAATTGAAATAGAAGTAGTAAAATAGATGATTGTGAAATAAATAATTATCAGCCGGAAAAAGTAACAGATACGCTGAAAGGAAGGATCACCGTCCATTGTCCGCGCATCGTTGTAGCCATATCCGGTGAATTGACCAGTGGATATTATGAGCATATCGATAACTCTTGCATTCTATATCGAGTTAACGCAGTGCTTAACCAAACATCAAGCGAGCGCTTGCGGAAATTCCTTGATAATGGCCAGAATGAAACAAAAGCCTGTGTAAATTGAGCAATATGGAAATTTTGTGTATGCGGCCTGGTGCAACGATATGGCAAGCATGGCGCGGAGGAGAAATGACCATCTGCTGGGATCGGACCTCTCTCGTTAAACTCCGTATAACTGGTTAACTGATGGCGTGTCAAAAGTCAAGTCTATTGATAAACTGTATGTTTGCCAACACGTACACTGCCGGCCACTGTTTCCGTACACTTTTACAAAATCCCATTCAGTTCGTGCGCCATATCCCGGGTAATACAACTCGTTTGTTTAATTAAAATTTTCCACAATGGCGACACAGTAGCGAAAGAAGGGAGTACGTTGTATCGGTCAACAGTAGCCATTTCCTGTCAACTGTGGATATAATACGTCTGGTACACATCGGATATGGTTGCAATACGCAGACAATGTCGAATGTTCTAATTTATTTAAATTTCTTATTAGCGTATATAATGAATGCGCTGCACCTAGTTTACGTTAAACGCAATTAAAACGGATACGTGCTTCATGTTATAATTATGTGCTTTATTAAACATACAATGAACATAAGTATATAAAATCGTATCCATTACGTTAATTATACGTTTCACATGAATGTTGCGCTACAAATATTTGCGTTGCCTACGCCGGAAGTAATTCCCCAGAGTGCTTAATTTATTGTCCATTTTTAAAAATTTGATATTGTCCGAGCGATTTTAAATCCTGAAAGAAAACAGTGCAGGCATGCATTATTGCCCAGCGATGCGCTATATACACCACCTGCTGAATAATCTCAAATCCCAGCAACTGCACACACTCTATAATTAGCACTCCGCCCCGGCTGACTTCCGAAACACACCGCGGGATCTCCAAATGAATTAATGATGAATCTAACGCACATTTTTTGATTGACTTCAGCACTTTCTCTTTGTGTTGTACCGTATGAAATGTGTTGGTCCGCTGGATGTGTGGCCTGATTACTATCATAGCGCAACTGGACACCCTCCACCATAGTCCCATAAATCGTACCGTATACACTGTCAAAAGTGGGATATATTTATCACCATTCTTGATCAACATGTGACCGGCAATATATAGATGCTGGCCGGGGACACCATCAGTAATTAATCGTTCATTCATTTAGCAGAAAAGGCCATCGAGAGAGCATTAACCTCCTAACTAATTACTTACTGTCACAAAGGCCATAATTGCTGACCACTGGGAAATAACAGTGGGTAAAGTCGCTTAGAGTCTGGCGTAAATGTAGCACGACTATCGATAGAATCCGAATGCAATGTGCTTTCATGAATAAAAATTAAATAGTAAAATTACTGGTAATTTTTCTGAACCTTTCCACTGGTTTTTTTTAAAACGTACAATACGGATTAATTTATTTTCTATTGCCAAAAAAATACATCATTTGTAAAATTTTTTCTCGTCTCTGTTGTTGCTGTAAAGAAACTGTATATTTAATTTTGCTTCAACTTTAATTTGTTCGGATTCTTTCAAACAAATTTCTGTGTGAAATTACACCGTGTATCTGTAGATTATATTTTTATAGTTATTTGCTTAATGGATTTCTTAAATTTAGTCACACATCATGATTTATGCATGGTACTGGAAAGTGCCGGTATGCGTTTGCTTGATTACCATCTGCAAGTTTGAGAGGAAATTCTCCGCATCCTCAAACCCAGAGGGGAACGCTTTTCAAGAACAATGAAGTGGAAATATTCTAATCTGCATTAATGTTTGGCATTCCTCTTTGGAGTCCACTTAAAACAATGGCGAGCGTTGTGAGCATTGATTTGTGTCGAGCGGGGCCAGCCGCATCAGCATGCCGGTCATTGTTCGACTGTCAGTTTCATGCGGTGCCCGTATAAAGCCGGCCAGAATCACCGCGATGACGCAGGTGATGATCCGTATAACCCGAAAAATGGCCAATGCTATGCGGCGTATGTCGCAATCAAAATATGGAAATTTATTTATTCTGCGCGTTCTGCTTAGTTTGACATGCAAGAAAAACTCGTCAGAACTTGTCACAACAAACAACATTCAAGTGTTGATGCAATGCTGCAGCGACAGCTCGACCGATTATACGGCAAATTATGCGTAAATAAACAGTTATTATTCCACTAAACGGTAAAATTGATAAATCAACAATCTGTAAACTATTCAGTGTATATTATTAAAAACCGCATCTTTTGCAGCTGCATTAATTGAATGTCGGAAACTTGTAATATTTAAAAATTATTTTTCCTTAAACTTGGATGATTAAATTATGATTGACGTAGTTATGCGTAAACGTTTTTTTGGAAAATAATATACGATTATTTTAGAAACTGTTTTGTGCAGTTCTTATTTTGGTCTGAACCCGGTTCTACGGCAAGCAATTTTTTGACGTGCTTTAGACATCGTCGGAGCACAACACGCCGTCTTAAGAACGGCATGTTTCAGTATACTTATGGAGCCCCTTTTTATGTACATTTTCACGTCTAAAATACTTGGTTTACGGAACTATATTATGGCTTTTTGAAACTCAAAAAACACCCATCCAAAGGACATCTTTTGGATGAAGAAGACATGGGCGCTTTTTTCATGAATAGAACCGGGGAAATAACGGCTAAAGCAAAAACCTTTAATCACCGTTGTGAAACGTATCTGATGTTCATATTATTGCAGACCAAATCGCAGGAGTATAAACTATGAATTACAAATAGAGTGCTTAATACTGCATCTGCCCGCCAAAGTTATGCCGCCGCTAAATTAAGCGCGACTTTCTTTGTCGGTTACATATTTACACTGCTTAAAGAGTGTGTAATTTTCGGCGGAAAATGTCAATTTTTTATGTCTGTGTTCGGTTGCAGATCTGAGAACATACTCCACACCACTTCAGACCAGATGGCCATCGCGGAGCGTATCGACGAGGAAGAACAGTGCTGGAATGGTGGATGATGCGCATGCACTCGCCTACACACAACAGCTGCTCAATGTAACCACCGTGGCCGAGCAGACCGTCTTGCTGCACTGTGCATCGATGCCGAATTCCAAGGAAACGGAGAAATTAGAGTGGCGACGAGGTATTGTATTACGCTGTGTGGAATACATAATTTATACAATTATTTCCATTTAAATTTTCATCTTCGGCTTGCCGGCAAAATGAATTTAGGGTAAATACTGAGTGACATATAAGCACATACGCAGGACGAAAAAAAGACATTTTAAAACGCAACAAATTTATTTTGAATTACAATCTAGCTGCATTAAACGTTCTAACTGGCTGTTGTTTATATTCAAATTATGCAGATAAAAGGGAAACTTGTCAAGTGTTTATTCCATTATTAAACGGCACAGCTGATTTTTAATAAGCTAATAATTAAGAAAAACTGTTTGAAAATTCTTAGAAAATATTTGGGCATTCGCTGCTTTAAACATGTGCGCTAGTTTAATGGGTTAGAGTAGGACTGTTTGATATTCAAACGAATTATCCCAAAGAAAACACTTATCGCATACTAAAACGTTCCCCCTTTCTGCACTGGTAGATAATCATCTCCTTCCGGTCAACCATCGCCAGCTGGTGTATCCCAACGGCACACTGGCCATCGAGAAAGTGGACGCGCGTCTGGATGCCGGTGTGTATGTGTGTCAGCGTGGTGGCCGCATCCAGCAGGAATACCATTTACGGGTGATTATTCCGCCCCGCATTGATCCGCTGCAGTTTCCGCTTGACCTTTCGCCGGGTGCCCGGCTGCGTGTCTCCTGTTTGGTCAGTCGGGGCGATCCGCCGATTAGCATCCAGTGGTACAAGGACGGTATGCTGTTGAGTGCATCCAAGGAGATTGTTGTGCAGGATATCGATGAATATGCCAGTTTCCTCCTTATACCCAGTCTCAGTGTGCAGCATGCCGGAAATTATACTTGTCTGGCTAGCAATGACGTTGCGCAAGACACCAGAACCGCTGTGCTGACAGTTAATGGTAGGTTGTTGTTTTCCTGTAAAAGTATTTATGTGAATAAAGCGTAATTTGACATATTCAAGTATTGCGCAATATACCCGTATAATAAAGTAGGAGCTTATAATTATTCGGAATTGCTTATCATTTTCATTTGGAACATATTGTCTCCATAAGCGTGTAGTGCAGTCTGTACAATACATACAGTAACTCCAGTAATTTGCCAATTGAACAGATTGAAAATCAGTAATACTAACGCGGACTAATGTCGCCGTGATGTGGGATTACATACGGTAGTAACAAATGTACACATTGCAGTTCCGGTTTATTGGGTTAACGAACCAACGGACACAGTGGCACTCCACAGGACCGATTTGCGTCTAACCTGTCAAGCCAACGGGAATCCCCAGCCGGTTATTGAGTGGAAAAAATCAGTTGGTAATACACCGGGGAACTATACACCTGTTGCCAGTGTACGGCAGCATGTCTTCGACAACGGCACGCTATGGATACAGGATCTGGAGCGGACCGATGAGGGATCATACTTGTGTCAGGCCACCAACGGCATCGGTCCCGCCATCAGCAAAGTTATCCATCTTGCTGTCAAAGGTCGGTTAAACGATACATCATGTTCTCTGTTTGTACTTTCTTAATATTTACAACAAAATCTTAAATATAAAAATGGTATATTTATATAAAATTATAAATATAAATGTATGTAAGATATTTTGTTATCGCTTATTTATAAGTGCAAATGCAATAATCTAGATTGCAAAACATTATGATTTTCTTCATTTAACTGATTTTACTATTGACAGAGCACTGATTTGTAATGCTTTGGTATAAATTATGCGTATTACATTTGTTGAATTGTATATGTATTTTATTGTTAGCTCCGGCATATTTTTTACTGGATCGGGAGACCACCAACGTGCCGCTACGATCAACGGCCTCTCTCACATGCAGCGCTCTGGGTGACCTCCCGATGACCATAACCTGGCATTACAAGAACGTCGAACTGAAAGACAACCACTTTGCGCGTCTGTCCTTTCACTCACAAGCCACACCGGACGGTCAGGAATCCACCATCCTTATCAAACATGCCGAACGCAGCGATTCCGGGGAATACGTGTGCAAAGTGACCAATGAGTATGGCTCGGCGAAGAAGGTGATAAATCTATTAGTCCAGGAAGTACCGGAGGCGCCGACATCCATCAGCGTATTAGGCACCAATAGTCGCATGGTCAAGATCGGCTGGACGGGCGGATATGATGGGAACAGTCCGGTCATCAACTTTATTGTCGAATGGAAACGTCCGCATGAGGGATGGAATGATGATGGAGTGAAACGCGAGTATACTCCTGGGAACAGCTCCGAGTATACGGTCAAAAGCCTCAAACCCGCACAACGGTATGACATGGTGTTTCGATTATTGGTAGCGGAAGTTTCGATTTTAACCTGATTTTGGCATATGCCCAATTAAAAAAGTTTCTAAATTATTAATGCAAATACTCATACTCGAATTGAAAATTTGAATTGTCTGCGACTGAATTCATATCCGCACGAATTGCGACTTAATAAAATTTTATGCAGGTTTTTTTTGCTGTATGTATCAGTTAAAAAACTGTATTTTCATATGTGCATTACAGAAAATAAATATAAATATAGCCCTGTGTTTTACAGATACCCTTTTTTGCATTCGGTATTTTATAGGCAACTTCATATTGACTTAAATATTTAGGTATATAATATGTGTAATTCAATTCTATTTTACATAATGAATAATTTGTTACGGTGTTTATATGGATTATTAATTTATCTGCTTTTCTTTACAGATACGACATGCGAATCCGAGCGTCAAACATTTTGGGTCAGAGTGAACCGAGTCAACTGGTGCAGATTCTGTGTGATGAAGAGGCGCCGTCGGATATCCCCATGGACGTCCAGGCCGTTGCGGCCTCCTCCACGGCGGTCAACTTGACCTGGATCCCACCGGTCAGTGACGGGTGGAATGGGCAGTTGATCGGCTACAATGTGGGCTATAAAGTGGAGAATACGAGTGGTGATTTTGCTAATATTACCATTAAATCCGATGGGAAGCGCAAGGAGAGTGTCGTGCTCAAGGGTCTGCGCAAGTACACGACGTACGTCATTATTGTCCAGGCCAGAAATGCCATGGGCCTCGGACCACCGGCCATTGTCACCGGCATAAGGACTTTTGAGGATGGTAAGAGATTCATCAAGAAAATCAATCGAAATTATCGATTTCTGTTTAACAACTCAATCCAACACTAATCCGTAAAAATGTGATACATGTTTAGAACTTTACATAATAATGACACAATACGGCATATACGCTGTATATAATTATTTTATGCTCTCCATACCTTTACACATCGTGCTACATAATTTTCGATACAAACTGTGCAAAAGTTAAATGCTAAAGTGTTTAAAATACGTTTCTTTAGCGCATTAAACATTTTCAGTTTAATATATATATCATCGTTGTTCTGCATTTTTTTGTACTAGTACTGTATATAATATTGTGGCTGGACACATATAAAAATATATATTTTATATACGTAATTCAGTTTCTGAAAGTTTGCAGTCTTATAGGTGTGTATGTTATAATTATATAGATAGACTTTGAAAATCAACACTTTTCACGTTGTGGTAAATTTCAAATTAAATGTTTGTGGTTTGACTTTTACAGTGCCCAGTGAAGCGCCATATGAAATCACCGCATCCGCCACATCATCAACACGAATATCGATCACATGGGAACCGTTACCGTCCGAGTACATCAACGGTGTTCTCCTGGGATACAAAGTCCTTTTCAAGCCGTCTACAGGTCAGTGTTACACTGCTTTATATATATAGTAGTGTACATAAAGTATTGATGAAGTCAAACATGTGCCGTGAAGCGCTGAATGCTGTTGCACTGGGCCAGTTCGACACTTGGCATATAATGATGAAATGATCCTCTGCTGCAGAATGGACATCCCAACCGGATGTCAAGATGGTCACGGAGACCAGCTGCTCCGTGGATGATCTCAAGAAGTTTACCAATTATACCATTCACGTGCTGGCATTCACTAAGATGGGCGATGGCGTCTCGAGTGCGGCTGTCTATGCGGAGACATTCTCCGATGGTAAGAAAAGTCGCCAACGAAGAAAAATGCGTGCGAAAACGCCGTGTGTAAAGCGCGTATACTGTCCACACAATTTTTAACAACTGCCAAGCATATTTTTAAATATCCAAATTTTTTGATATTTACTGTATTCATTAGTACTTGAAAAGAAATTACTGTAAATTCGAAATATAAAATGTGTCGTTTGTGTTTGGCATGTATTCGCAATTCTATATTCGCATTTATTATCGTTAATGGTGATAACAGTTTTGTTATATAAGTCCAAGTTTATATTAACTTTTCTGTACATATGCCGCATAGTGCATGTTATATATGAACACTATTTACAGTGCCATCTGCGCCAGCGGAAATCAAGGCTATTCTGAAATCACCTAATTCCATCCTGGTTACGTGGATGGATCCCGTGGAGAAGAACGGTATTATCATCCGCTACAATGTCTATATGCGTCCGCTGAGCGGAAATGGCGATAACGAAGTGAAAAGGACCGTCTATCCACTGGATGCGCCCAATCAGTACGAGTTCACGGACTTAACGGGATCAAGTAAATATGAATTCTTCGTTACGGCGGAAACCGACCGAGGTGAAGGTCCGCCAACCATTAAAGTGCAAACTTCCGTGGGATCGGCTGGACCGGCGCGTATCGCGTCCTTTGGCACGGTTGTCAGTCAGCCAATGGGCACGTCAGCGATTCTGCCGTGTTATGCTGTCGGATTTCCGCAGCCAACTACCGAATGGTTCAAAGGGTAAAAACGACTGCATAATTTTAATTGTAAAAATAAGGCAAAATTATTAAAATAAAAACATGAAGTAAATTCAACACATAAACTAAAATGTATCGATTGTTATTAGAGGGATAAAACTATATTACCAAAGCAATGTTATAATTTAAAAATAATAATTTTCGTTTAATTTTTAGTAATCGGCAATTAAGTATCCACGGTACGGTTTTAAATCTTTTAAAACAAATTCAAATAAAGCTGATCCATTAAACGAAGGCGTTTAAATTTGTTCTAGAGTACTAAAGAATTGATGCTATGCTTAAGTTTTGTTTACTGGCTAAATATTTTTCTTTTTATTATTTGTGTGTTTATATAAAAAATACTTTGGCGTCATTAGCAAAAGCAAATTCATTTACCGCAACATTTTTTGCTAGGAATAAGCTTATCTCAACGGGAATTTTGTCCAATGGCTCACTAAGCATTAAAGACCTGCAGCCACAAGATGCCGGCGCTTACACATGCAAAGTCCGTAACTCTTACAACACGGAATTTTTGGATCATTCCATTATCGTGCAACGTAAGTACACTAAAGCACAGATCCAGTAAATAATTCTCCAGCACTTAGCCGTATTAGACACAGATGCTACATTTTCACAAACGTTTACGTAAGTTTTTTCCCTCTAACACATTAAGTGGGGTATTCAATACGTAATACTTGGATAAGTGTATCTTAAGGTGATTTGGTTGCGTGTGTGTTGATGTGTCTATCTTAACGATCACTTCATGGCGAACAAGCCAGGAGAAAAAAACCAATGGATTGGCTCCATTGTAGATGCACCGGAAGCCCCGCTCGTAACCATTGCCTCATCGACCAGTAACAGCTTGACAGTGGAATGGAAAGTCACTAACGACGGAGGAAGTATGATCAAGGCTTTTACATTGTATTATAGACCGGAAACCGGCAGCTGGAAGAGCGTTCGATTGCCGGCTAATTACAATAGCTATTCACTGCCGCATCTGGGCTGCGGACAAATGTACCATGTTTATATGACGGCCTTCAACGATATCGGTACCAGCGATCCATCACTGGAAACATCGGCGCATACCAGCGGACAAGGTATTAAAAAAGATTAAGTACCTACTCTGTATATTAAAATTTTTTCTAAAAAGGTCAAACCTAAGAAAGCGCGCCATGTAATTAATGCACGCGCATAATTTTGTAAGAATGCTGATAAACCTCTAAAAAGGCGTCTTATGATCAGCATACTTAGAAAAACACAGTCTAAAACTAATAATGGTTACGACATTTCATCATAGTATGACCTGTGTACTATTTGAGAATTACTTACTAACATAAGTTGCACTAGCAACTACATAGATGATAAATTCGCTAGATCTGAAACAATATATGTATATTCTTGCTGATATTTATGAATTTAATTGTGTTTTCTTGGTCCTTATAGCACCACTTTCTCCCGATCTCAAAGCGTTTCTAGTCCCAAATACCACATCCGTACTGTTGCTGCTATCCGCGTGGAAAGATGGTGGTTGTCCCATACGAACTTTTTCTATAAAATATCAGACATACTACGAGAGTCTTGAATGGAAGACGGTGGGTGGACTGATACCTGGCGGTGCAGATTCGTTTTTCATGAAAGATCTCTTACCGGAAACGGTCTATCGCATGCGCACCACCGTACACAACGATGCCGGTGCCACCGAGAAGGAGTATATTTTCTCAACATTGACGGAGAATGGAGGTAACTGAGCAGTCGACAGAATGTTATAATTACAATCATATGTACTGCTCTGCAAACGTGTTAATCTGAACATGAAGCAGCTTATTAATGAGACCCAAATACTATTACGTAGTCCATGACCTTAATCATTTTGTTAATTTCGCGAATTTGCTTTCCAGAAGCGACCTTTCCGGAAGTTGTACTGCAAAAGGATTCCGTCTTGGCATTCCACGAAAACACGACCAATGTCATTTGGTTATCAATTGTTGCCACATTACTCGGAATTTTTGTTGTGGTGGTGGGCGTTATGACTGTGTGCAGACGAAGAAGACAGCGAAAATTTCGTTCAACAGGTAAATAACAAAAATACTTTACATAATCGTTGAATGATGTAAATTTATAATGTCTTGGAAAAATTAATAAATTTCCTGTTATTTGGTGCTGATTTGTAGATCTGGACGATGCAACCAATATCCGTCGGGATCTGACGTCGGAAAACGTGCGCTTTGATCTTGAGCGGACACCACGAAAATCTACCGGCATACCGTCACCCTGGCGCAATATTGCCCATTATATGGATGCCAACAATCATTCACCGGTGTCCTTGGCCAGCACACCCAAACAATGGCAACCGCCCATATACAACAACGTCACGGTGAACGAAGCGTCGAATCTGTTTAGTTCACCGAAACGCCAGAACACCGCCGGCCGACAGCGCGAAGCCTTAATACTTTCCGAAACTGCTAGTCATTACCAGACACCCAGCAATCGCTCCCTTAAGCGCGACGAAAGCACACCGGATTCGGGATTTTCTGGCAGCAACGTCAAGCATAATACCGATTGTACGTGACACTTAACGTTGAACGAGAATGTTCCAAAATTACATTATTACGTTATCATTATAAGATTTAATGATTTATCTAAGATTATAAAGGTCTGATAAAAATCTGAATTTCTTTAAGTACATAGAATAGCAAACGACTGTTTTTTCATATTTTCTTTGTATTTTCGGCTATTTTATTTCTTTGTACATATAACTTATAAATTCGGTATATCTTTTTGAATGCATATGTATATTGTTTTGTCTTTCCAGGTGACAGCTTTCAGCGGGATTCCATCCCGCGGCTGAGCGATCGCAGCAACAACTCCGACTCGGATGCCGGCGTGACACACAAACTCAACTGCCACGCGCATAAGACCCGTCCGAAACCGGCACAACGGCGTCGTCTGCCGACGCGGCCCCGCCAGGGCGCCTCTTCCCTGCCCCGGACCAAAGCGCCGCCCACCTCCTCCAGCAGCCCGAGCAGTACGGAGGACGTGCCGGCCTATGTATATCCGTACTGCACCAACCGGGTGCAGCGCGGCCATCCACAGGCCACCAGCACGGCGCCGCCACATCTCCACTTCCCCAGTCCGCCGCATTCGGACGGAGATGAGAAGCTGGACACGAGAGCCGGTAGCCGCAGTGCACGACCAAAGACTACGCCCCTCAGGAAAGAGGCCTTTAAAATGCACTCAATTCAGCGCCGCTCAGCCAATGTGGACACATTGGGCGAGCTGATGGATGAACTGGTGGATAATATTATGCCGCTGCATCCTAATACTGCTGTGTAGAAAGACAAAATGGAAAGTTTTTGTTTTAATAAACTTTTTATGTTGTACAAAGCTTTTTTTCGTAGATTGTGTTGTTGATCGTTTGTAAATTGTAATAGCGTTCAGGTGGAGGTTAAAGGATGTTCAGTCAGAAAATTGGGTTTTAAAGTACCGTTCAGAGAATAAAACCAGTATTCGAAGACGGCTTGCAATGTTTATGACCTGCAGAATAAAATCATAGAATCAACGAACCTCACAAGCTGACCGAGCACAAGCAAGCAATGCAGCATAAACCACCACCACAATAAAATCATATTTGTATAAGCATTTGCTATCATAGAAAAAGACTACGAGTACAGAAAATCCGAGTGCATCTCACAACAATTTTTGGTAGTTTTATTGAAAGGTTCCGAAGGAAGAGTTTCATGTTTTACTGGAAGGAGACGGCGGTTTCCGGCGCGCTTTCAGATAGGGCGACAGCGTCAGATTCCTTAATCGCTTTTTCTACGAAGCAGACAGCGCTACATTAACAAAATTCCACACGGAAAAGTGAAATAAATTCAACCTAAAAATACCAAAATAAATAAACTTCAGCGTTGTTAAATACTTACCCTTCTCAGTGGAACCACTTGACTGTTGGGCGTCTTTAATACCAACGAAGAATTTGGCCTGGGTGATAAACCCACTGCACGCGTAGGTGAGCCGTCGTTTTCGCGTGATGAGGGGCGCCGAACCCACGAAGAGACGGTGGGTGTCCGAGGATCAGCGGTTCCAGGTGTGCGATCCCGCGATGGTCGTTTTGGTGTGCGCTCTTCTAAACCTATACAATTTCGATCCGTTACAACATCTTTCCAGCTGTTTTCACCTTTTGTAGTTCATTACAGATTATATCGTATCACTTCACTCAATATAAAGCGGAAATGATCTCACATTTATGTATTTATGCTACAGATTTATGCCTTTGGAGAACTGCTTAAACATTCATAGAGTAAAGAATACAAGCTGAATTAAGAAGACTACCTCGAGGATCCTTTTCGGCTAGCCCAGCAACAATGTTAGGACTTGAGCGGTTGGCATTCACTCCTGCATCCCATACAAGAATACGGGTGGAGGCAGTGACAACTTGATAGGGATCCCAGTGGTTAAATGCCACTTCTGTGACTTCATCCTCGGTAGCGCTGTTCAAAACCACCGGTGCTTCTTCTGGCTGTCTAGTCTACAAGAGAAGGGCAAACTGCCACTGAATAAGGACTCTTGTCAGCCAAACGTGACATCGTTCATAAAACGTTGCTGCTTTATCTCTAATTAGAATATTTAGGTGATAGTTAATTGTTACAGAATGAAAAGCGGGCAATAAAAATACTGTACTGCAATTACCCGGAACACATATCCTTTTCCACCAGCTGATCCGCAGCCTAACAACTCTCCATCTTGACTAAGGGTGCACTTTGTATAAAACGATGAAATGACCGCGCCGGCGTATTGTGCTGTTGGTTGCTCGTGCATTCTGGGACCCACATCAAAGCGATACACGATTCCGTCTCGACAGGCGGCATACAAATTCGTCCGGGAAGCATCAAGGGCTAAGGAAGTAAAAGGCAATCCAGAGTCTGACTTGAGTGTTAATACTGACTGTGGCTTCTCTGAGCTTGGCTTGAGCTTCCGCAAATCCCACAAACGAATGGAACTAAAAATAAAAGTACTGTGATAGGGAGAATAAAATTATAAATCTCAAAATTAAAGCGCCGTAACAAGCCAAAAACGCCAAAAAGAAACGCTTGGAAGCTAAATTATGACGCTAATACGTTATAGATTTAAATATGGGAAAGTATAGTTCAGTAGTATGGGAAAATCATAAGTCGTGTTTGAGAAAAACACATACGAGTACATTATACGGCACACATATATCGTAATGTGTTTATATGCGTAGAAATTCAAATATCAAACCTGTCGGCCGTGCCAGACGTGAGGAAAGTGTAGGAAGTTTGAAAGACGATATCGGTAATACTGGCGCGATGGGTTGTAGGGTCATCCGGTAATGCTGTGTATACCGCATTTAACTTCTCCACATTAACCGAATATTTTCCCGGTGCTTCGCGGAAGAGTCGCCGGTACGGAATCCGCTGCCGTGGCACAAAGTCAGTGTGTGCATTCACCAAATACGCCACTGGATAGTGATTTCCATCTACAACAGAATATCAAAGAACATTAAAAAGGAACATCTTCACGAGATGCTTAGGTCTACATACAAAACACTCCAGAGCGAAGATCCCATAACATGCAGTGACCGTCGCGTCCACCGGAAATGAACACATCTGCAAAACAAACCCATGATCGCAACACAGAATCTCACTACTACAGTTCCCCGTCGGTTTAAATGCGAACTGCCGGAAACTTTTGTACTAACTACAGCAGTTATTCCACATAATTCAATATGTGCAACTTACACATCCACTAACACTTCGCATACAATTGTAGCTGCCGTAATACTTGTGTACATTGTGTCAGCTAATAATATTTTCGAGTAACCAGTAACCTCTTTTATAATTTCAAGACCATATTATGATATTATCGACGAATTTGCCGCACTATTAATTATTTAGTGCCAAGTTACAGCTTATTAACTCAACCTTACTGTTCTGAGTGTCCTTCTGCCAGCTGAGACATCTAACATTCTGCAAATGTCCAACAAAACTCGTCACCTTCTGCTGCGTCGAACAATCAACAAGAGCGCAGGTCATATCGCCGGAAGCCGTAATGCACTGCAGATTCGAGCATCCCGGGCGAAATTTAGCATCCAAAATCGCATGGTTCGGGTGAACCCTCAGTGCTGAAAACATACAAGATGCAATAAAAGAAGAGAAACGGCAAAATTTCATAAACTGCCGAAGGAAGATCATTTACAGCCCAGATTCACAGGAGGACCGGATTTGGTGTTGCGAAAATGCAGTACTCCTTCTTCATCCGCCACGAGCAGGAAATACGGATGACCATAATCTGATTTGTAAAAAGCAATTTTATTACCAGCAGTTTCCATCTGAGCTGTAAGGCTACGTACCGTTGGGGTAGGCGATCACAGTCGGATCCTGGAAAAATCAGATTCACAATTAGTTAAATATGTTTATCATTTATACCATACGGTTAATAAAAGCAAATTAATTATGATCGTCTTGCTGAAGCGACCCCGCATCAAGACCGTATTATCATATTATGCAAACTTGTTAAACTCCTGTTAAGCATCAGTACAATTCACAATAAAAATTAATTACAACAACGGTAAAATTTTAAAGTCGCAGGTAAAGAAAATAATTCACATCGCAAATCGAGCATAAGGGAGCTTGTTTTGTCAATTTTACTGCCAAAAGTAAATACCTTTTAAATTTCACCTATTTGAACCATTATTAATTCTGAAGCAAATGCAATTACAAAAAAATAAACAAAATGATTTCTCGAAATTCCACTTACTATAGGAATGTTGGACTCGAAAGAATAAGTGACAAATGATCGGGCGTCCAATGCGATTGCACTGCTGAGAACATCGTGCAGAGATCGCGAAAACATTGACGCTCTAGTTCCAAAGGAAGACAACTCCGTGCCCGCACCTACAACCGGATCAAACAAAGGGCAAATTTTTCAACATACTGCTACAGATTCAAATTACTGAATCAACAAACACAAATCTACAATATAACACCAGTTAAGTTCTAACCAGTAAGAGTAGGTCCGTAAAATCACTTTCTGTTTTCCAGGCAATATATGCAAGTACAGTATTATTTTTCCACGATACCAAAATTAATTTACAAAACAACTAAGCGGGATGTGATTACGCTACAAGCAGCTTGTCTAGGAGTTCTAAATAACAAGAACTTTCAAAACTGTTAAAACCAGTAGCTGTACCTCTTCCAGCGTTCTCCAGTTGGGAACTCATTTTGAGCCAGTAATCCATATCGTCTACGATGCCTCGTCCAGATGTGCCAAGAGAGAGGCATCAATAAGCAATACAACAAATTCTTCGTAAGAACCCGAGGAACACTTGAATATGCCCTCAACGTTTTAGCAAAGACGACTTAAAAGCCACGAAATCAGAATTAAATATGTGATACTGATACAGATACATAATATGATAATAAACTTCATATAAACAATCCCAGAACCTGCGACGACGAGTTTAGCTCAATTAGCACAAGTTACATTTTGGCACACCACCTAACGCTCGGCCAAGAAGGTTTTCCTGTGATTATTATTCCAATAAAAAACAAGAGTGGCAGACAATTACAAATTTAGCGTCTAATATTATATGTCCTATTAAAAATAACTCGAACGGAAAACCGAAGCCAATAACAAAGGAAAAAACAACGAAAATTATTCAGCGCGTACTTGGTCGACAAAAGCCAGAATTAACCGCTCGCTCGTGACGTCATCGCGGAACGCAAGTCAGAGGGGAGGTGACCGCCTGCCTAGGTGGGCGTCTATATTTCCATTATAGCGGCGGAAATCGATTTTTCCGCGCCACGGTAAACGTCAATCGTCGTCGATGATCGATCAGCTGATAATTTTGTGCTACTCTGCAAAAACTCATCCGTAAGGTTCCCAGATTTCATTATGTTTTCGTGGTTGCAGTCCATAAAGATTTTTGGATTTGCTCTGTCCGCTGATGCGCCAAATTGTTGGTAGCACTTTGAAGGCACAGATCTGTTGGTGATACCACGCGCAGTAGAATGGTGAGATTCCGTCTCGTGAGTTCTGTGCGGTGCGATATCGAATACGACGCGAAGTGGGGCATCGGAGAGGAATATTGGGATAATGCCATATCGTAAATATTAAGGGTGTATCATTGAAATTAATGTGCACGCTGGGGGATATGTGGAATCTGGAATTGCTATAGAGTTTTCATTTAGATTGTTAGCATGAACGCTGGAGATTCAGAACGTGAATCAAAACGGCTCAAAATAGATTTGACGGCCACATCCACAAGTTAGTTTAATAGTTTATACTCGTACGTACCTATTTTGATGTTTATTAATTATTATTACCGTCGACTCGAAGTGTTGATGATTTACTTGATTTATTACCCAACATCTGTTAATCTTGAATTGTTGGGCTGGTTAGGACTGCATGAGAGGTTCAGCATAGTATTGCTGTTGCTTTCTTACTTACCGTAGTTGACGTTTCACAGCCGTACAGGGATTTATGTTTTTAAGGCGCATCAGATGTGTCTTCCGCATCAGCACCACGGACTGAATGTGCTTCATCCTCCAAAGATGTGGACGACATTCTACGGAGGGGATGTTTCTCCGATAATTTTCGACCAACTAAAGCCGTTTTCCCTCCCGGTTTTCGACAAGTTGTCCCTCCATCGGGTCAGTGATGAAAGTTCTGTGCGATACGAATTAATCGTGAACTATCGATTTGTTAAACTATTTCTCATTTCTGTATATTTATAATTTATCCAAGTTTTTACAAGTATTCATTTGTACAAGGTTTTATTGTAAAGTTTAGAAAAGCAGCTTTTCTTGTAAGACATACTTAATTGGAAGTTTAATTTTTCGTCGAAACGCTTACAAAACAATCTGTTTGGGTGCTGGGTGTGCCGATACGCAACTACATATTACGCACTGATATTTCGGCTTTGCATGACTGTACGTTAACCGTGCAGCTGGCGCTTGTAAAGTTATTTTTTTTCAAATTAGTTTTATGTTGTGCTTTTGGTGGTTATGTTCACAAGAATTTCTTTAAAAACCTAAGGTACTATCGAAGTAAATTGGGTGACGTCTATTGCTGTTTACCATTTACTTGCATATGCTGCAATGCTTTGCAGATCTCTTGGGTTTCAATTCGGATATTGCTCGTACATTTCGTTGTCCTCCTGTCGCTGCGTCGCATCTTTCTACGAACATTGACAAGTACTGGGATCTCATGAAATCCAGAAGTATCTCGCTGCAGAAAGCTGGTGGCGCCGTTTGTGCTGCGTATGAAACGGCATACGGAGACCAGATCGCATTGTTTTCAAGTTTTTTAGCAGCAGCAATAAATGATGGGCAAATACCGGTGAGGAGAAATTCGGATAATTTAATTTGTGTTTTTGTATATGCCAGATTTTCTGATTATTTATTTAATGTAGTATCAACCGCAAACAACGCGCGAGCGGGTGCTTGCATTGATTCACGAGAAGACACAAGACAACAGAATACGCTTATCCCAGTTTATGCAGATGCTACCGGGATTTGAAAGCGTTTGCGAAGAGGATCGGCAGATTTTGCTTTTGGAAAAACACCTTATAGGTGTTTTGGTACGTTTGGTTCGGCCCTTAGGCGTCGTTTTTATTATTATTATTGGTACTTATTATTATACTGTTACTGCACAAGAGTAAGTTGCTTAGCCCATTTAGAATCTCGTTTGACAAATGAATCTTTTATACAGCTGCATCATACACGGTATTTTCGCAAAGGGGAGTGCTATTATGTTTCCGGTCCAGAGGAAGTGCATGTCGGCACCTACTGGATGGAAGTGATGGGATTGGATCCTGAATTCATCCGCTTTTGGCTGAAATGTGGCCTCGTATTCAATGATATTGGGTTGACCTTGACGGAATGCTATTTATTACTGGCCGCAGCGTTTTTCGATCCAGGCAAGTAGCTTGTTACCGGTTTTATCAGTCGTTTTGGGGATTTTGAACCACTAATCGCTATTGTCGTTGTAGGTGCTACTGCCGCTTCGGATAAGCTGCTGTTGGGATCTCTTCATGCATTTTATTTAGATTCGTTGTTTTATTTGATTGGCCATCGTTTACAAGGTGCAGAACGCATGTCCACATACACAAGACTGGAGCAAGCAATGAAAATTTTTCCTGTCCTCAGTGATATTTCCGTGAAACAATTTCGAAGTTTGGATGCCGGTAGTGTCCCGTTTGTCTCCACATCTCGCGAATCGACATGAAGCTGAGGAATCTCTTCTTTTCCCCCTCTGCCAGCCTGGAGATGATCGAGTGCTCATCGCTTTATCATTTTCTTGGGTGATATCTATAGTTTTATTTATTGATATTTCGCACTTTGTGATAGTTCAAGTTGTGAGTGTCGGTTTAATTTTTTTAATTCTTGAGTTAGTGAAATACATCGTTTGTATCTTTACACCGTTTCACAGATTCTTGTCAGCGTTCGGTTGTTCTGTCCTAAAGTTCGCGCATTTGCTTAACGCGCTATCGTGCATGTGTACAACAACTGTTTTCTTCATTTTCTCCAGAAAGTTGAACACTTACTGTATATCCGAGAATCTCATTTTATATCAAGGAACTGCCTGTAGTTCGATAGGTTATAAAAGTTGGTGAGCGGTTTGAGTCCATATCGGGATAAATCAAAGGTTCCGCATTAAGTTACTTAATAACGGCGCTGTGTAGCAGTTAGCATCTTGGGATTGTAATTATTTAGTAAGTTAGCAGTTTGAGCGGCCATGTGCAGTGAGATTCTAACAAGTCTCACACGAAACAAGCGAATAAAATCAGAAATTATTTCGAAAGCGCAAATGTGTACGAGTACGTATACTTACATAACATTATTTTGATAATAAGTAGTAAACACAATATTCCTACCACAGTACTTCGTACTTGGAGTGAACAGTAAATACTGCACTCTGAATCCAACTCTTACAATTCAAACCTCTGCAGTCTGCACCTGCAGAGTATAAGAAGTGTAGAAAGACAAATTACAACCCATGTGCAGACGTGTGATATAGTCATTGTATTATACAGTAATTCCGGAAACGAGGAATTTAATCGTCAACACCGTTGATCAAAAATTTGCGAGATGGAATTGCAGCGGTGTCCTGTGACCTTGTTACCCATCGGATCCATAGATGCGCACGGCGACACGCTTTCATCGTGCAATATTGCACGATGATTGCGACTACGTATTAATAGTCGCATCGGTTAAATTTACGCCATTTCGACTCGATTACTGTACGTCTATGCCACTTTAACTTTTATACTAACGTCACTTTCTATTATTAATTTTTCTAAATTATAGTAAGTAACTATAATTTGCAAGCGTACAACAGTAAGTACTTATCTACTACTACCTAGCGTTAAAATACTTACGTACTACATAATATCGTGCCCGTTTCTGTAGGACAGTAGGAGTACTGTACTGAGTATCAATTGTATAAAATGGGTTTTTTATCGTATTTTTTCCATGACTTGTTTCGAACTTCCACAGTAAAAAAAACGGAAAAACGGTTAAATTGTTATAGCGATTACTTAATTAATTATCAATTACTTTAAATGCAGTGATTTTCTTTTGGAAGCCATTCAAGCCAGAACAATCTGCGGGCCGCATATCTGCGGTACGATCTTTGCATTGGTTGTACTAGTACATACAGATACAGTAGAATTGTGCAGTTCTACTGTATGTGCAAGTTGTAGACTTTAACAGCCGCTACAGTCTACGTTTTGTGGTGGATTTGGTCATTTGGGAATATTGATTACGATAAGCGATTAATATTTCTGCTAATAATTACTGTATGAAACAGTAGTGAAGTGCTGTTTTATTAATCCACAGCTTTCATTAAGATCCGTCACTGCCGTAATGGAGGTTTCGGAAGAATCACAGCATCCCGCGAAAAGGTTGAAAAAGCATGATTTGCCTGCTTCCTCGGATGAACATCACAAACATTTAGGTACAGTAGTTTTGTGAAAGTTTCCGAAGCATGGTCGAGGCTTTGCAGTTTGTACGGTCTTGAAATAACTGTGCTCTTCGGACGTCAGCGAGATCGAATACCAATTTCTTAATAGCGGAGACCTAACTCACGCTGTGTGGCAATAGTTATGAACTTATGTATGTGATTCATTGTTCTGCTCATAAAACTGAGATTACCGTACTCGTAGAAAGTGCAATGAAAATTTCGTAGTCTACTACTGTAATCGTTGGCAAAGACGCCAGCGGCCAGACTCTTTTTTCAAAAGATTGTAAGACTGGACCAAAAATTTAAGATCTGCAGCTGCCACAGACTACCAAACACCAGAGGACGAGTCTGCTTCGTTCGTCAGTGCACCCGTTGAAGACGTGGACATTCTTTCGAAGGGGCATTTCAGTGAAACGAGAAGGCAATATGAAGATTTCCAGCCGACGACAACAACATTTCCTCCCGGGTTTCGCCGCGTCGTACGTCCCTGTGGTGAGTGCTTAGTTAGATTAGGTAAGTTTATTTCGAACAGACAGCAGCAAACCTCTGAGAGGCACTCACAATTCTAGTCAGTAACATAAACGGTGAACAGTATTTACCATGGTTAATAAAAATTTTATAAACATAAGAAAATTCTGCTCTACGTTGGTTACTTTAACTGTTCGTTATTGCGGTTTGTAACGAGTTTTATCAGTTCCTTACTTGTAAATGACTACCTCAGCCCTGCGCAGTGAACGCTGTTAAAAAACATTGTTAAACTGAAAATACCAATTTGCGAAGGCAAGTGTTTTTGAATTCATTAAAAAATTAAATTGCATTTTGTTTGCCTTTTGTTAAAAAAACGGTTTTGTAATTCTTATGCGAGCTGCGGGTTGCTGTGCACAAAATTTGCCGTTGGTAATTGAACGAGGACAAACAGGTTATGCAGTTAAAACTAGCACTGTAAAACAGTAAAACTGTGTGTTTACTGTTTACATGTTATTCTGTGTACTTCAGATCTGAGCGCGTTGGATTTAAATATGGCGAATGCATTTCGGAAACCAGCAAATGGATCGAATAATTATTCCTATTTCAACAAGTACATAGACCTTACCACAAGCAGAAATACAATGCTGCGGAAAGCTGGTGCTGCTGTTTGTGCCGCTTATGAAATTGCCTATGGAGATCAGATTGCGTTATTTTCCGCGTTCATGGCATCGGCGCTGGAAAAGGGACAGATACCCGTAGGACTATGGGCTGTTCCCTTTGTGTATAATAATATTATTAATTTTTTTTTGTCAAGTAATAATAATAGTTTCCCGGACTGCTGCAATAATTTGCGATTCTGTTACAGTATCAACCGCAGGCATCACCGCAATATGTGCTTCAGCGGGTTCAGGAAAAAAATGAGGAAAACAAAACTCGCCTGGCACAATTTGCTTACATGCTGCCGGGCTTTGAAAACATTATCGAAGAAGACCGAAAAATTCTGTTTTTGGAGAAGCACCTGATGGCTATTATGGTGCGTCTTGCTTTTTGGTGTGCGCCTTGTCTGCTGTGGTTCAGTATGTTTAGTTTTGTAGCTGCACCACATGAAGTACTGCCATCAAGGAGAGTTTTATTTTGCTTTCCCAGGACCCGAGGATGTTCATTTCAACAATTACTGGATAGACATTTTGGGTGTTGATCCCGATTTCACGAAGTTTCTTTATAAATGCACTGCTGTTTTCAATAGTATTGGACTCACACTTACCGAAACATATTTATTGTTGGCCGCAGCATTTTTTGATCCAGGTTTGTAGCCATCGATGGATTCGATACTGAGTGATGGATTGGAATAGCGTAAATTATTGAACTGTACCAATCTTTCCGTTTGTCTTTTTAGGCAATACTAGCGCTTCGGATAAAACCTTGTTGGGACAACTTAATGCTTTTTATCTGGAAGCCTTACTCTACATGATCGGCTATCGACTGGATGATGCGGAACGCCCTGTTGTGTACAGAAAGCTGGAGGAAGCGATGAAAATATTTCCAACTGTTTCCCAGGTTTCAGTTTACCGGTACAAAAACATCGATTACAGTAGTCTTCCCGCACTTTCGCGGACATTTATGCGAGAATGTCTTCGACGTTGACTTGTCTGCATTGCGCCCTTTTACTTATTTGGATCTGACAAACGTTGTGATATACGTACGCGAGTCTTAGAGCGAGTTGGTGTATACATTTGTTTTTGAGTTTTAGCGCAGTCTTCGAGAATAATGGTCATGGGCCATTGCGTTTATGTTATTTTTAAGTTTTATTTGGTTCTTAATTTTATCTGAACACTATGAAGATAGTTGTACTTTATGCAGTTCTGCATTGTGATGCAAATGCAGTTGTGATTTGTAATGATCATTTAATAATTGTCCGATCAAGTAACTCTGATAAATCGATGTCAGTAAACTGGAAATCACCGTTAAGCGTAAACTGTAAACCGCTTAATAATGTTGTAACATTCTTGTATGACCATGGCACGATACGAATCATACGATTATGTAAGTGTCACATAGGTAATAAGGCACTGCATCGATTGCTTCCTGTGAAGCCCCATTTGCAGTCTGCCGGTGCTGTAGCTGCCTGATATTCCCGACGCGATCTGGAAACTGCCTCCTGCTTTTTCTTTTCGTAAAATCTGCGTGCGCATATACTGCACGTAAGTGTATCTGCTAATTGTATGGATTTATTTTCATATCTGCTTCGGTTAAATGTACTTCTGCGGAATTCTCAGAAAACCTTCACAGTAGAATGCATATGCCTTACTGAAAATGCAATAATTATAATATGTTTCTGTAATACAAGGAGAAAACATTAAGTGTACTAATTTATACTATATTATATTTATACATATTTATACATTCTTATTAAATCAAAAAAATCTAACTAACTGTGACATAAATAATTTTTCATAAATAATAAATAATAACTAACTGTGACATAAATACTTGTACGGTTCTAGAGCCTACTCGTAGACTACCAGAGTGCACGTACTGCACCAGAGATTCATGATCAGAGCCAAATCGATCGAGCACCGAGCATTGGTTTTACAAAAATATACGACTGACTGCAGCTGCATGAACGATACAATAATACGTCACTGTGCATGTGAGATTGTAAGTACAGCATAGTGCGCCATGCATGCACTTTCGTTTCCATCTGGCCGATCGTAACAAACCACTGCGAGAGATACGAACCTGTACCGAAATTTCAAAGCTTCGGAGGAATTCGTTAGACTTTAGAGACTTCATCGGTACCTTATCGTGATGGATGATTCGTCAGAACCGGTTGAAAATGTAAAGAGATCAAAGCGGAGTCATCCTGGGAACAGAGGTGAGACTGCAGTTCTGTTATATATATATATATCTACAGAAGTATTCAGGTAAATTAACAATCCATGTATAATGATTTGTATGTCTTCGGGTAATTTGGCATTACTTGTTGTTTGCAAGGTGCAGATTTCTCATTTCTGCATTAACTTTATTGAACTGCTTGCCAGACACAGACTGCAGTTAATATTGTTTGAGTTTCCGCAGATGATCCACCATCGGCAGAAGAAGTGCAGTACGAATCTGTATCCTCCGTATTCGAAACCCTAAACAAATTGGAAGTGGAACATCTGCTGCGTGGACGGTTTAAGCGGGATTTCCTACCTACTGAGGCGACTTTTCCTTCTGGTTTCCGCAAAGTTGTGCAGCCTGCCGGTCAGTGTCAGCACCTTATTCGGATAAACAGAAAATATCCATACTTAAGCATATCAGATTAAATTTTTTGATACTAGTAACTCAGTATAAAATTTATTACAGCATGTTCAAGTTTTTCCTTTTTTAGAAGCATTTTATGTTTTATCTTAATAATTATAATATGTTTCTGTAATACAAGGAGAAAACATTAAGTGTACTAATTTATACTATATTATATTTATACATATTTATACATTCTTATTAAATCAAAAAATCTAACTAACTGTGACATAAATAATTTTTCATAAATAATAAATAATAACTAACTGTGACATAAATACTTGTACGGTTCTAGAGCCTACTCGTAGACTACCAGAGTGCACGTACTGCACCAGAGATTCATGATCAGAGCCAAATCGATCGAGCACCGAGCATTGGTTTTACAAAAATATACGACTGACTGCAGCTGCATGAACGATACAATAATACGTCACTGTGCATGTGAGATTGTAAGTACAGCATAGTGCGCCATGCATGCACTTTCGTTTCCATCTGGCCGATCGTAACAAACCACTGCGAGAGATACGAACCTGTACCGAAATTTCAAAGCTTCGGAGGAATTCGTTAGACTTTAGAGACTTCATCGGTACCTTATCGTGATGGATGATTCGTCAGAACCGGTTGAAAATGTAAAGAGATCAAAGCGGAGTCATCCTGGGAACAGAGGTGAGACTGCAGTTCTGTTATATATATATATATCTACAGAAGTATTCAGGTAAATTAACAATCCATGTATAATGATTTGTATGTCTTCGGGTAATTTGGCATTACTTGTTGTTTGCAAGGTGCAGATTTCTCATTTCTGCATTAACTTTATTGAACTGCTTGCCAGACACAGACTGCAGTTAATATTGTTTGAGTTTCCGCAGATGATCCACCATCGGCAGAAGAAGTGCAGTACGAATCTGTATCCTCCGTATTCGAAACCCTAAACAAATTGGAAGTGGAACATCTGCTGCGTGGACGGTTTAAGCGGGATTTCCTACCTACTGAGGCGACTTTTCCTTCTGGTTTCCGCAAAGTTGTGCAGCCTGCCGGTCAGTGTCAGCACCTTATTCGGATAAACAGAAAATATCCATACTTAAGCATATCAGATTAAATTTTTTGATACTAGTAACTCAGTATAAAATTTATTACAGCATGTTCAAGTTTTTCCTTTTTTAGAAGCATTTTATGTTTTTATCTTAATAAATTAGATGTTGATTGTTGTTGATCCAAACGATTATTTTTACGCCTAATTATAATAATTATGCGAACAAGTAAGCATTTGCTGTGGGATGGCATTACGGAGCTGTATCTGTACGCACTCGGAGTGCGGGAATAAAATAAAATTATGCTAGTAGTTCTATCTATAGTATACTCGTATACAAGTACACGTGAACAAAATCTTTTAAAATTAACATAAATTTCTTAGACGTTCCTGCTAGCTGCAAACAGCAGAAGTCGATGCAGAGTCATGAAGCAGGCTTTATTTACAGTTAGTCCGTGCTGTGGTTTTTCCGTATAAAGACTGTTTCCGTTCTTACTTCTAGGTTGCAGCACAACACCCATGAAAATTCGCTAGTCATTTTCGTTCGTTCATGGTAAATAAATATGCTACATACGAGTATGTAGTTAAAAAGTTAAAACCGCCGCATCACCATATACGCAGACAACCGCCCGGATAATTATACAGAGCAGAATACAGAATAGGAATACAGAGTAGTACTACGCACCGGTCGCACCCTAATGATGTACTGCAAACCCCACTTTAAATATGGGAAAAGGAAGTCGCAATAATTATTATTACATTTGTTGAGGTTGCGTTTAATTTCACGTTCAAGAGTTTTCCCGCTCTTGCCTTGCCCCTTACATTTGGGCCGCGTTTTATTACGAAAAACGCTTTATTTCAGATCTGAAAGGGTTCGATTTAGCTGCAACAAAGGCATTTCGGAAACCGCTGGGAGTTCCATCGCATTTATTTTTCGAGCAGTACGAAGATCTGACAAACACCAGAGATGTCCTGCTGCAGAAAGCTGGTGGCGCTGTGTGTGCTGCTTATGAAATTGCGTATGGAGATCAAATCGCAGTGTATTCGAGCTTCATGGCGTCGGCGCTGGAAGCCGGACAAATACCGGTAAGATCTCACTGTCAGTGTTTAGCAGCACGTTCTGGAGGGAATTCTTGGTGGTTTGCAAAAGGTCATTCTTTTTTTGCAGTACCAACCACAGGCCACTCCACAACGTGCAACTTTGAGAGCTAAGGAGGCAGGCGATGATTCCAGACGTCGCCTGACTGAGTTTGTCCACATGCTTCCTGGTTTCGAAGAGATTAGTGCTGAGGATCGGGATATTTTGCTTTGGGACAAGAGTCTTATTGGTACTTGGGTACGTATGCTAATCTCGATTATCCGTCTCGATCCGGCATAAAACATAGGATGTTGATGCATAATTAATTAAAGTGACGGTATCATTGGTCTTTGACAGATTCATCACATGAAGTATTTTTGTAAGGGAGACTGGTACTATATTTTCCCGGGTCCGGAGCAAATTCACGCGAACAACTACTGTTTCGAGCAGCTTGGCGTTGCTCTGGAATTCGTGCAGCTAGGCCATAAATTCTGTGCAGTATTTAATGGAATTGGACTCACACTAACGGAATCCTATCTGCTGCTTGCCGCAGCGTTTTTTGACCCAGGTATGTGTTTGTATATACACGAAATTATTGGGCTTCCCGTCAGGGAAGCCCGTGTTTTTTGCTTTTCGGGGCGCAAAAAATTACTATAATTAAACTAATTTTATGTAAAGTAAATTGCACTGTAAAGTGTAAACTATGTAAAGCTGAGAAACAGCCTTCACCATAAATTCAAATACTTGCAGTACCTCATCCGTGCATAGCAGTGTAATAGCCCTAGCCGTTTATTTTAACCTGCTGTCGAAATTGTTAATCAGATTACTTGCAGCAGTCACAGCACACGGTTGTATAATATTTTATTAACAATAAGTGATGTTTGGTAGATACGACCACTGCATCCAATAAACAATTGCTTGGGGATCTTCATATGTTATATATGGATGCGTTAACTTACATGATCGGCCATGGACGAAATGCTGCAGAACGCATTGCGGTCTATAAGAAACTAGAGGAAGCGCATTCTACACCGACTACACTTCGTAGAATGGGTAGGCAATTTTTATCGATTGCTTTTCCTCTTCTTGGTTATGGAGCGTGACATCGCAGAAAAAACTAGTCTTACCTGTGGCGCGTGGATCTCAATACAACCCGTATAAACGAAATTCTACACTGCATACATATTAGCTGCTCATCGTGTTTGTCGTGTGCGCATATGCGGACTGAGCGGAGTTGTTTTGTCCAGAGAACGGTTCGCGCGCATGCAATGCTAACATCGCAAAGGCAAAATATTAAATATTGCTCAAGGCGCTTACGTTTGATCCATATGATGTGCTGATTTTTCCGCTCGTCGACATACTGGCGGCAGTGTGTTTGGATTTTTGCAGTTTCACTTTTATTGTCACATTTTTCCATTGTCGTTTGTAGCAATATTGTCTTTTACTACAGTTAATGCGCAAAGTCATTTATTTTCCCGATTTGATTGTACTCCTTCGCCATGTGCCGGATAGGAATTTTTCACGATTTTCATGGAATCGGAGTGGCAAATCTCATTTTCGGGATAATGTACATTATCCTTCCAGATCACGGTACATTGCTGCAATACTTAGTATACTAATGTATAGTTTTTGGATAAATGTGGATGCTTAACTGTTGATGTTTTTGGATAAATGTGGATGCTTTCATGAGGTTACAAACAAGATGTACAATACAGTAATACTTGCACTGGGTAATACTAATGCGAAGATTTTATTAACGTTAGCGGAATAAAAGTCCTAACAGTTTTGTAAATTGTCATTTCTGCAACCAAAAAAGATAAAAAGTGCCGCACATCTTGATATGAAACCCAGATGTCATTTGTTACATATTCGTAGCCCGCTCCGATCCAATTTAATGCAGCAAATGCAATAAGTAGTATATGGCGCTTGAGACCGATAATGTTAAAATGTTAATATATTCCTGTCCGCGCGAATACGCGATCTTAAGTATTACATTGTCATAGACCTCCCTTCATTCTCACTCCTGGACAAATAATTTCCATGTACACACAGGTAGCAGTTACGGGATACGATTATTCAGTCAGGATTAGAGGATGCATTGCATCCGGTTTACCGTTTCGATCGACAGGCAGTAAGGCAGACGATCTACAGTAGTGAAAGTGAAGTACTTTGTATTTGTGCAGAAGCACTCAAAATATGCATGGTGCAGGTATTGCGACTTATTAGAGAAGCAGTAAAAGGATGCAGTTAGCAAAGCAAAGCCAAAATTCAGATTTTGTTCTAAAACACGATGAACAGTTATATAAAAAAGTCCACATTATGCAAAATTGTGTTGTATGTATTATGCATACTGCTTATGGTCTGCGCATACATACAGTACATACATAGGCAGACCATTCTCACAGTCATAACTCGTACCCTGTACATTGTGGATATAAATAATATTAATCAGGTGAAAGAAAGCAAATATTAATTTTTTAAAGCGGTATTTCTTTGTACCACAGTTATGATAGGTTAACACACAGCAAAGCCCAACAGTTACTGGAAATTTGCTGAGTTAGTCAGCTTCTTACCAAGCACTAATAATTCGCTACTAAAAATTAAAATACAAAATGCTGCATTAATGTATTTCCGCCGCAATGACCATCTGTACAATACTTCCATACCTTACATTAATTACATATCTGTAGAGCTCGAGGCTGCCGTTGCACTGTTACATAGGTGCTGAACCCCGGTACTGCACTAGTCTTGCGAGAATATCGCAACAACACAGACATTAGAAAAATAATATCATAATAGTGGACTGAAGCCCTGCTAACTACAATCAATTTATTATTTTTTAGCCCTTTTCTCTGACGACACTCAAAATTTTGTGTTTGATGACAAAACGGTGGATTTTTTTCATGCATCGGACGCCATAACGATAATCAATGGAATCTTCTTCCTGGCGGTGGGAATCTGTTCAATGGTACTGGCCCGACGATGGATGGAAAGCCTGAAAATCCGTGTACTGCTGCAAGTGACCTTGGTCTTGGCGATAATCAGCGTGGTCATTTGTCCTATCACGTTTATCTTAAATATCTTCGGCACCTACGACGCGGCATACCAAGACTATGTTATAAGCCCTAATGCAGATGACGGAAGTCCCACAACCACGGTGGATTCTAACGCTGTCACGGCCAGTCCCGATACCGGCAGCACGACAGCATCCAGTAATCGGGAACAAATGAAAATCCAGCTCAGCGTAAGTGCTATGATCGCGGCCCAAGGAATTTGAGATTTAAACTATTATATGGCTGTACTAGTCAACGAACCGCTATATCAGATTGAAAAATAGTTCATTTTGAAGATTCCTTAAAATTGTAATTTACGAGATATCTCGTGATTCACCAGATATTTTGGTTCTGGCAATTATTGACATACCGCCTGCGTTTAAATATCGAAAATGAATACTGCTTTTATTAGTACAGTAGATGATGCACTATATATGAGCCAGCACTCGTCACTAGGCTGCCTTAATATTTTACAGTTTATTTGTGAAGTGGTAAATGCATGAGACTGGCACTTCCATTTATCTCCAGACGGCAGACACAGTCACGCATTAAATTTTGTTATTAAATTTTGTCAGCAACATACCCCGCCGGCCTGGGCGCCATTTGATCGTATTAAGCGGTTTTTATTAATCTTTTCCGAACCATAAAAACTTCAACATTTTATGAAAACGGATGCATTAGTTCTGAACGGTTCTAATAAACTAACCATTTTATTGTTTAAATTATAAGGATGTAATTGATATACGAGGACGATCGTGATAATGCAAGCAGTAATAACGTGGTTTAAATTGAAATAGAAAAACGCGGTATTTATTGTTATCGTAATGGCACTCGCAAACAATACTCTCGAGTCTCGCAAGCAGGCGACAGAGACAAGACAAAATACTGCAAAATACTGATAAAGACAAAGCAAGATAGTGATAACACGGTAAATTTATATTTTGATATTGTTCTAATATAAGATATTGATATTGTTCTGTTTGTGTTTTATGTTTTGTGTTTGTTCACGTCTTTTTGTTTTTCAGGTTGTTCTGAATCTGTTCATGTTTGCTTCTCGATTTCTGGAATATCGTTACGCCATATGTGCGACATTTGTCTTAATTGCTTTTGGAGCCTTCTTCATGAATATCGCCTTGATAGTCATCATCTTCAAAACCAAAAATTTCCAACCAACAAATTTCACACACACTGCACCGGAGCCGCATCTCGACACCGTTCCCTACGCGACGGTTAGAAGTAGTGCTATCAATTACCGGAATATGGACGATACAAATGTTGTCATCCAGCCATTACCGGAAACACCGGGCGTCGCTCCCGCTCACACTACAACGCCATCGATGAATGCTATACCCAACGGGATTAACTTTGTCCATTAGTGGGTATTTTGCTTGTGTTTAGTCGTATTGAATTACCATGGCACTTTCAAATTTGCTGATGATTTTCATCAAATGAAATGCATAAAAATTAATACTAACATAGTTTATACTTATTCTATGCTATGCTGTACATTCATAAAGCCAAATTGCAACAGAGACGAACAGGTGTGAACTGAACACAACACAAATAAAAACAAAAAAGACAAATAAAAAAATGTACTCCGTTAAATTTTAAAGCTAACCTAATCAATTCAGGAAAATGTTAAGTGTAATGTTTATTTCTGTTTCTCGAATCTAGAGAATTCACACTGTACTTCATAGGTTCGGAAAGTTGCATATTGTATGCACCGGTTTGAAGTTTTAACATTGTCTGAGGTCACTCTACGATACACGATCATGCCAGGCATCCAATATCTATAAGAATTTTTATGTCTGCTGCTATGTACAACAAGAATAGCTAAGAAGTACCACAACAATCAGAAAATACTTGTACAGATACAAATATGCGATGGACAGCACAAAGACCGACAGAGAGTTCTATACTCGGTAGAGGCGATCGACAAAATTATGTAAAGCTGTAAACGCACCCATGAAACGGACCGACAAGATGACAAATGTGTCGGCCAAAAACCAGCAAAAAAGAAACCCAATAAAATGGCATAAGATTGCTATAGATGTTAAAAACAGAAAAACGAAAGTTACAGCTATCCGAAGGAAGTCAAGAAAGTCCAAGCCAAGATATACTGGCACGGCTGCGTAGAACGATGCAACATTACTTGACGCACTCCAATAACGAGATCTTACCTGAAGTAAGAGTATTAATTCAACTGGCAACACTGGGCGCATACTACACCGTAAGCCCGGATAAGATAATGTGTTAGCATCTTTATATACAGCGTTCAGGGCTCTACCGATAATTCATCTTTTCCATCTGTTGAGGACGGAATCGAGATCCAACGTAATATAATGAAGAGTGCCGTATCCACTCTTGATCAATTTCATTGTAGCGCATAATTATCCCATAGAATACTGGCAAAATAACATCGAGCTGGAGTGGACTAGATTCGTGTAGTCTTTTGTGCAGGGATACTTCTGTTTTGAGGGAAATCTTCACGAAAGACCCAAGGTTCTGATGGATGGTAACAAAGTAAAAACAATATATAATCCACTCCACGTTATCCGAAAAAAAACCCAATAACAAAATAAAACCGGCGGAGAAAACGTCACGGAAAGAGGCACCGAATGATTGAGTAACTATTTGATAATCTGCGATATGGTCCAGTAAATCCACGACAACACACAAACTTTCCCAAAAAATGCCACCGAATGTCTCATCGTTCCAATCACAAAGTAATCCCTGAATCCAACAAGGAGTTAAGCAGGACATTAGCGGACGGTGTGGTCACGGGGATTTTAATATCCGTCCGTCCAGTAGCAAATACCGAAGCCGGCGGCAATGGTCCGGCCAGACTAGTCAGTCCTTCCAAAACCGGGCGCGGTGTCTCCACCGGACGACTTAACAATTTCTGCAGTGTCGGTGTACTAACGCCCGGAGACAGCGGCGATGCCATCATATTCACCGGCGAATGTGCAACGAAGACCAGTGGACTCATTGGAGATCCCGGCATTGTGGTGCAAGGTGTGTAATGGTCGTTAAACGATAACGCTACGCTGTCCAGCGGACCGGGAACAGCCGGTGTCCTGGCGCAGAGTCTTCCGTGAATTTGGTATTCCGCATCCGTTGCATACTTCTTCCCGCACGTGCACCGGTATGCCTTCTTCACTCTGAAAAAACCAGCATACATTAATTCAGCGCGAAAAAACACGTGCAACACGGCGCTGATCGGCATACTTATGGGCAGACGATTTTGCGTGGTATTTAATACCCTGCATGTTTTTGTACTGTTTGGAGCATCCGGGCACTATGCAAACAAATGGCTTATCCACATTGACCCCGTTGTCCATTTTCAGGCGCTTCGCAGCGTTCTCCTTACTAGAAACAAGCGTATCATGAAACTCCTACTCCAGTATTTCGCCATGTAAATACTCACACACTTAAAAACAGTACGAAAATGTTGTAAAAGACGTAAGCAATTTAAACAATGTACATGCAAACACCCGCTTAATGCAAGCCAGTCGCCAGATGTCTGGCCGCAGTCAGCAATAAAACTGTTCAGGTACAACAAACAAAACTGTCCGTAAACAATAAACCAATAAAACAGTTAAGGTTAAGTTAATCGAAACAACTGGTGTCTATCAACAAGTGGACCGATAAAATTATCGTTTGAAAATGTGGAAGCTTTACCTTTGCGTAATAATATGTTCTTCCGAGAAATTTTCCGCGTAAGTCCAACTGTTGTTACTGTTATCATCCAGTTCGTAGTCATCCACATTCCGAGAAGATGCCGTACTTGGAGCATAGGTTGATAAGGTCGTACCCGTCATATTAGCAGGACTCAGTTGGTTAGAACAACTGTCTTCAGCTGACGATTCCGACCCTATAATTTCATGCGACAGTTATAGTTTCATTCATTGTCCTTAGTAATAATTCCCCGAAATACATCTCAAAAATAAATTTAAAAGACAAGTCTATCGGTTAAAAAACTAGGGATTGTGTTCTAGACACAAAACAAGCAATCTTTTTTACCGCGTCCAGAATCCGGTGACTGCGCCGGAGTAACGGACAGCATCCTTGCCACTGAGGAAGTGGGTGTCTGATAAACCAGAGGAACATTGACCGGTGCCTTTCCAACTCCCGCACTTACAAATCGCAGAGGACCACCGCTGACCGGAACGGTACTGACATACACTGTTCCCGGAGGATTAGCCGGACGGTACGTGTACTGCAGCGGAGTGGTCATCCGAAATCCGGCCACCGATGAGACAGCGCTTCCAACGGTATTCACAGCATTCGCTGTGGGCATTCCCAGAGATGAATTCTGATGCTGCAAAGCAGGTGCCGCAGCCGTACTGGCAGTACTCGTATAAACAGCACTGCTTTCCGCTAAAGAACTGGCAGTATTGTTCGGTGTCCAGATTGTGCGCACGGACGACTGGCGCGCATCCTCCTCGTCCTGTTCGTCCCGCAGTCGCTTCTTTTTGTTGATCAGTATTTTCAAGACAGCCTGTGCCGCTTCCGCCTGGTCGCCGGACTTCAGGTGTTTCGTGGCTTGATACAGTTTGTCCAGAGGCAAATCCAGCTGCTTACTGGATGTCCGGATGGACGCCGGTTGAGCAACGATCTGTCCCGGATATGAGACCGGATGCAACGGCTGATAGGGGGTGGCAGTGTATGCCAAATTGGTCGGGATATAAGGCTGTGCCGTGGCCGCAGTGGACGGGTTCGTCAGCGCATAATGCGGCGCCATGTGCATGGCCGCTGAGTATGGTTCCAACGGCGCTGGCATGGTGCAGCCGATGCCTTGAGCGGACGACAGCAGCGGATCGGGCTTGTATTCTTCCGCCAGAACGCTGGCTATGATCTCCTGTACCTCCTTGGGTGACATCCCGACTTCGGGAAAATATCTGCACACGACGATAAGCGCAGTAGTTGCAATTGGTAATATTTTAATAATAACCATAGCAGCAATAATAATAACTGTATCTCTACAAGTAGTAATTAATAACACTAGTGACCAGCAGTAAAAATAACTGCAAATGTCGGTAGTACATGTAGTCAGTAGTGATATTAATCAGTAGAATACTTAACTATTGATAATACTGCAAATTTGCAACTGTGGTTATTCCATGCTACAACTATACAAGTACTGCAAGACAATCAGCTGTTTCCGCTGTGTAATCGCAAACCATTCGAAAAAAAAACAGCTGCATGTTTGCAAGAGTTGCGTACCGAAACTGCGAATGCGGAGGAATTCCTGCAACATTTCCATGTCGATCTCGGAATACCATTCGCTTGATCTCTTCGGGCGCTGCAAGAAATAATGTATCAAAATACGCTGTCAAAATCGCACTGATAAAAATTATGTTGCCTGGTAGTCGGCATATCTGCACTAAAAAATGCACGTAGTATAATTTTAATACAGGATTTTAGAACTGAACTTACTGGTATGAGTGGACTCCACGTGCATGGCCAGCGCAAAGTAGTCCTCGCGGCGTTCATTACAGCGCGGATACAAACAGCGGTAACCGACATACTCTGTTCGGCCATCTATTGCACCGGATGTCATTTCCAAAGGGTCCACGGAGAAATTGTGACGATGGGGAAGAAATGAAATTGCTCCGCACGGTATCAAAGGACACGGCAAGCATTGCGTCGAGAACCGAGACTGTTTTAGATGGTGCTACAAAATTCTTAAGTTGAAATGAATATGACTACGAGTAGGTATATGACTATTTTTTGAATAACCTAGTAGTCCCATTACCGTCTTTTATTTGCGCTGATTGTTTTAGCTGGAAACGTTCTACGCTCATCACGATCGTGGCGGGATCGTGGTGCCTGGGCCTGAAAACGTACAGCCACAACGATGGCAAACCTGAGAAAGGCAACCCAATCTCCTAACGAGCTTTAGATCACTTGGCACGCTGCAAACATTTTAAAATACAACAGAAATTTAATTAAACCAAACGTTTCGCAACTCAAACAGGGAGAAAGTACCACAAATTTGAAAACTAGTTACTAGTACAAGAAACTGCAAACGACAAGCCCGAGAAACTCGCATGGTAGAATTTCCACAGTGCATTCGGGATTGTGGTCTGCAGGACCACAGTCACCACAGGCACACAGTGGCACACACCATCGTGAATTGTGCTCCCCAAGGAGGTGGACTATTCGACGGAGATTCCCGTGCTGCAGAAATTTAATAATTAGTTTCTTTCTTTGCCAATAGATGTATTTTCTGTTTAACAATAATAATTTTTAACTTGATGTCTGACATCTATCTGTTTACTCGTTTTGAATTTTTAAACATAATTAATAGTATGTTTGAAAACTGCATGATTCTACGTGGCACGAAGTCCGAAACGTATGACCTGCATGCATATGCGCACTTATAACCGGCATGTGTAACGTGTATTATACAATACCTAATACAATTCTTCGACAAGTTCCTTTTCATTTATTTTGCTCACAGTTCAAGAAATTTATTACTCATATGTAGCCAATGTAGGTACTATAAAATTGTAGCGTGTTTCCTGTAAAATTAAGAAAGTTGGAATGTACGGATTACAACTTTGGAGAGCTTATTGGTTCTCCTAACTACACGAGTATAAAATGATGCAGAAAGGTAACACAGGTGTGTGTAATTCGATTTTGTGCCCTTTTATTTCCTAAAGCTGTTTCCCAGTGGGACAGTGCATTAGGCAATTTTATGCTGGTCACCGTCACTGAAGGCGTTGCCGGCAAATATCTGTATAGTAGACTGTAGGTAGGACAACGCAACAGAGCAGCAAGAGCATAATCTAGACGTACGGTTTTAAAAGAAATGAATAATTAGATTTTCCAATACGGTGTGTGCTGTGGGGATAACCGGTTGTGTTAAAAAATAAAGGACGATCATTAAATGATCGTTTTACATGAAAATGAAACTGCCGTAGTTGTAAACTGTAATTAATCGTAAGTAAAAGTGACTTTTATTTAAAATTTAATTTTTTTATTATAACTACGGTAGTTTCATAACGGACAACGTTTTATTGTAAAACTTTATCTGTTATATTATATCTATTTCACTATTTGGATTCGTTTGTGCACCAAATTTACAATTTTTAATTTGTAAACTTATTTATGTACAACATTTGCGATAGAGTAGGTTACAAAATTTCATTGTTCAATCAAATGCAATTTGTGGCTTTTTTAGCGCGAATACAGTAGTATGTGAAACTGCAGAGTGTGGTGCTACAGGAGAGCCTGGCACTGCAAAATTTGACTCGAAGCTGCGTAACACGGTAACACAGCAACGATTCCTTCTTCCCATATCGGATATCCATATGTGGCGATTGATCCCAATCCCCAGTAGCCACACAGTGCACGTGAAGATGATTATGCCTTCATCGATCTCCCACGACAAGCCTTCCAGATATGCTCATACTCGCACTGGAAATGAATTTCAATATTATTCCGTTTAGACTGACAATTTTTGGCCATTTCTGACAGTGCGATTGATAGCCACTGTCTCATCTGCATCGGTTTCGTTAACGCACATATTGTCGGGTTTTATTGGTTCATTTTCCACTGGTTGCGGAAGTGAATGGTCTTCCATTGTGATGATCTCGCCAAGTTTATCGAATTTGATTACACCATCAGAAAGAGAATTGCCTGGGTTTATTGCGACCATCTGTTCCTTAAGGGAAAATGTCTGACTGGTAATTCGACAGATATGATGATTATCTTGCGTAATTTCAAGGTTACACTTGTACGCTCATGTGTTGATATGGGAATTTGTCTGCCTGCAGGGACACAAACAGTCATGGACGCGGCTATTCTGGTGCGGCCTTTGATCAGCAGGTCGGCCGTACGGAGAAATCACCCTTGGAGAAGTTCAAGGAACAGTTCTGGACAGCCAAACAGGTTGTGCTGCAAAAGTTAGGCAAAAAGGAGGATCAGCATCTGATTGCTAGTGATGCTGAGCTTGATGCAAAACTGGAAGTAAGCATATCTGCAAATGCATAGTGAATATTCAGAATCTCAGATCCTGCAGTCTGCACGTACTTACTTTTGTACATGTGTAAGGTTACTCTAAAGGCCTGAAATTCTGTATGTTTGAAAGTGGCCTACTTTGCCGGATATGATGTTAATAACTATTAAGCGCTTGGTAGCGGTTTAGTTTCTTGATTATTTTGATTTTAAAACTGGATACAGGGGTACAGCAATCCTCAGTTGAGGGCAACTTGAGGGTGAGACAACGTTCAGTACAAACTAAAACTCTATCAAATAAAAACAGTAACCTAGATAAAACCAATTCAATAAATTAAGTGTTATGCTGTGACTTTGCGCTCGACCCATCTTTTGTGGTATTGATTTCTACTGACCGGTTTGGCTGATCTTTTTTCCAGCTCTACTCTTCCATCAAGATTTCCTCTGGTGGATTAATGCGTATTGCAAATCGCTATCAGAAGGAGATGCATGGTAAAATAAAAAAAAGTTGATTGTACCCTAATTAAGACATCTCTAAGATGATTTTTTATGTTTAATGTTTAAACGGTTCATAGCCCAACCGGGTTGGGCCAACCCATCCATTTTGTTCAAAATGTGGCTTACGAGTGTGAATGCGTTTTAGAATTATCGAAGGAAGAATATGCAATGGGTTTATTCCTCAAGCGTCATGGTGAACAAGATCCGAGTAGAGCCGGTATGATGCTAGGAAATGTGGCCAAAGCGCTAGTCATTTCCGCCCAGAAAAGGTGAGAAACATGATCTTCGTCACAGCTTGTTGTCCTACAGACAACAAATTGGCACACCGTAACTTCCGTACTCTTTTACGGCAGACTGCAGCAACAACTGACTATAAGCGTTAGTGCAAATAAATTAATAATAATATATGTAGATATTTGGGGTACATAAAAAACTTTTTTTCGCAAAGCTTTAGAATTAGAAGAGTTACGAGTAGTCGAGTCTCGTATTGTCCACCCACTTTCGCTTTTACCGGTATGCAAGTCCTGCCCAACGTCCACAACTTATTTTAATTATACCAGTTGTTACAAGGGATGAATTAAAACTTATGAGTTTTATCACTTTAATATTTTTCACGCTTTTACTATGAAACTGCTGCTTAAAGTCAAGTATGATATCTTGAACTTCTTTGATATCTTGAAGTTTGAATTTCAAAAGTCCGCGTCAAAAACGGGCCTAAGTTTTTGAGAATTTTTCGAGTGAATCCGAAATTTAATTTTATTCCAGTCTACCTATCAATCCCGATTGTATGCAGATCCTGAAAGAAACACTTACAAGTGTAATGTGTGATATTACTTATATACAAGTAGTTATTTCAGATTTCAGACTTTTGCATAAACTCTTCACGTATTACGATGAATTCTTAAAATTTCAGAATTATAGCCCCCCTTGTGTGAGCTGGATTACATATTAATCAATTAATGAAATATAGATATTAATCTTTTGTGAGCTTGATTACATACTTGCGCGTAAATGTGCGCTGATCGGGCCACAACTAAAAAAGTACTTTGAGTAGAAAAGCGTGCAATCAGCTTATCAGCATAAAATCATTTTCGCATTTCACTCTTTCATCTTTATGTCAAAAGCCAACTAAAGTTCCGCGATGACAAATTTGTATCCCAAGAACCAACCCGATTCCAGTAAACAAAGTTATTCCGTCGCTGCTATTAGAGCACATCCAAAAACCAAAACAAATCTCGTTGGACACTTGTAAGTTGTAAGCTTTCTCAAGTGAGAAACCAAAACATTCCTTCCCCTTGAGCACCCGCACAATGGGGAACCACAACAACCCGCGAAACTCAAACATGTACACAAAATATGCAGAATGATCAAAGACTTCACTGTCACAAACCGCTATACGATGGGAGACGAACAGCTTCGCACAGTGGAGAGATCTTTTCGTGTTAGAATGGTCAGGGTGTTCAGTTTAGGCATTGACTGCCTCGCAGGCATCGATCCATTCATTGTACACATCGATGGCTTCCATGAGAGCGTGTATCTGGCACTGGTAGGTCTCGCTGCACACGTTACACTTTACCGTACCAGTATTCCGTTCGCGATCCAGCTTCACCTCGCAGGAACGTTCGTGATTGCAGAAGGGACAGTTGAACATGGTGGCCAGATTCTCCAGCTGCTTTCTCTTTGCTGGGGGCTTTCGCTTGCTCTTTCGTTTGCCCATGGTCGTTTATGGAGCCACACTTCGTAATAATCTTCCAGAAAGGGTGAGAAACCTCTGGAGGTCAACAGTGTTTATGTTGTGTTCTAAAAAAATTCGATTGTACGAGTACAAACCAAAACGCGGAAAATTTCCTCCTGTTGAAAATATATAAAATCTTTGACTGCTCCAGTAAAGATTATGAGAGGCTTCCATTGTCGTGAGCCGTGAGGGCACCGAGCTGAAAGTTTCAAGTGGAGGAAAGACCCTCGCTACGTTACGCTACTTTATTGTACTGTGATGTCCGGTTCCGGTTCAACATCAGCTCACTTGCAGATTTTTTTACCGCGCTTTTTCCACTGTACGGTAGACCTTCCGATTTCTCGGAATAAAAAAAGTCATCATAGCTGTTATCGTTTTAAATTGCTTAATGTTATAAGTTTGGTGTTGATTTTTAGAATGGAGGCACGTGCTCCTCTAATACGACTTGCTCAGGACGCCCGCACATATCGTAGATGCGCCGTCACCGATACGGAATCCAAAATCGAGCAAATGGAAGAAGCGCGCACTGAATATCGCGGTGCATTATTGTGGATGAAGGACGTGTCCGAAGAGCTGGATCCCGATACATTCCGTAAACTTGAGAAATTTCGCAAAGTGCGTGCTGGCTTTTATATTGCACAAAGTTGATAAGAACAAATTTAACGACATACTGTACTATACTACAATGCGTCACATGCCTTGACTTTGCTTTCCACATTTGTTTTATGCTCGTAAACTTGTAATTTGTAATTATTACAGTAGACCGGTACCCATAGTAAATGCATTATGCACGTATAATTTGAGTTCACTTGCCGGAGATACAGTTTTTAAATACTGTTAGTGACACCGTTTTTTTTGGGTCTAGGTGCAATCTCAAGTTCGTGCCAAAAAGGAAAAGTTTGATTGTAACAAACTTGATACGCTTCAGAAAATTGATCTCCTAGCCATCAGCCGCTTGAACATGCTATCACAGTCGTTAACTCCCTATGGGACATCAATGAATGATTTCCATGAAAAAGTTGCGGCAGTTTTATCAGCTGTGGTTATTCCTGGCCATAATCCCAATGAAGCTGAGCTGGGCTTGCTGCAGGTAATTAACATTTATAATCAAGCGTTCTGTATAATAAGAAACTGTGATAAACAATAAACATATCATTACGTATGCCTTTAGCACACGGGGGCAAACAAAGCCACATCTCACTCGACGCAATCAGTGTCAAAAGATGATGATGCCCTTCTTGACCTTTCCGGTGACGCCGCGACTGCCAACCAGGTTTGCCCCGCGTCGTCATCAGAATTACTGGATGCGTTCTGGAAGGAAAGTGGGCTGGAGAATAATAATTTTGATCCACTTTCCGCTGCAATGGATGGATTGAGCTTCGAATCCAGCGAAGTGAACGACCGTCAGGACCAATCACCGGAAAATAATCCTTGTACGTATCTAGAGTGTTTCGAACTTTCTGCATTTTTTAAGGCCGTGGTTTTTCTTCTTAATGCCGTTTTTTTAACAAAAGGTAGGCAGACGATGAGCATGTAGAGCAGTCGGATTAAAAAATTGTAGGAATAAACAGAAAATTTTTAAACAGAACACGGAACAAATGCAAACAGGAATAAACAAACAGACAACCTGCCGCATGCGATTTTAGAATTGAATTAAGTCACAGCGCTTGTATACTACAGTTCGAAGTTAATAGATCTGACTACTTTACAATTAAACGTGCACAATTTTATTTCAGTTCCCATATGTATATATCAAAATAACTGCATTCCGTATAACTTTTGGCTCCCATTCCAGCAAATAATAAGTCGTCATGGTTTTTTAGTGGCGGGTTTGTTTGATTTTTCGGAACTGGATGAAACGGAAAAGGGAAACATGGGATTTTTTGCTGGTGATACTTTACAGCCGGCGAAATCGTTCGCAGCGGAACAGTCATCTTCTAAAGACGCTCCAACTGGCTACAAAGCATTCCTGCCTTCTCAGTTGCTGAAGAAGGGCTGGACTTCGTCACTTTCTTCACCTACAGTTCCCAGCAAACCCGAGGCGGGTGAGAAAACTGCTAAATCTAAGGTAAATTTGTCCAGAATGTCCGGGCGTTTTACTGCATTCCTTTGTATTCTTCACTCGGTTACTGTTGTTTTCATTCAACATATAGGCATGGCAGGATTTATTTGCCGATTTGGACCCTTTAACCAACCAATCCGCATCTGCGTCCAGGCGAACTGACGGGAAAGAGGAAGAGGGCAGCTGTTAAAAGTTTCACTAATGAAGTGGATTGTGTTTCTTCTTTATGCATACCGGTGGCCGATGGAATTTCGTGGATAACGAGTTTTTTGTGCTTTTTAATTATTTGTGTTGCGAAGTTATTTCATTGTTTTATCTTAAAACTTGTTTGTTTGATTAAGTAACATTGTTCTTAGAGTGCTTATTGAAGAATCTGATAATTTTGGTGCATGGCGTGCCTGTATTTTTCTTGTCTGCAGCACGATCGGCTGTTGCCTGTTAAGTACTTTGTTGTCAACTCTGAAGTCGTCATCATTAGCGCCGTGCTCCTCATGCGGGACGCACAATACTTCCTGTAATCGTACGAATAGGAATATCATTGTGGTTCGCTCTGTATTTCAGATCAGTGACGAATAAAAAGTGATAAAATATGATAAAAATGCTGCTCTATCGTCTTATTGGCTTTGCGCAAGGGAACAATTTAAATAAACTCAGGTTACAACGTACAAACAGTGGGCGGTACAATTTTGATTACTGTACAACTTAAAAATTTTCATGGTCTACCATAGTTCTACCATGAAATGTTAAGAAGGCTCCATAGCTCAGTTGGTTAGAGCGCCGTGCTAATAACGCGGATGTCGTGGGTTCGATCCCCCCTGGAGCCACTTTTTTTCGGGTTACCTGAAGTTCTCCTTCTTTTTAGTTTTAAAAACAGAATTCTTGGTAAAACCCGTATGCTTTCAGTGCAGTTTGTGAAGGTACATACTGCGTAAGTGGCAATATCATAGCAACCTTGATAGTTGATACGAACGATCTGTAATCGGTAATAACCTACAGTACAATACAGTACAAGTTAGTACAATATAGTATAAACAACTGTACGAGTCGCAACGAAACCGCATTTTGCAACTGTTTAATTTTAAAAACAATACAGCAAAACAATCCACACCATGTAATCCACATCTAACACAACCTCCGTACCAAACAAAATATCCTGTCACACTGACTACCATTATTTACCAAAACATCTCAGACCCGCCCAAAATTACTTATTAAAAGGCAATCAGACACCAGATGTAACGTAAAAACAATTACAGTGTTCTGTTTTGACTACAAAGAAGTGAGCAAATGTTCCTTTGTAAAATTAACACCAGCCAAAGCTTGATGCAATTCAAAAATCAAAATGACATTATTCTTTTTCAACACCGGTGCAGGCAGATACAGCGTCTGCTGCGGACCGGCACTCGGCCAGTACCGTCCCAAATTGAACCATCCGTTGACAAAGACCACCCCGCGTCCCCAGCCGCGCATATCAACAAATGTATCTGCCGGTTCACCGGCAATGTCCAGCTGCAGACGAAACAACGCGGGACAGGCGGCGCCGAAAGGATCGCTGTTCCAACCGGCAGACATCTTTGCAATTTCCTGAACTTCCCGTTCTTGAAATTCCATAGGGGTGATTATCCAATCCGATAGCACTTCGCTGTTAAAAGTAACTGTTCCAACAATACCTTTCCGTTGATCATCCAAAGTCTTCGGATGGCGTACAAAGTTGGTGCGACCCATGTTCTCCACAAGTAGCGACAGTCTATTCATATTTCGCTGTTGCTCCGATTTCTTCAGCTGAAAGTAAGTACGATGATCACATTATTACATGTAAGCAGTACTAATAAACGATCAAACTGAATGTCGTTTAAACTTTAAAGGCTACAAATACCAAATTCATTTTACTTCGTGAATGCTTTCGTAAACAGCAAGCTAAACATATAACAAAAAAGCGGGCGCTGGTGCCCTTTAGGGTAAGTAATTTGCAGCATACCAAAACGGTTAAAACTTATAAAATTCTTCTGATATATATACCTGGATAGTGTTGTTTCTTCCGGCTACATATTCGATTATAGCCTTTTCTTCCCCATTCACAAGGACGATAGCCCGATCACAAACTTTTTCAATCGTCAAACTTCCATCAACATTGGGGATATCCCTCTCGTATAAAATGAAACCATGAGACTGTCCATAGCCCTGCTTATAGTCTAACAGCTCCATCGGCACGACTTGCTTCGAATTAATTTTTGGCATAACGGTCTGGATTCCTGACAGGGGCAGCCATCCGGACACCTGCACGTGCCCATACGACACGGGCTCTTTCCAGACAGGAGGCTGAGGAAGATCCGTAGCCAACAACCCAAACGTTTCAAAAATATGACGCGTTCGATGCCATTTCGGAGTGATCTCCCCATTTTCGCTGACCAGGGCGTCGTAATCGTAGCTGGTGATGGTCGGTTCGTATTCCATACCAGAACTTAACCCATTATTGCCTCCATTCATAAAACCGAAATTTGTTCCACCAAAGAACATGAAAATATTGACACTGCTGCCATGGGAAAGAATGGCTGATAGCTCTTTAGCGTACTGCTCAACGGGGATGGTGTGCCGCTGTTCATTCCAGTGATCAAACCAACCAGACCTAAAGAAGCCAGAAATGAATCTAGGTAGCATTTACACGTTGCGAGTGCGACATATATCTACTAAGTACTGTACCTGCGCAGGTTTCTAGTCTCACTTTCTACAGTTAGCAATCTTAATATAACTGCAAAATATAGATATGTGGAATGTGTTACACAAATGTACTCGTATTAGTCGTATATGAAATATATAATATTTCCTACAATCCGAGGCCACAACTGGCAAATAAACTGACCACGCATAAACTTACCAGTATTCCATTACCATCAGGGGCCGATCTGGCTGGGCAGCGGCCAGTTGGTCCAGAACTTCGCCCATATTATGTTGGTCATTTACTGTCATCCAAACTGAAAACCAGTTAAACGTTTAAAATCCTGAATGATTATACTGCAGATCTTAGAGAGCCCGCTACAAAGTTGAAATAAAAAAAAGTTCACAAAAAGTGCCTACCATCGGTTGCCCTTCCGTGATCAAAATCCTTATAACCATCGGAAGTCATCAGCAGCTCCACGATGTTGTGCTTTCGGATAAGGCTTGCAACAACGTCCACATACTGCGAATCCGCTGCATAAGCGCCATACTCGTTCTCCACCTGCACCATTATAATCGGACCGGTTTTCGTAAACTGCAAGTCGGCAACCATTGGCAGTATTCGTCCGAAGAAGCGATCCACGGCATCAATATAAGGCTGATAAGTGGTGCGCACTCGCATGCCAGGGTCATGAAGCAGCCAACTAAAGCGCAAAAATATCCCTAAAACACCCATTCGCAATGCTGCATTATCAGAATCGGTTTATGTAAAAGAATCGGTTTATGAATCGACTTTCTGTAAAGAATATCAAGAATTATACCTAATTGCTAAACGGCTATAATTACTGCTGAAGGGTATCGTGCCATAAACATATGATAAAGATAAACTATAAACATATGATAATAAACTATAACATAGTACTACAATATAAACATATGAGCGCACTATAAACATATGACACATGAAGTTTGATTAAAATTTTAAACCATTTTAACTAACCTGGGAAGCCCACCGAAATCCCACTCCGCGCAGATGTACGGCCCAGGTCGCAAAATAACAAATAAATCTAGTTCTTGGGCAATTTCAATAAACCTCCTACGGACGTATGGATTAAACACATTTACCTCAATTCAGACGGTTAATTTTATTAAGCACTACCTGAGATTTAAACCATTTTCGAAATTAAATTTTCCCGGGAGTGGCTCGTGTAAGTTCCAAGCGACGTACGTCTCCACCGTGTTTAGGCCGCATGCTTTGAGCTGCAGCAAGCGCTCCCGCCAGTATTCCGGCAAGACACGGAAATAGTGAACTGCTCCGCTTAGGATGCGGATAGGCAGTCCGTTCAACAGCAATTCATGTCCATCCGCAAGCAACCCTGAAACAGGAATACTTCCAGATAAGCTTTCAGCAATGCGAAACACATTGCAACGCAACAAACAACGTAGTCTGCAGCTGCTGCCATCAAATATTGTGCTCACCAGTCAGAGGTCACTATTAAAATAAGTAAGCACCTGTATCCAGTATCAGTACAATAGTGCGATATTTATTTTTAGTTATAAATATCGCACCTATTTTAATCCTACCGTATAATGAAAGCTTTAGAGGTCTGCTGGTCTACTGCTGTAATTATGTAAAGTTGTTAATCGACAAAGTCACAAAGCCTGTACTCCGTAGCTCTAATATCTAATATAGATATCTATATATATATACCTATCAATAGCGCTGTATTAATTTTTGTACCGGTGTACGGTATCTTACCTGTTGCTGGAGTGCAGTGATCCTTAAAAAACCGCAAGCCACGAAATTCTGGCATTTCTGCAATAGTACGTATTTGAAAGAAAGTCTTAGGATAAGAAACTGTGCTACGCGCAGATCTGCAGTAAACGAACAAAAAACTAATCCTATTTCTAAAAAAATACTACAAACACCGTAACTCCTCTCCGTGTCTACCTCTGTCGCAACAAATACTCGTATACAGCCTATTTATGAATTTATTGGCAGTTGCCCATGTGCACAGAAACTATTAGCGACGGCTTTTCATACGCGTTACAACGTACAGTAAGGCTTATTACTTTTATCAGTGATGATCCACAAAGAAACCAGAACGACAGTAGCAAAACTGATGGCCACAGTAATCAATCTGAACGATAAGAACCTCTTTGTGTACACCGTACGCGTATGCATTACGGACAGTCCCATTCTCATCCTTATCTCTATTCTTTGACGGGGTGATAACACAAATGTAACAAGCAGACACCTATACCGATTACAGATTACAGTTTGAGTGTTTGTAAGTGTTATGTCTGTAAATTAGATCAAAATTGTACCTCTTGATCGTTTGCACTAGTAATATGTAGTTAGCCGAAGACTCCGAAGATGCACTCAAGCAAATGCGCCTGGCTGGTATCGATCCTAAAGGTTGAAGCAAAAATGTCTTGCGGCTGTTATTGTATCGCAAGGTGCGGAGGTTTTACGAGACAGCCTTCGTAATCAGGTTTACAAAAAGGTACTTATCTACATCAATTTTGAAGCTAACCATAAGACGAAGCGCAGTACGTACTGTTAATGTGTAATTGTGTACCGTATATTTATATTTTGATGGTAGAACGGTACAGTACACCACCACCGGGCGGTGTTTCTGAAATAAACCGAAGGGTAGGGTTACTACTCGTCGGGTAGGATACTAGGATTTTGGATTTATTTGTACGCCAAGATTAAAGGAATCAAGAATTCAAGATTCAAGAGTCCCAAGAAGATAGGTTATAAATTTAGGATAGAGATTTCAGTTTTCTGGATTGTGAAATTTGCCTTTTTGTACGAAAATATATCCGACATTAAGCGGCAGATGTGCTTCCTAGATCGCTGATAGCAAAGCAGAAATTTACAAATTGGGACTTGAACATTCGGGCCAGTTCGGGGTTCGAACATTTATTTTCGTTATGGATTCTGAATCAGAGATTGCATCCGAGGAATACGCCGACGACAGCGAAGATTTCAGCGAGAACGATGCTTTGGATGGTGAAGTCACGAGTGAAGATGAGGAAGGTGATGCGCACGAATCTGTGAAACATTTTGCGCATCCCCTGAGTGAGTCCAGAGGAGAAGCCGCTAAAGGAAAAGCTGTGCAAAGCCAATTGAGTACGTATTCATCTGCATATCATTATCATAATTTGTGTACTTCTAGACGTATTTGGAATTCAGATTATGGCTGGCTCTCATGATACCGTTGACAATAACAAGGATCGTTTGCGTAATACCAAATAGGACGATTAATAAGTTTCACCACTTGCAGATTTATGGGACGGTCTGCTGGAGACGCGTATAAAACTGCAGAAACCTCTTGCAGTTTGTAACACGTTGCCGCAGGCAGGCAGATTTAAAACATTCGTGGATGCAGCTGATGACACCACGAAGAAACATATAAAAACAGGTACCTAAATCTCTGAATGTACGACTTCACGTTTGCTGTGTATTGCGATTTATACGCATTGCCATTACTGTTTGTGCAAACAGCTCAAGCTGAATTGGGACAGCTGTTAAGAGGCCTGGTCGAAGTGCAGCAGAATTTGCTGGAAAGAAATGCCATCCTCACTGGACCTGATGCTGAAGAGCAGGATGGGTGAGGAATTTGAGAATTTTATCCTGTAATGCAGTACATGAAAATATAATGCCATTTGGGCCAGTTGCATTAATTGTAAGTATATTTTCGTGTACTACAATTGGACCAATTGAATTGGGCTCGGTAACTGTTACGATAGTTTTATAACCATTTCTGTCGCTAGATTTTGTTGACAGCGCACAGTAGGTTTGTGCTTCATAGTTTTACTTCGTATTAGTAAATCCCGGCATCCCCTTACTTGGTGTCAGTGGTTAGTGTGTAATTAGAGGCGTCTGTTGTGAAACGACTGATCTTTGCGAATGCTCTGTACACCTGGTAATTACTGTATTTTATTTGGTTTACAAGCATTTTTGTTTGGCTTTGTTGTAGGAACGAGTTGGATCACGAGTTTTCGTCAGCGCTTGTACATCCGGTTAATTCACTGGATGTCATTGATAAAGGTCTGACGGCGCGAAATGCGGCTTTAAGAAATTTCAGGTATTTCACCGCATTTCCTTTTATGGTGTCGGGTGCATTAAGCTGCATGAGCACCAAAATTCTCGAGTTCTGGACATCCGATTAATCTTAATGAAGTGGTTTGCAGAAATTCGACGTTAGAGAGCTGGCATGGCAAAACACAACAGTTTTCAGTGGGCATGAAGCGAGGATTTTCTGCTTTTGAACAGTCACCGGTTAAGCATATCGAGCAGGTAAATCGAGATTGTGGGCCTGAAAAATGTAACATGCAGCACCTACGAGAGACGCGAATGTTTCTCTGACCATCGTTTGCTTTCTTGATAGCTTATAGTCTTATACTGGTTTATTTTTGCAGATAATGGGTGATGTTGACCGTTTGGTTCACCGGACTAAAATACGAAGAACAGCGTACGAAGTCTTAGTATCCAGCGTGGTGGAAAATTCGTCTGCCACAAATGATAATAAAGTAAGCCGTTTTGTCTTTAAATTATTTCTTGAGCTGATCCTGGACAAATTCCGCTTTTGCTATAGAAAATTTCGAGAGCACCCCAGTCCATAGATCAGGAAATATTTGATGATGATGATTTCTATCACACATTATTACGAGAATTAATAGAAAGAAAGACCACTGGAGCAAGTGACGACCCTTTGGAGGTATCAAGGCGAGTTTTTGCGGTGCTTCTAAATTGCTTTTAGACTTTACTTAATGTTTTTTGTATTTTGTATAGGCAGCAAGTGCAGTTGGCGCAATTAAGAAAGCGGACTAAAAAACTTGTGGATTCCAAAGCCACTCGTGACCGAAAGTTGAAAATGGATCCTCACCCTAAGCTGATCAACTTTATGGCGCCGCAACCAGTTTGTGGCATTACGGAGCAAGCACGGTACTGAAATGACTTACCATAATAATTATAAGTTCATTTGGATTCTGAGACGCGTTGACTAATGACACATATTCTTTCAGAAATGATTTGTTCAAATCTGTATTTGGAAAGCTGTTGTCCAATCCTCCCGTCTCACAGTCAGTGAACAATGGCAAAACTGGTGATAATGCAAGAGATATTATACTGTTGCGATCGTAAAATCTTCATTGTTCAGCAGTGGTCTGCTTCTTGCTCTTTGGCGAAATTGGAATGGTTTACTGTTAGAAACTTAGAGACCATTTATTTCCGCATTTGTTTTCCGAAAAACGAAATCAGATAAACTGGGCGCGAATATTTTGGAGGCGACGCAAGTTTATAAAGTGTACGAGTACTTTCAAAAAAAAGATCTAAAAAAACAAAGTGTATTGACAGCCAACGCAACTGCTTCTGCGGGGCGCGTAACCCGCAGTATCGGAAGTATTGAAACAATAGTGTGATTGTATTGAAACAGGCTGGTGAAAAACGTGGAAAATTAAAAGTTATCAACACAAGGATGTATCACATCGCAATTTTTGCGGATCATTGCTAAGCACACCAAAGTCTAAACCTTCTGTTGGTCTGGTCTTTGTGATCCGAGATCTGCTTGTTGGGACTTCGGATTCACGAAACTGGCCAAATGCTCATGAAAATCTTTAAGTCTCCTTTCTCGCGCTTGTATTATGGGGTTCAACCATAGAGAAGGAAAATACTAAATAAAAGGAAAATATTTTCCTTTTCTATGGTTCAGCTGTTCTTCTTGGTGCTCTGTTATAACGAGCATATGACATGTTCTTATGCTGTTGACCCTTTATTGCACCCAGTTTTTCGTCCGTTTGATAAAAGACTGGTGCGTTTCCTGGGGCAGGTAAGCATTTGTACTCCTTTTTCTGAAAATGAAAGAAAAAACGATGCGTGATACGGCCTCAGCTGTAAGCCCGTAACCGGCTACCGGTATTCGCTAACGGTAAGCAGTATTTATTCCTCAATTTCCTGAGCCTTCGTATCAGTAAAATATGGTTCCATAATAAATACAGGTACCAAAAGCCTTGAAAACCAAAAGCCACCATCTATCACGTATTACCGAGTCTACAACACAAGATAGATAATTATACTGAATTTAATTATTATTTCATCAACATGTCAGGACGGGTGCAAAAGCAACAAAGCCGTTAAAAATTCACCACAGCATCGCACCGAAAAAACATCGTAAACCAAGCTGCAACTTGCATAATTATGTGCTCGCATCTATGCGCTCAAGCAATTTTCGGTAACACATTTAGTTTTTAACTACGTTTTTTGATTCAGCAGAGGGGGAGGTTGTTGAGCAGGGGATGGTAAGGGAGCAGTAACAGCTGGTGTTTCAGATGCCGCGCTAACCTGCAATCGAAAGAATACGTACTGATTGCCTGATGAAGACATTGAAAACAACTAGCATATATTGTGCTAGTTACGCAGCTTTTAACAAAGAAAGTAAAGTCAATTCAAAAACTAGTTTCACGAATTAAAAATAACATTATAATTATAAGACTGGCATACCCTTATTGCTTTTTCAAAAGCACCTATGGAAATTTGGAAAAATACAAACCAGGCTCGCACTGCGATCAAACGGTGAATGCGTGTGGATAGTCTTGATTCACGAAGATAAAAACCAGCCGAAAATTAAATGTTCAAACCCATTTCGTTACTACATTTCAACCAATACATCCTTACACATGCCCACCTTCAAAGGCTGAAACATCCAGTGAACAAACTGCGCGCCGGCCAGAGCAGACAGACCAGACGCAAAGGCGAATTTGATGTACTCCCGACTGATCATTTCGAATTTGGATCCACGACGTTTACACAATTACAGGAGCCCCGGTCAAACTTGTGTCGATACTGCCGACGAAGTCTGAGAAGTTGACTGCCGTTGCTCCAGGATTTTTTGATAAGAGCTAAGAAAACTGGGCAGCTCCGGACTGTCGGGAGACAATATGGGAAATGAACTGTCGTGGGCAGCCTTCACAGGAATCAATCGCTCCGGATGCTTACGCTTATATACATCATCTAACAATGATGCCCCATTTACATGGTGATTCCTCTTTCACAATAAATCCATAAAGCTAGACTTACAAAAATTAGTTTCTCCGATAGTCAAATGGATCATAATAAACTGCAAAAGCCAACAATAAGTGAAGCGAAGCTCAATTCTTGTATGCATGTAATCATGTAATGCTAGCAATATGCAAGGGTCCTACAACCTAACCTCAATAGCCGCTCCACATGCGAAGAACAGTGGCAGGAAACGATAGTAACCAAATCGTTCTTTCCCTGGCCATCGATCAAGAAAGCGGTAGAACAATGCTCGCATACTGTCATGCACGATCTGAGCAGTTCGAACAGAAAAATTAAAAGATGTAAAATCGGTAGTTAAATTTGCAGTTTATCACTGTTTATGCTTGTCCCCTAGTCCCCTACGCACCAGGATAGCCGAAGGCCCGAAGTCAAGCCGAAGTCAGCTCCTTCCGACTCGCAGACAGCAAAACAGAAGGTGATTCAATTTTATTACTATCTCAAGATCTCAGTGTTTTAACCAGCGCTGTAATAGTCTAAATATGATAGGAATATAAAGTTCTTGTCAAATGAAATTTAAATTTTATCTTTGACTAGAAAGTATGTACAATAATATACGAGAATTTTTACTTATTAGAGCTTGTTCTGGATAACACGGTACATATAATACGGTAACCGTGACGGTAGTTATCGTGATCGTTCCGATTTTAGCTTGTTCGGCATTCATGACGATAACGATTTCCGTCTAGATCTTCAAATTTTTAAAAAAAATTTTTGCAGTCTTTATTTGAGAAATTTGTAAAAATGAAGAAATCCACTCTATACCTTTTGTACTACAAAAAATATATTTCGCTGAAATTATTCGTGATTCTGCGTCGGCGCTTGATAAGAAACGGAAGGCGAGTAGAGCAGCGTGATAACTGGACCGAAAGAGCTTTTCGTCTAGAGAACTGCAGCGAGAAAGAGTGTTGGGATTATTTTCGATTCAGAAAGGACGATATCCCCACTTTGCGTATATGCCTTAAAATTCCAGATTCGGTTGTGACAGCAACAGGAGACCATGCGTCTGGTATAGAAGCTCTGTGCATACTACTCCGACGCCTGGCATATCCTAACAGATGGATTGATTTAAGAAAGCTGTTTGGTCGTTCTCACGGGTCCCTGTCAAGAATATTTTATGCCACTTTGAATATTGTTGATATCCAATGGAAAAATCATCTATCAACATGGGATCACGACTGGCTATCAGAAGATTTTTTTTGCGTTGTACGCGACTGCAATTGCGGGGAAAGGAGGAATCATCCCTAATGTTTTCGGGTTTATTGATGGTACAGCACGTCCCATCTGCCGTCCTTCGGTGAATCAAGAAATCATGTACAGTGGACACAAGCGATTTCACTGTACAAAATGGCAATCTGTTGTGCTCCCCAACGGTTTAATCTGCAGTCTAAGTGGAGGTCAGCCCGGCACGATGCATGACAGCCGCATGTTTAGGGAAAGCGGGCTTTTAGAGCAGCTGGAGAAGAAGCAGAGAACTTATCAGCGAAAGTTTATACTCTACGGTAAGGTTGTTAACGGTGCGGTTTTTTACCGGTGCAATTTGAAAAAATTGCGGTGCGATTTCGAAACAAAATTGGTACAGGCGGTGCGGTTTTTGAGAAAAACCACACCGGCGCACACCGGTGTGGTTGGGTAACCGCGTTAACGTACACCGGTTAACCACCGGTTAACCGAAGATTTCTAAAATTCGTAGTGTTTTAAAAAATTTAAAACATTTTTATGCGATGACGCTGCTGGATGGGCACATGCCCACGGGGAGCACGGGCTGTGGCGCTTGTAAGTCAGTACCGTATCAGTCGGTATGACAAAGTAGGTAAGTACTCAATGCTATTGCTCACTCACAGTCTCACAATCACAAGTTTCAACTTGTAGCTGCTGCAACAACCGGGCTGCCATAAGATTAAAGAAAATGTGTAACATTGCTGCGTAATAATATTGGCGGCTTGATTTTCCACGCTCTACGTTGATTTGGTTTCGTCACAAATATTCTTAGGGAAATTGTTTTCGATATTTCACGTCTTCATTACAGTTTTCCTACGATTGGATACATCCTGCTGGTGATGCCTTTAGAAGGCTGAAAGCTAGCAGTGCTAAGAAGTTCTGGCGATTGATAAGTGATAAAATTGCTAATTGTTGCTTTTTCTTCTACTAACGTGTGCTACACCGGTGCACACCGGTGCGGTGCGGTGTGAAAAATTGCGGTGCGATTTTTATTTTTCACCGCACCGTCCGGTGCGATTTTCGCTTTACACCGGTAAGGTAAGTGCGATTTCTTGTAAAACCGCACCGACGGCACACCGGTGTACACCGCACCGCACCGTTAACAACCCTACTCTACGGAGATGAAGGTTACGGAAACAATGCGTTCTTGCGGAAGCCGTTCTCGAAGCTGGAAGTACGTACTAACCTCCTGAAGCGCATGCAGAACAATGCGATGAAAACAGTACGCGAAAGTGTTGAATGGGGATTCAAAGAAGTCGTTGCAAAATTTGCGTTTGTTGACTTTAAAAAGCAGATGGCGCTATTACAGAAGCCAATTAACAAGATGTTTATAGTGGCTGTTTTACTAACTAACTGTATAAACTGCATGTATCCTAACGAAGCAAGTCAGTTTTTTGATACGGAACCACCTACGCTGCAGGAATATTTGCAATAAAATAAAACTGCTACATTAGTTTTTAATTTCTAATCGCCTTCACTTATTATGTAAAAATGCTTTATATCTGAGTTTTTCGATATCAAGCTTGTACTTTTCAAGTTCCAGTTCTTTTAGTCTAATCTCTTTTTGATCAGCCGCTTTTTTTTCTTCAAATTGCAATTTTTTCTCTTCCTGTTCGCGAAAAAATTCCATCCATTTCATGTCAGTTTCAGCCTCGTACTTTTTGCTGGCTTTTCGCGATGACCGCAATGCACTGGAAGACGACGATGAGGCCAAATCATCAGCGACAGAAACTCCTCGTCTGGTGCGCAGCTCTTCTTCCCAGTCACGTTCGTCCAAACCAGTTTCACGCAAAAAGGTCTCCTTATCCATTTTCTCTGTAAATAAGATATCAGAGCGTTATCACTGTAATCATTAATTCTGTGCAATTTAATATCGTTAAGAAAAAATTACACAATTACACACAAGAAAACTGCCGTAAAAGAAAGTTGCATGGTGGAATATTTCGTACATACCTGTTGCTTCAGTGTAGTCAGGGCCAGCCCGTCCCGTCTCGCCCGCAGCTCGCATCAGAGACGCTGTGCGATCTCGACGTGTTTCTTTTTCCTTCGCAGCCTTTTTCTTTTCTTCCTTCTCTTTTGCAGCGGATTTAATTAATGAGGCGATATCTTCTAACAGTTGTTCCATGCGGCCGTACTGCTCCTCAGTTCCACTTTTACTTTTATTGCGCAAGTCGTTTGCCTGATAACTGGTAACAAGGGTCGACAGTCTCTCTTTAACGGCTCGCACGTCCAAAGGCCGCTCAAATAGCTGTCAAAGCGGGTGGTTTTAGCAACTGTCTTTCCGTTAAAAATAGGAACGATGATCCTAAAACATGTTAGGCAAGTGCTGCAGAAACGTACCTTGGCATCATTCAGAGATTCAACAACTGACTTCCAGGCTCCCTCTCGATCGTCCGAGGCGTACGGGTTGTAGTGCTGAACTTGTTCAAGCAAAGGTAAATCATGACGTGCCTTAAAGCATCTTCTGGAGATCGCTGTACTGGTTTCCATTTTTCAAAAATCAGAATTTGATGAAAATATTATGTTAAACAAGATATCACTTCAAGTTTAGAAGACATATATTTATTTAAACTTGGTTGCTTTTTAATTTTTGTATCGAGTGGAAGTGCAGAGCCGTGACAGCCGCTTGTGGGGCGGCAGTTTGAGCATACATGCTATTTCCGGTGTTTCAGTAACTTGCAAAATTAATTGTTTTAAAATGTTTTAGAAGTGTTTTCTGCAATTTGAAAAGTTGTAAAACATAAAGGAATGTTTGCTGTACTAATTTCTTGGAAGAGAACGGTAGTATATCAGTTCTGCTACAAGCTGCAAGCTATCGGAAATGCGTGACGATAGCATGGTGTTTTATCGTAATCGTAACAACCGTAACGATGCGAAAAGAGCAGGAAAACGATAAATTTATGGTGAGTCATCATCGTCATGGTCACCGTGGTGTGTCTAGAACAAGCTCTATTTACGATTTACATTATAGCAGTTGGTAGCGCGGTGAAGCTTGTTATGGGGTTCAAATACCCTTAACCTCCAGGGGCCACCAATATGCGGGGGACGTTTCCGACAGTCGCACAAAATAAACAACACCTGCATCCAGCAATCAGCATGTCAAACGAGTAGTCAAGTCCGGTTGGTTTTTTTGAATTAAAATATATTTTTGTTTTTATTTTTAAAGAGCTGTTGAAGAATACCCAGGTTTCTACTTTACTCGCGGTAAGTAGCGCTGTATCATTGTACGTACTTGGAAATTTTGTGTTGCATTAACGCATCTTATGAGGTTGCGATTTTCTGAATCTTAAATAGTCGGAACTCGCGCTCACTCACTAAGTACATTTGCGCCTTCAGTGCAATATGAGGACGTTTCGAGGCTTCGTTTCATGGTTTTGAAATATTCTAAAGTTTTAACTGTCTACTGATAATAATCTTCCAAGGAATTTTGTACATGTGAAGAAAACTTCGAAAGCGAGCTATGTTTTCGGTGAACGTGGTGGTTCTGTGTGTTTTGTGGTCGGGCAAGTCTCAGATTAGAGCGGCATAGGCGAGTTCCTTGTGCGAATGTTCATTTATGGTGCTGCTACTAACTCATCAGCAGTTGCGCTCAGTTGTGCTGGTACGGAGTGCGTGCATTGACCCGTTTCAATCGTGTTTCCAGATGCGGGTGCAGAGAAACAACATTGTTTTTGCATTTTGTTTCAGAACAGAAAAGTGAGAAAACTATGCTAACATTTAAAGCACTTTTTAAGCAGCTTTTTCTTTTGAAAATCCTTTCAGCGATCTTATGATCGAGTATTAAATTGATTGCGAGTTCTCTCTGGTTGTATTAAGCGGAACATTAGTCGACTTAAGTTATTAGTTACAGCACTGTTTTTAGGATCTCGCAGTCAGAAGTAAGCTTCCACATAAACAGCGTTCAGTCTGTAGCAGACTTATTAACGTTTTTCTTTTCGATCCGAAAATTGCGCATAGCGAAAATTTTGAATTGAGTTTATCATAAAATTTTGGGAGAGTTGGTCTTCTTATCTTCTAAATACGAAATCTACGTAATCCACTAAATCCAGTAATCTGTTTAATCTCATCGGCAGATTACGAAATGCTTCATTCAATTTGCGTGGTAACTCATCAGGTTTGCACCAATTTAGAACTTTCCCCGCTTTAGTTTAACCGGGAACTTACTCAGTTTTGCCCGTCCGTAATTCAAGGTTTGTGTTTAGGATTCTGAATGAAATGTAGCCCCCTGCGCGGTCGAAGTTGTTTTACATTCGGCTTACGATCCGATTCTTCGGCTCCCGACCGGAAAGGACTATTTTGCATCAGCAGAAACGTTGTCCACCATGAAGATCGATCGCAGTAAAATCAAAAAGGTCCCTGCTGACCCGGTATGATATTATTTGGGAAATCTGTGGCTGGTATGTTCTGTGGCTGTATTGGAAAATATGTTGCAGCCACCGGATACGAAAGCCGTCATTCAGTCGTTAATGACTGTGGCCAACGATGACACGGCATTTCTGAAAGCGCTTCAAGATTGCAAGTCCTGGACCGTCAGCAAGGTGCCACTTTCTTCGGTTTTTACTGGTAGAAATTATTAGTACATGTTCCATTTGGCTGCAGTGTGAAATCTATCATTGGGTGGATGTCCTGAACAAATTCGATGAGATTTTGGCGGACGCGACAACCACTGCCGATTGGATGTTGAGCTGTGATATTCCGGATTCCCAGGACTCGAAATTGGTAAATACATCCGTTTTGTTGTCCATTTTAGAAGGTGGTATCAAGTTTATAATTTCTCAGGAAGTCTATCTTTGTTGCAGAAAGGAGCATTGGTTAAAGAGGTTCTAAGATTCACTTCTATGCTCATCGAGCACAGCTTCTCGAGACAGCTGTACAACTCCATGGATCGGCTGATCACTTTACTGGGCTCGAGTGATATGTACATCGTGGAAAACGTTCTTACCCTTTTGTACACTTTTAGGTGAGGTTTTAGATTAGCATCGAAGAAATTTTTTCTAATGTGGTCGTTTATATTTAGTAAACGCACCAGTTTTCTGACACGAATGCGCGATGATCAAAACAAAGAGCTCTTCTTGCGTCTACAACTACTTGCCGAGGTAATTATTGCATTTTCTAAGCTGACTTTATTGTTGTTGTATTTTATATTTGTTTTTGTATAGACTTGGGGTGGCAAGGTAAATGGTTTCGGATTATCCAAGTGCTGCGAAGATGTCCCTTTGGATCAGTATCCATCCACCGCTACGACAGTGCATTTTGAATTCTTTTCTGAGCCGGAATCCGAGGATGACAGCGCAAAGCGGTCTACCACAAATGTGATCCACATCGAAAATGTTGACAGAGTATGATAACGAGCTGGTAATAGGTGAATCGATTCAGTTTGATGAGGTTGTTTGATTTTAGTTGAAACCAAAAACGGTGCCAGAAATTATGACGGATCTCGTGCGGGAATATCGTATTCCGGAAGCTAAGCAGGTGTGCAGCAAGATATGGACGTCATGGGTTATTATTAGTTCAGCGAGGACCGTGCTGTAAATGTATGACTGCATTGTAGATCCCGTTGTATTTCCACCTCCGTCTAGCATATTGCTTTGGAAATTACAAGCAGCGCTTGCATTGCGTCCAATCGCGATTGCTAGCGTTATCCATCTTGGCCTACACGTGCCGCATTCCGGAAAACGTGTCTTCATACATTTACGGAGGACTTGTGGAAGAGCTGGTTGATGTGCTCCAGCTGAAACATAAGCCAGAATTGATGGTAAACCTTCTGTTGTGAATTTCTTTGTTATTCAAAAAATTGTTTAGTGGATTTGACACGCACAGACGCAGTGCACTGCACATCGTTCTTGTGAATATGATGACTTTAATTTGACCCACTTAATTTTTGTCGGTATATCGCAAATGGATCTTTAAAATGTTGTTATTGATTTGCTTATGCAGGATTTGAAAACAATCGTAATGCGAACGCTGACCGCTATTGTCCACCACGACCGCGGCTCACGTTGTAACGATATCATTGATGCCATGTCAGCCTCCTCCTACCACGGATTTCTGCCGGTTCTTGTGCGTTCATGCATCCAGGCGCTAACGGAAGGGAAGCGCGATCAGTTCCCGATCAATTACGCTACAGCTGTATTTTCTTTCCTGTACCACTTGGCCAGCTATGAATCGGGAGGCGATTCATTGGTGGCGTGCGGTATGATGGAATCTATGTTGAAGGTGGTGAATTGGTATGATACAACCGAAGAGAACATCACGGTAAGTTTTTGTGTTTTTGTTGGAAGATGAGTTACAGGAATGTGACCGACAAAGACCTCTTACTCTGTGTTTAGTTTGTGACACGGGCTGTGCGTGTCATTGATTTGATTACCAACATGGATATGCAGTCTTTCCACAATCATAACGGATTGTCCTTGTTCACGAAACGCTTGGAAGTAAGGAATTGTTTATAGATTTTCATGCTTGAATTATAAACATTTATCGACTGTTTGCTGTGAATAGCATGAAGTGGAGATTTGCGCAAAAGAGCAGCCAGATCTGATTCAGGCGCCATCACTGCAGCGGTCCGAATCAGTGACATCGGATAGTGGAGCTGGTCCGTCGAAACAGGAGAAGACTGAACCTTCACCGTCGGCCTCCAAGTCTGGAACTGGAGAGCAATGCTTTCCGCAGCGCGTGGCTTTGCTGAAATCCGTTTTGAACTTCTTGAAGAAAATCATTCCAGACCCCACTTTCACGGATTCCGTTCGCCACCGTAAGTTTACTCTTTTATGAAGGTGTTGATGATTTTAACTTTTTTTACCATATCTTGTGGTTGTATTATAGTGATGGACGGAAGTTTGCCTAACTCGCTTAAACATATTATCAGCAATGCGGAATATTACGGATCTTCGTTGTTTCTGCTGGCCATTGATATTGTCACAGTGTACGTGTTCCATGAGCCGGCCATGCTCTCTGCCTTGCAAGATCGCGGTTTAACGGATGTCATTCTACAAGCGGTCCTTCTGAAAGATGTAAGAACATTTGTGTAGTTTTTTATTAATGTTGCGTCGCGGTATCTACGACTTCTACAGTATGTATTTGTTGTTCGTAAACGACGCTAGAAAGACACACAAATCATCGTTAAGAATTAACCATTTCATGGTTTCTTCTTTGGTATTCAATGTGGACATCGGAATTTTTTTCCTTATAGTTGCCTCCTACAAAAGAAGTGTTATCAGCAATTCCGAACATCTGCAGCGCGTTATGTTTGAATTCGCGAGGACTGCAAGCTTTTGTGGCTTTGAAGCCGTTCGAAAAATTGTTCAAAGTCCTCTTAATGCCAGACTATCTACCGGCCATGCGGCGTCGGCGTACTGGCGAGAGCTATGGAGATACTGCGACCGGTTTGGGCAGTGCTGTGGATGAGTTGATGCGGCATCAACCGTCTCTGCGGGCGCAGGCCATGCAAGATATTGTTAAGGTAATATCTTTGCGAATTTTGTAACCATATCAAATTTTTTTTCCAATTGTAAAATTTACAATTACTGTGCTTGTTACTCCGTTAACTTAGCAGGATGTTTTGTTTCAGCTGTTGAACGATTTGTGCGCCATCGGGAGAGACCCGAATTTTATTGCGGTTGGCAACGGTACTTTAATCCAATCGATCAATCGCGTCCAACGGGCCGATCAAAGCATTCCGGGAGATTCAGACTCTGAAGACGAAGACTTCGAAGATTCGCAGCAGGGAACAGCTGGGACTTTTCACACAGTACCGTCTGGACTCCAAATGGATACCGTCGCTACCCAGGAATCTGACATGAAAGAGAAAACTCCCGTACCGCTACTGGACTACATAGTGCACGTGGTATGTATTGGCACTCTGTATCTCATTTCTTAAGCAGAATCTTATTTCTTGAATTTTGTAGACCAAATTTGTGGAAGCCGTTTTGACCAGCAACTCCACCGATGATCATTGTCGGGAATTCATTCGGCAGGATGGATTGAAACCCTTGATGGAAATCTTCCGCTTGCCGAATTTGCCTTTGGATTTCCCATACTCCAACGCATGTCATGCAGCGTATACTCTGGTAAAATCGGTGGTAGCTTATTGTCGCGATCATTTGGTTTTGGAGGAGGCGTTTACCCACATGGAGCTCGTGCTGAAAGAAATCAAGGCCTGCACGAAACCGGTGCCTGAGCCCGGAGGATCGGCGATGCTGAATGAGTGGGCACGTACGGCTCCGAATATCGATGATGCGCTGAAAGATCCACAACGCACACCGTTACTTCATCGGCTCTGTTACATGCACAGCTATGTCAGCATGATGGCGCACATCTGTAAACTGAATCAGGTGCAATAATTTAGTTTACCTGCGTTGATCGAGTACCAAGTTGGTCACCGATTGTTTGCGCTTAACCAAATTTTTATTAATAGTCGGATATCCGGATAATATGTACAAACTCCTGGGCAACAGAGAAGGGATTGAAGCTTCTCCAGGAGATCGCGGATTTGTACAGTTTCCTGATTTGGGAGAATACGATCTTGATTGCGTTATGCAGCGACGAGGGGCTGCTGCCTCAGGAGAGCGACATTAGTCGGACTGATTTGAAGCTGATTTTGGCCAACCGAAAAGGCGCAGTAGAAGAAGAAAAGCCAAGCGACGAAAATTCCAGCGGCGGCACACCAATGGATGTTGATGAACAACCGAGCACTTCCGTATCCGTTCCGCCTGCGCCAGTTGCTGTTTCACGAAAGACCTCCACCAATGGTACTCGACCGCAAATCCATATTGTTAAGCTGTTAAAGCCTTTGATTACCGTGGCGACGAAGTTGTGCCGTGTCACTGGCGAATTACTGAGTTTAATGGTAAAGTTTTGCGTCAATCCGGCACGACAGCGCCGACAGGCCATTGGATCGCGAAACGGTGAAGTCCCAAGCAGCAGTGCTCGACAAGTGGCTACAACGATTGCTGGCTTAATGACCCAAGTGCTCAATAAGAAAGGCCCGTTAAGTAACCCGCCAGCGCGCTTCCGGTTAAATTATCTGATCTGTGTTCTTACCTTCATACAACCGTTGATTTTCGATGAGAAACGGTTTGCCTTCCATTATATGCTTCAGAAGTTTATTGCGGTGGGGACAGTCGATGCGTTCTTTGGAATTTTTGAAAATGTGATGAAAGGACCAAGTGTGGAGTCCGATATTAACCGCTCAGTGACGGAGAAAACTATGATCAATCAGTTTATTGTGGATTTTGTGGTTGCCTGGTTGTCCTTGTTAGAGAAATTGATTAATCCGAAAGCCGTTATGGAAACACCCAATGTTCTGCCTCCGTCGAGGATTGCGATATCCGGTTATGCTCCATTCGATCCAGCGCAGTATTACATCAAAATGCTGCACCATACACTGCAAGTGGTGGATCGGCTGTTGTCGGTGCAGACACTGAAGAGCTTTGGAGAAAGTACGGGAGATCTATTGCTGACCATCTTGAGCCACATTATGAAAATTGAAGCTATCATCAAGGAGAAGGCGCCGGAAGTTAGCGCTGCGGCCGCCCCCGAAGCTGGTCCACCCGGTCCGAACGCCGCTGCTCCTGCACCTGAGGCTCCTCCTGCTCCACCTGGGCCAACTCAGCAGCAGCAAGCTTTAATGGACATGGGCTTTCAGAGAGAAGCTGCTGTCGAAGCTCTGGAGCATACCAACAATAATGTCGAACAAGCTGCGGATTACCTTTTGAATTACCAGAATGAGCGAGTGCTGCGCACTGCCGGTATGCGCTTGATGGACGTGGACTTCGACAACGCGGAGGACGAAATTATGCTGCAGGCTATTGCCATGTCAATTGGGGACCGGGATACCGGCGCGCCAAGTGCCGATGGTGCGTCCTCATCGAGTGCATTGGCCCCGCAAGTTCCTCCCACGGCGCCGACACCGCAGCAAATTGAGGCTCTCATCGACAAAGCGCTGCCGCTATGTGTGGATTTGGTTGATTATGCTCCTGAATGTGTTTTCAAGGTTGCCGACCTTATCTCCGTGATCAGCAAGCGGAACGGCAATGAATGGCGACTCCGGCTAATCCGGAAGCTGGGAGCGGATGCTGTAATGTTTGCAACAACAGTTGTGAACAACGCAGATGCAATGTACACGGGAACAGTGACCCCACCGGCGGATGTGTCATTTGCGAAGCTGATGAGAAGTTCTGCTGAATCGCAGAAGCTAACGGCAAGGCTGCACTTGCTGTGTATATTGCTTCAGGTAAGTTTGCTTTGCAGTTTGGAATTGACAACATATATTTTTGTAATTGATTTTATTTTTTAGGACAACCAAGAAGATTGTGGGAAGATTTTGGATGGCGATAGTTTGATCCCGTTGCTAATCAATCTCATCAGTGCAGCCAGGCGCATTTACGGCATGGTAGCGCGCGGTATGGAATTGGTTCCGAAGTGGTTGGCCTTCGCGTTTCTGATACTGGACTCATACGAAAAAATGTGCGCCATGGTGAAACGCAAGGAGATTCTACAGAAGTATTACACTCCCACATGGAAATGGTTGGATGTGCGGCTAGGAAAGTGGACCGCTTACAGTGAGCAGAATAACAAGGAAATCAACGATGCCTACGAGAGGGGCATGCCAACATGTAAGCTCACTGGCCAAGGAGCCGGACCCGTACGGCAGTACATTGTGCGCTTCAAGGATATGGTACAAGTGACGGATTCCAGCGGCAGTCGACGACCAATTATGAGAGAGCTAAAAAAGCGCGAAGCGAAACCGGTGGAAAAACCAACCGAAAGTTCGGACGATGGAAGTGCGATGCAGACCGACCAAGACCAGGCTGAGGAAAAACCTTTTGCCTTGATGAGTGGTCTGAATAAAGAGCAAAAGTTTCTCCTTATCAATGACATCGTCAGTTTGGTACATCAAAAGCTGGATCCTGACACCCTGCAGGCCGCAATGCGGGTGCTGCTGCGGTTTACTAGAGATTACGATTCGGCTCGCCATTTTGCCGAATTAAAAGGGCCACAAATCCTTTTGGGTTTGGATCGACGATCATTCTTCGAAAGTTTCAGCTCATTTTTAACCCATCTTATACGCCACATTATTGAAAATGGTCCCATCCTTGAGCATTCCATGGAAAAGGTACTTACTGGTCTTGTTTGTGCACGTTAAATGCGAGTCTGTTTAATAGTGATGTCTGTTTCTTTGTAGTTTTGTTCATGGTTGACCTACGGTGTGGTTTCACAAACAGCCGGTACGAATTACGGCTCCCATGCTGTACGGGAAGGCAATTATATCATGCGAATTTGCTGGCCTGGAGCGGCCCGAAATCCCGAACTGTTCGTCGAATGTGCTAAACGCACGATACAGTTCAATACTCCTGCCCCGACTCAGGCAGCCGCTGTTCGCACTGATGATCCGAATTCGCGAACGGATTTGATCAAGCCAAGCCCACCGAAGTTCCGTAACAAAGCCGTCAGCAGCGATCAGTCCGCGGATTATAAGACCGCGCTCAAATTGGTCATGGCTGAATTGTTGAACTTGCTGGTGGTCCCCTGGGAACCCGAAGGGAAGCCTGAATTGAAGAAAGACGGGAAAGAAGGCGCTGGAGCAGTGAGTGAACGGATCTCGCTGTTGAAATCATCGGTACATCAGCTTCAGCAGATGTTGCAGACCACACAGAGCGGAGATGCGGCTGCGACTTCGTCAAGTGTGAATGGTTCGAGTTTGGATGCGGAGCACAACATCTGGAAAGCGTCTGAGAAAGCCAAGAAGCCGGTGATGAACAAGTCCGTTACCTTGCGGGTCATTGCTGAGTTGATCAAGTCGTACAGTCTGGTGGCGGAGTTCGTTTTGGGTCATACGTTTTCCGTAGACCAAGGCGGATTGATTAAAGAGGTGAATAATTTTTACTGCAATACATAGATTGTTATTTTGTTTAAAACTGATTCTTTGTTAGGAAAACGTGGGTGCCTTAGCATTTATTCTGGACAATTTCGTCCACATGGCACAGAAAGCCGGTGACGAGTATTGCCCTCATTCCACACGGGTTCTGATGGCGGCCCTGGCGTCGGCATGCGAGAACCCTCGAGCCCAGATGCAGGCTGTGGAAGAAGTGAAGCAGGCATTGTATCGTGCGACGCTGTTACCAGAAACACAAGAAAAACATGAACGAATTGGTGCCTTAGCGAACATCGTAAGTAGGGAAAGCATCGACATGAACATTAACTTTACTGCGGCACTTCATGTCCCCCGCTTTCATTTTTTTAATGATTGAGGGACCTTTTATTTGGTGCGAAATCATGATTTGGATTCAGCTCATGGACTTTCTGTGCGAGAATTTCCGTGCAATGAGTTCATACAGCTTTTCTTTGAACTTTAAAATTTCTGTGTGTGTATTCAGTTTATGGCTTACAGGTTTTGGAGGGCAGTTTTACAACAAGCTTTTCTTTCGCAGATTCATACGATGGTTGACGCTTGTCCGACACGGGTAGCGGATCCTAACGATGGACGTAAAGTACAATATGTTGTCAACCAAATGGCACGATTCATGGCAAAGCGAAACTTAATCAACGACTTGGCAAAGATTCCGCACTGCCTGGATCTTCGTAGCCCACATTTGGCTGTAACTGTCAACGCTATTTTACGCCCACTGGAGATCTTGACGCGATTAGCATCACAACAGGATAAACCGAAGTCAAGAACGCGACATTCCAGCGTAGCGGTTACCAATACCCTGTCCACCGCCGGAAACGCAGAGGCTGCCGATTTGACGAGAGTTTCAGCTGTCGATGAGTCTCAACGGACGGAAAACGACGTGGCACCAATTTCCGATGAGGCTGTAAGTGCGGCCCTGTATACAGTAACTGCGGCACCTCATGTCCCCCGCTTTCGTTTGCTTGATGATTGAGGGACCTTGTACTTGGTGCGAGAATAAATATTTTCGAATTCAGCTCATGGACTTTCTGCGCGAGAATTTCCGTGCAATGAATTCATACACCGAAGCCTTGCTGAAAGCGGTTGTTTTTCCGCTGTTGTGCTCGAATTATTTCAGTATTTCAGTATTATATTGCACAGTTTCCGAATATTGAAGGTTTCGTTAGAAAGAAGAATATTGAAGATTTCGTTGTGCTTATCGTTCGTATAGAAATTCTTGCCTTAGCTCCTCTGTATCCGCGAGGTCAGTCAAGTTATACTCCTTTGCAGTTGAACATGTCCGAAGCAGCAGAAATGGGTGATATTTTCTTACGGGCGCCAGCTATGGAAATCGATATGGATAATCCACGCGGGGGATCAGATGATGAGGACGGTGACCGTCCACCACCGCGCCACAGTCATCGTATCAATGAACTGGAAGTGTCGATGGATGACGACGATTCGGAAACCGAAGAAAACGACATCAATCAACGACGATCTCCTGGCCGTATTACCGACGAAGAACAGGATGAAGCGGATGAAGACGAGGAGATGCATGATGAAGACGACGACGAAGATGACGAAGAAGAGGATGAGGAAGATGATGAGGATGACGATGATGAGCTGGTTGAGCCGGTATGTGGACGGTTCCTCTAGACTGGTTTCTTTTGGACATAGAAGACTCCGTTTCCTATCTGTTAACTTTTGTACAGGGTGTGCCCGTGGACAACAATGGTGCCGGCGGCATGGCTAACCTGTACCATGCTGCTTTTGGTGCGGTCGAATGGGATGAAGAACAAAATCCCGATGACGACATGCTGCTGCACCTGGAAGATCTTTTTCCCGGGGCGGCCGTCCATGCTCACGCTCATCATGGAATCTTGGATCAACCACTGGTGTTCGAAGTGAATACGGTTGGCCCTGGGGGACTTGCGCAAGAAATACAGGGTGGAGATATGGGTGGCCGGCAGTTGCCGCCCCCGCTCTCCATCTCCTCCAGTCATCCGTTGCTATCACGACCGCCAGCTGGTGCGGAAGTGGCTCAGGGAGCGGCTGCGGGAGCACTGCCTCGGATTGGTTTGGGAGCCGGTGTCTCGGAGGCGTCATTAGGCAGCCGTGGACTGCGGACCCTCCGTGTGCGAACCAATTTGGGACGCGGCGGACTCGGTGCCGGAACGCGAGCGATCAATCCTGGACCGGCAATTCTGCAGCGGCTCCTGGGCCCGACATTCCGTATCGAAAACGACATGATTGTTTCGGCGGAGGGCGGCTTTGGAGCAGCCAGAGCGATGCGAGATCCGCGGGCCCTGTTCTGGGACGAGCCAGAGTACAGCAGCGTTCGTCCTACCGAACAGGAAGATCTTGTCCTCATGGTATGTTTGAGTTAGCATTTGAAGGCTTTTGTAGTTCGGTATTTTATTTGATTTTCTGTTAGGATGATCCGATCTTTTTGGGCAACACGGGACTGGTAGCCACGCTGCCATCCTTGGTTCGCCGTTGGAGCGAAGAGGCCCGGGTGTTGGATGGTGATAATGTGATTGAAAGTGCTGACATGGTGAAACCGTTTATCTTTCCTGATCTCGAAGTTAAACGTGATGAGATTATGAAAAATATGAAGAAGCCGGAAACGACTGATACTGCCACCTCGCCGATTTCCGCATCACGGGCTGGTATGTCTGTGTTGCATCCCTCTTCTGTTTTTCACCGAAGATCTCAGGATTCGGTTACGAGTACGAATCTGTTTCCATTGTGTTTACTGAAAATACAAAATGTGACACTGATGAATATTTATAGATGCCAGTGTGGAAACCCAAGCCACAGCAGGCTCTTCTACTGCTCACGAAGATGCGCTGAATTTTGTGATTAATGCTCAGGCGGTGCGAGATGAACTCTTGGATGACATTGCACGGATGCAGGAGCATGTGGAACTGCAGGCTGAGGCGGTGGCAGCCCTGAGTCAAGCGGTTGTAGCACAGGCGATGAATGAATCGGATTCTGAAAATTCTGAGGATTATTCTAGTCATTTATCGGAAGACACTGATGGGGAACTGCAGGACGCGGCTATGGCGTTGACAGACATGAGTACGGAGCAGACTACTCCGGCTCCATCAGTTCCGGCACACGATTTGCTTCTGAATGGTAATTCGATAAAAAAGTAAATTCTTTCATAGTGGTAATGGGAAAATTTCTTTAGGGATTGTGTACAAACTTTGTAAAGTCGTTGCAGACATATTTCAGTCTAGTGCTAGAGTTCGTAGAAGATTGTGATTTTTGGGAAATGGCTCAGTTTTCGTCGTCTGGTCACTACCATCTGGTGACATTTTAATTAAGTTGTGGTTTTTTCAGCGTCTGGAGCACCGAACCCGGTATCCCCAGCCGAAATGGCCGTTAATTCACCAGCGGCTGAAGCCGATGCTGGTCTGGGGCAAGTATTATCCGTGCCACCGACAGTGAGCAGTAATGTCCTCCCAACAGCACCGCCTGCTGCAAGTATGGACACTACGGGAGGACAGGACATCTCAGTTACGACGGCCGCGGAAGGCACTTCAACGGAAACTGCCAGTTCCAGTGACCAGGGCCCCTCCACCAGTACGTAGTGAACCGATAAGAACTCTCAAAGGCACCTAATCCAGCAAAGTTCTCGCGATGATTCCTTTGCTAATTTATGATGCCATAGTGAATGTTAGGAATATCCTCGGTTTTCGCAGATCTACCGTGTGTTAATCGGTGGAAAGCCTATCGACAAAACATTTTTTGTGAATGCATTACAGTAATTTAACGCGCTGAGGTTCCAGTTGTGACGTTGAGACATGTTTTTAGGTAACAATAATAACTATCCGGAAGGAATTGATCCGTCATTCTTAGAAGCATTACCCGAAAATATGCGCCAGGAAGTTATTGCGGATTATTTAAGGATGCAGCGCGTTCAGCAACAGAACATGCAAACCAGAGCAGCTGCTTCCAGTAATGCCGCACCTGTGCCAGCCGCAGTCCCTGATCCCAGTCAACCAGGGCCTTCATCGGGTGTACCCCAACCACAGCTGATCGAAATCAGTCCAGAGTTTCTGGCAGCATTGCCGCCGAATATTCAAGAAGAAGTACGTGTTCTTATTTTGATGAAACGTGAGCGTTGAAAGCATCTTGTCTTGCTTTCTGTGTAGGTATTAGCCCAGCAGCGCCTAGAGCAGGCTCGCCTTGCGGCGCAGAACGCTGCACCGGACGCCCCCTTTGATCCAGCCAACTTCCTGCAGAGTCTGGCGCCCAGTCTCCGTCGCCAGATCCTGGCGGATATTGATGATTCTATGCTGACCGTCCTGCCGGACACGGTGGCCCAGGAAGCCCGGACATTGCGCCGGGATATGGAACAGCGTCACATCTTCCATGGCGGCCTGGCGTTTGAAGGCGACGTGATTGCGTTCATGCGCGGTCGTTATCCAAGTGAGCTCAACCTTGATGCTGCTGATGATCATGTGCCAACGGGTCGACGTCACGTATTTCTTGCAGCTTTGCGATCACGCGGAGGATTAACCGGACGACCGTATACAACTAATTTCGCCACCCGCGGCGGCGGGACCATGGGACGTCGGCAGATTGGACGGCTGCGGATGCGGGCCGGGAATGCCGGTGGACCGGATCAGTGGTACGGGGCGGGACTGCGCTCGTCAGGATGGAGTCGGGCCACCACGGGAACGGGTACGGAGCTGTCACGGAATGCGGATTTAGAGTCCATGGGCAAGAACAACGCCAAGCCCATTCTGGACTTTGAAGCGCTGGCATGCTTACTGGTGCTGTACTTTCTCAATGCACCGGCGGTGAATGTTGGTCGGCTGCAGCGCATCTTCCGCAACATTTGTCATCATATTCCGACACGGGAGTGGGTCTTTGACGCCGTAATGTCAATGCTGAAGAAAGCGGATGACAGCAAAGCCCAGGAAGCGAAGAAAGTGTATTCCACCATCAAACCAAATTGGCTGAACATCAGTATCGACGCGGCGTTGGGCTGCCGGGCCAACGTCTTCCAGTTGATGCCGAAACAATTGAAAAAGCCGCAGACTGCGCAGACCCCTTTGATAACCATCCATCCGCAGGCGGCGCAGATCGTCTGCACGAATTTGTTGGATTGCCTGATGTTGATGGCCAAAAACTTTCCCGAACAGTTTGTTCCGTATGCGATCCGTCACGTAGCGCAACTGGGCATGCAGCCATCGTTGGAAAAATCCACACCGGATTCGCACGGTAGCAATCGAAATTCCAAATCGCCCAGCCGGGGATCAGCGCGCTCGCACGGTGTTGTAGCGAAGGGCGGGCAACAAGATTTCTGGGAAGTGTTGGTGAAACTGGACGCACAGGTCGGAAGTGGACTGCGCAAGAGTGGAAAAGTTTCAAGCAGGATGAGCAGTGCGGGGCCGACGAGTGTACTGGAGCTGGGACCAGATGAGCCGCTGCGTATGACGACGTTTGTTAACTCGGGCTTGGGACAGCTGATTACCATGCTGCTTTCGGAGACGTTCCACAAAATTCCCGATCTGTCCGATCGATTGCTGCGTTTGATTGCGTCCATTGCCAACAATGTCCATAAGCGCGATTTGGGTATTCCGGTGATGAATTCGGCCGTGTCAAAAACAGCTCGTGGTGCGATTCGGCCGGGTAAACTGAGCAAAAAGGACAGAGAGATGGTGGTGTGGAAAGCTGCCATAACGCGCTACTTCAGCCTTGGAAGTATGGATTTATCTGTGCAGCCTCCGGTGCCCATCGTCGAAACGGAAGGTGGGGATTACGCCGCTACGACGGCTGAAGTGGAAGGAATGCTGACCAAGTTCCTGGCTGGGCTGGATCCACAGGCCGATTTGTACGATCTGAAAGACCAAATCTCTACTGCTGCCAGTGGTATGTCGACTTGATTTTAATCGGTCTTCGCCTTGTTAAATTTGTTTGTAATAGTGCATGGGATCATATTTTGTTTGCAGAATTAAGCCAATTATCGTCACCCGGTGCCATTAAGTTTTCCTTGTCAGTGGAATTTGAGCAGTGCGAAGAGATCTGCAGTTTACTGCGAGAGCTGGTGAACGTTTTAATTGCTCGCCGCTGTTCTGAGGAAGGATTGGAGAACATAACCCATACCCTGATCGTTTTGGCCCAGCGTTTTGGCAGTTCAGTACGGCAGGCCATCGGACAGATGCTGTTGAATGGTATTCGCCAGTTGGCCGTGGATGTGTGCAAACAGATTGAGTCATTGATGAAAGAAGCGGCTACGTATAATGCCCAAAAATCTCGCGAGAAAACGGAGGAATCTGAAGAGAGCCCTGAAAGTGTTTCCTCTGATGGATCTGCCAAAGGAATCATCTCTGATCGGTAATCCGATAGGCATGTGGAAAAGAAATCCGAATTTGCCTCAATTTTTTTATGTTTTAGGTTCTCAACTGGGGAATCAGTGGTGCTTTATAAGTCCAAAGGAAAAGCACAAGCTGGTCCGGAAGTCCATCTCACTGCAATGTCGAATCTAACCGGGAAGTCATCTTGCCAGACTTTCATGTTGAAGCTGCTGAAAATGATGATCGACTTACGAGGAAATTCAAGAACTTTCTTGCGGTCGCGGGCAGGTATGTCTGTGTGAAAATGGCGGTTTTTTAGGAAATTAGAAATTGGCGTATTGCGTTATACGATAGTTGAAAAAAATTCATTGGATTGCGAGTGATTTGTGTGGTCTTTCGTTTTAGGTGATAAAGCTGAAGAGTGTCCAAACGGGACAGTGAACTCACTGGCCCGACGTCTTTTGGAAATATCATACCGACAGCGTCAGCGCAAGTCCTCGCCACAGCCTTCCACACCGATTTTCCGCGAACAGACCCCTACGCCCATGGATGTAGATGTGACCAATCATGAAGAACCGGGCGCCGTCCGCACAACGGAAAGTGTGGGAGTTCAGGCGTCTCCCAGTGCACTGCAGCCACAGGAGCCGGAAGTGGATCTACCGCCGATGAGTGAACTGTTGAGTGTGGATGATCTGTGGACCTATCTGTCGCTTTGCCTGTCCGAACTTGAAAAGACCGGCGATCAAAACGCGGTGCTGATTCTGCAGCCAACCGTTGAATCGTTCTTCTTGGTCCATGCTACGGAACGGAAGAATGCGGATACGCGGTTGGAACGGGCGCGCAGTGTCACCCAAGAACAGCACCATGCCGCCGAGGAAGCGGCCGCACCACCGTCACCCGGTGCCGCGGTGAGCGGGGAAGCGTCGACGGTGCTGGCGGAGCAAGGCATGGGACATCTGCCGCTCGATGTTCGCAAATTCCTGCATTTTGCGGAAACACACAAAGTGGTGCTGAACCAGATTCTGCGCCAGTCTACTGTGCCGCTGAGTGATGGACCGTTTGCCGTGTTGGTCGATCATACGCGGGTGCTGGATTTCGATGTAAAGCGCAAGTATTTCCGACATGAGCTGGATAAGGTCGACGCCGATGCTCATCGAATGCGCCGTGAAGACTTGGCATTACGAATTCGCAGGTAAATAATATTAAGTGTTCACTGTTCTACGCTAATGAATTCCTAGCTTCGTAGATAAGGTGGTAAATATATGGTTTCTTTTTGTAGATCTGTGGTGTTCGAAGACTCATTCCGTGATCTCCATCGCCGCTCACCAGAAGAATGGAAGGCCCGATTCTACATTATGTTCGAGGGTGAAGAAGGCCAGGATGCCGGTGGATTGTTGCGAGAATGGTATTCGATCATTTCTCGGGAGATCTTCAACCCCATGTACGCCCTGTTCCGCACATCACCGGGCGACCGTGTCACCTACATGATTAATTCCCACTCGGCCATCAATACCAACCACCTGCAGTATTTCAAGTTTGTCGGCCGACTGATTGCCAAAGCCATCTACGACAATAAGCTGTTGGACTGCTACTTTACGCGCTCCTTCTACAAACACATTCTCGGAAAACCTGTCAAGTAGGTGCCGCGCAGTCTGGGTGATGACGCATTGGTTAGCACGTTGATTTATGGTAATTGATTTTTCGTATTAGGTACACGGATATGGAGAGTGAAGACTACTCGTTCTACCAAGGCCTTGTGTATCTGCTCAACCATTCCGTGGAAGAGGTCGGCTCGGATCTGACCTTCAGCACTGAAGTGCAGGAATTCGGCGCGACGGAAGTGCGTGATCTGAAGCCCAATGGGCGGAATATCCCCGTAACGAATGAGACCAAACACGAGTATGTCCGGTTGGCCTGCCAGATGAAGATGACACAGTCTATCCGCAAACAACTCGATAGCTTCCTGGAAGGTGCGTTGGATATTTGTATAGCGATTTTTCCCTATGACTGCTGATTCATTATCGATATTATGCTTTGAGACTGTGCAAACCAATTGTAATCAAACTATTAAAACAGTATCGCACAATGGCTAATTTGTAACTGTTTGGGTAACATCATCACTGTGTTGAGCAGCATGTGTTAAAATTATTGTCCGAATTACTAAAAAGTGTGTGTACAGTGTACACTTTTCAGTAATTTGGATAATTATTTTCAGTTGTTACCTAAATCTCGTTTATTGATATCTTTAGGTTTTGTTTGTTTTTAAAGGGTTTAAATGTTTGCATTCGATTTAAGTTTGTGTTTTTTCTTTAGGCTTTTACGAAGTGATTCCCAAACGGTTGATTTCGATTTTCAACGAGCAAGAATTGGAGCTCCTGATCAGTGGATTGCCTAACATCGACATTGATGATCTGAAATCAAATACGGATTATCACAAGTACCAAGCAAGCTCTTTGCAGGTAGCGTTTCGGTATTCGTGCTATGAAAGGCTGCCACATGCTGACAGTTTGATTATTGTTATAGATTCAGTGGTTTTGGCGTGCATTGCGCTCCTTCGATCAAGCGGATCGCGCCAAGTTTTTACAGTTTGTCACCGGTACCAGCAAAGTGCCGCTGAACGGTTTTGCCGCTCTGGAAGGCATGAGTGGTGCGCAGAAATTCCAGATTCATCGTGATGATCGCAGTACGGATCGTTTGCCGTCGGCTCACACTTGGTAAGTTTTTTGCTAATTTATTTTGTTAATGCGGTAATCGTGCACTGTTGATTGACAAATTCTACTGACAGATGACTTGCGTATTAATAATTATGTTGTTTTTATTTTTTCAGCTTCAATCAGTTGGATTTACCGGCATACGAGACATATGATAAATTGCGTACAATGCTGTTAACGGCCATCCATGAATGTTCGGAAGGATTTGGATTCGCATAAGACAGGCGTACAGCGTGTGATACTCTTGAAAAGTGGACATTATTTGGAGCGGATCGGTGCTGGCTTTCGTTTGACGTTGATTTTCGGGACATGAGAAATGGTGTTTGGTTTCAGTTCGTGTTGGAAAGGCTTATGTGTTTGGTGTTGGATCTGGGGTGTGATCTCCTGTTTTTGAGAGAGCCTTTTTGCCGAACTGAATGTGCATGTCGGCTGTTTTTTTCTGCTTTTTGTGCAACGTACAAGATTGGATTCGGATGTTCACTTACTGTGGCACATTGGTCAGATTTATTTGTGTTAGAGAATAGCGAAGAATGCAGGAATATAGTTATTACGAAAATAACACTTATTTTGCCGAACTGTGTTCCTTTTTGCTATGAGGTTTTATATGGCGTTTTGTGGTAAATTCAAGAAATAAAAAACTAAATCGATAATAAGTGGAAAAAGCTTGGAGGAATACTGATGTACTCGTAGCAAATCGTTAATTACGGCGAAAACATTACGAAAAAAAGATTTATGGAGAAAATCTGGACACTAGCGAACACAAGAATTTTCAGCCACTAAAGTGCGTGTAAACAAACAGGATAGGATAAGGTAAACTGACAATTGATCTCATCTGATTGTGAACACTCGGCAAAACCGAAGGTTGGGTCAGTTTTCAAGTATTAAAGCGTAAAGTAGTGGGTAGTGTTAAATTGGTAATTCGCCGTATTAATACGTAAGATACGATCATACTACCTACAGCCAACCCATTTTTTGCAGAGTGGACTGTGAGCGGGTGCAGAGTACGGGCGATATAATCATTTGCAGTAATGCTTGGTGTTCCTTCATAAATTCGTTGCAGACTTGTAGTCGGTTTCTTCAAGATTGTCATTCGCTAATCCCCGATTTTTGTCGACTGTGTAGTCTGGCTTTGTAGCGAGTCGAAAATTTCCCAACATGTACTGCGCTATTATTTTGACCGTAGTGGTTGCATGCGTTGCCGGCCAGCGGCACGCTGATGGACCACAGTTCGAAGCCGGTACGTGTACGTTAGTTAAATGCTTACTTTTTACGTTTATTTAGGTCAAATAATATTGACGTATCTATGTCTATAAGACAAAATTATTGCCTGTTATAAGCGTTTCATAGCGTTTTTTGTTTAATTTTTATGAATTATCTAATGTCACCACGTTTACAGTTACAGATTTACCTTATCCTGGCTGCTAATGCTCCGTAATTTATTTTTTTCTCAATAAAATTAAATTTATTAGATTGCGTTTTGAACCCTACCGTGTATTGATTGCAGAATCTGAAATAGTAGGTTTCATTTACGACACCTGCTTGGTGTTCTAGTTTTGCATTAACTTGTAAGTCTCTTATGTTTCCTATATTGCAGGATTACCACTTCGACAAGTCGGAGAGAAGACTGTCCCAAAACTGTGGCCAAAAGCTAAAGTCCCGTATTCTATCTCTTCATCTATCGTCAGTGATTGTAAGCCTAATTTCTTATATCTATATTAGGAAAGTTACATATCCAGGGACAAAAATATAGAGAATACTACGTTACTAGTGAGGCAACGTACAGTTTATGCAATAACTTTTTGTTTAGGGCAATAATCGGTGACAGAATCGCTTTCGAGCAGTTGCGTACATATTTTATATTATTTAACGCACACATATGCGTATGTAAAAATAAATTACGTCATCAAAAATTGTTATCTACAGACGCATACAAGTAGTTCTATAGCCTCGCATCCCGCAATTTCCCTTGTCACTGGTCATTTCATAACTCATTTGCAGCCAAAATTCGAGCGATCCGGGAACCGATGCAGGACATCGAAGCCAACACTTGCATTAAATTTGTCAACAAACGACCGAGTGATACCGAATATATAAATATCCAGACTGACCGAGCGGCGTAAGTACAATTACTTATAATTACTTATCTAGCGGCACTGCAAGCAAATCACAGAGTTCTCGAACACATCTTATAACGTTATATATTGTACGGTAAACTTTAAGAAAATTTTCTATTATGAAAACTGGAAAGCAATTGCACTTTTCTTTTTCGGGCAGGTGTTCTGCACAGATTGGACAGCAGACAGGAATCAATCAGCTTAATCTCGCAGATTGTAAGATTTGATTGCTGTAATTGTGTACTGCGATCGTCGGCATGTTGCCGATTATTTATCAAACAAATGTTTTTTTCTTAGCATGCTATGATTATCCTACGATTGCATTACTGATCCTCCATTCTCTCGGTAAGTAAAGTTGGCAAACAGCATATAACTGTGTAAAATTAGCGAACCAAACTAATTGCGTACAAGCTGAGTCAGCTAATATACGAGTGTATTCGAAACGCATTATAGAATTTATTCAGCAGGTAAATTTATTGTCCAATGTATTTGACTTTTTTTGGTTATATATATAGGCCTTTGCAACGAGCATAACCGTGAAGACCGGGATAAATATGTGGAAATCAATATGGATAATATTCGATCGCGTACGTATAAAAAATAATTTTTTAAAGCTAACATAGGGCTCGCATGAATGGCATAATTAGCGTAGCGGATTAAATGATGGTGAGCTTTTCAATTTTTCTTACCAAAATCGTCAGCTAGTATGGAATGTTGACTTTCGTACGTCGACCTTATGATTTCTCAGTTTTTACACCGGCTATTACTCGGGCACTGCATTACACATATGTAAGTATTCTATATTTATACTCGCAATATGACGTATATATCTGGTAACAATCCAAAGGCTACAATTTGAAGGTTCTCAATGTTGCCCCTGTAAATGAAAGTTATACCAATTCTGCATAATATACGTATTGTATTCGTTTTTTCTACTACAGCGTACATTTGTTTTTGTCTAATAATATTAACAATGCATCTAGAAGTTATAAAAATTTTGTGTTTTGTTGTGTAGTACACCAACGTAAATTCGAGAAACTCACGCGCGCTCAGTGCCCGGTTCTGGATACGCCTTATGACATCAAATCTCTGACGCACTTTGATGGCAAAGCTTTCGGCACCAAGAAGGGAGCGCGTGACTGGACCATCCGTTCCCTGAAAACACCATCAGCCACCCTGGGCAACAGCCGTATCAGCGCTGGTGATTATCAGAAACTGAACAACCTGTACTGCGGCGGAAGTGGTGGACGCGGTCGTAGTTAAATCGAATTACTGTATTGTAATGGATGTCGAATTTGCAACAACCAAAAAGCACAAATTGTTTTACACAATTGTAGTGTGGCACTGATTGTTAAAATATGTTGTTTGTATGTACAATCTCGTACATTTTATTGAATGTGAACCTGAGAACGCAATACTCCTACAAAATCAATAAAGGGTCACCAGTTTTGATCGCTCTCGCAGTCTGGAATTTTTATCTTTCATCAACGACTTCATAAGGAATGGTTCGACGGGATCGATTCTCCTGCGCTAGATCAGCAAAATATTCCGCACCAAACTCATTAATATTGGGCGGCTGCTGCCGTAACACTTCCCTTGCAAATCCTTCTAGTATCTGACGAAATCCTCGAGGTATTCGAATACGTGGTCTGTCCGGGAAGATCGGTTTGATGCAGACAAGTCGTTTGATGTTTGGCGTTAAGACTTCTTGTTTGTTATCAGGATAGCAAAAGGTTACCGGATTTTGTCGAGTGTGCATGTTGACGGCAAAAACTGCATAAATTGGTAATCAAGTTATAACTGCACTCGTTGTTAGTATTTGAATTCCAAATAGCGCAAAATAATTATTCAATTCGTAACTATGCGACTACGGTACTTACCTATATCTGCAACTGCCTAATCTAGCTAGTAGCTACTCTTACAGTAAGTACTTATTATACGTATCTTACCATTCATTAATGCAGTGCCTGCTACAATCAGAACTACCGGCAATACTGTGTAAATAACTGGGAATTTATAGCGTCCAAAATTCATAAGACAGCATGATTCCTGCTCAACGTCATAATTACACCATTTTCAATGTACCAAACGTACATCATCAACTCAACTCTCTGCAGATCTAAAAATCAAAAACTTAAAACGAATAGAAGAAACACAATAACCACATTTTATCTAAAACAGCCGCACGATTTATTATAAATTTTTCGCATTTTTCGCTTATTTTGCCAAAATTACCGCTTTCGAAACATCAGTTTATACGGGCTTGGAATAAGCGTGACGCCGACGCGAACACCGGCCGAGGAGACTGTCTCGCCTTCTGGAATAACCAAATCAAACTGGTGCAGGATATTAGCAAAGATTAGGAACAGCTCCATTTGTGCCAATGATTCTCCTAAACATGCTCGCTTCCCTGAAAAAAGTCACCCCAACCATCATCACTCATTGTAAACAGAAGTACATATTGGATATTTCTATAATTTCGCATTGTATGTACACGCCATTTCGTATTAGGTATTATGCTTTTCTCACCAATCGAGAAGGGTATGACAAAAGGCGACTTGATAAATTTCCCATTTTCATCCACGAATCTTGAGGGATGAAACACATCAGGAGCGTCAAACACCGCCGCATCGCGATGTGCAGCGTACAGGTTAGAGATGACCAAGGCATTTTTTGGTATTGTAAATTTGCCGATGTGGATGGTTTCCGTGGTGCGGTGAATTGCCCCGATCGGCGCAACGGAATCTAACCGCAGAATTTCCAGAAGCGTCGCTTCCGTGAACGGTAAATGACCTGGAGCATGGGTTTAGTCGGCAAAAACCAAAATATTTTTTGTGAAAATGTATTCTATCGAATGGCGTACAATGTGCAAACCATTCCAATTGTTAAGTAATGTATGCAATAGTGTAACACGTACTGTATACAAACTGCCCTACTCGTGTACATATGTCTAAGGAGAAAAATTCTATTTTGAAAACAAATTCTGTCGGCTCACAACTAAATTATTATCAGAAAAATGGTCAGCTGACGATACATATGGACTCACTTCGATGTTCAATCCCTACAGAACCGGAACGACCGACGACTTCGTCCAATTCGGCCTGAAGACGTCTCATAACTTCGGGATTTTCCACCATGCGAAGCAATCCTAACAGCAGCGTGGAGGATGTAGTCTCCGTGCCAGCCACGAACATATTCACCACGCTAACCTGCAGCTGCTTACCTAATTCATAACAGAAAGAAATTCAACAAGCAAAATTATAGTAAGCAAAAAAAGAAACAACTTCGGAATAATTACAGTACATTACTAAATCATAAACAAGTGAGAAAATATTACTGCATATTATCATTACTGAGACGAATACTATGGCATACATAATACATCACTCTGACAAACGCAAAACTAGGCGTACTTTCGAATGTGGTTGGTATGTGCTGTTGCTTTTGGCGCTCAGCTTCGCGCAGAAATGCATTGACATAATCCGGACTGTCCAGACTTCTGGTCTTTCTCGTCTCCTGTATCATGCGTTCCACATAGTTGAAAACAAAATCCTGTTCCGCCTTCATCCGCGCGTACTTCTTCCGGAAAACCGGCAGATACTTAAGCGAGGGAAACAGCATCAGCATATTAGATTGTCCGAGGTTTTTCAGTCCTTCCTTCAGCACGCGTAATAAACCGCGAAACTCCTCATCATCGTAGGCAAAACGTCGGCCAAACATGGCAGCGCAGATAATACTGGATACCGCGTTGGTGATCACGTGCGCCGGGTCGAAGGGTTGCCCGTTCTGCGCAGCGAGAATGTCCACGATAACATCCACTTCTTCCAGAATGCGCTCTTGCAACCAGGATTTGCCCATTCCCAGATCGCGTAATGTCGACAATGCGAAACGCCGGTGCTCTTTCCATAGTTCCCCGTCGCTCATAAATAAACCTAGTTTGAAAAATCGGGTGTTTCCATGAAATGCCACAGCTGCAATTCCATGCCACACAGTAATTATGATCAATTGATCTTCACGTCTGACGCTTACTACAGCAAAATTTTGAACAGCTTTCTTGTATTTAACTTCAACTGATTTTTAAATTAAAAAATTAAGTTCAGAGAAATTTTAATTCTATTAAAGAAAACGCAGACTTCAAAAAAAAAATTCCAAAAGCAGACAGTGTTTCAACACTATATTAAAAAAATTCTACACCGAGCCGAAAATGTACAGTGTGTGGTATGCTGTACAGTAGGAACATCCTGTACGACGCTAGGCTATTACTCGTCAATGTACCAAATACTCCATTTTAATTGTAGACATACCTTTGCCTTCGGTAAATTCCTCCACCAATGTGCCTTTAACACGTCCACTACACCCATCTTGCGCAAACGCCTCCCGAATACTGCCGTAATCATTCAGCACAATGGCGAGCTTGGAAGCGAAGTACACCCGGAATACGGATCCGTACTGCTGGGCCAGTGCCATGAAGCTGATATGGCGCACCGGTCCCAGCTGCCGCAGATTGCCCACAAACGGCCATCCTGATGCAGAGACATATGCAGGTAGAGTCGTATAGACGTACGCGTCATGGGGTTCGCGAATATCGCCAGTACAGAGACGCTACTGCCGCGCTACACTACCTGAAGGTCCAGGCGGAAGATCACGGGATGCGATGCGCTGTCGCTGCCAATAGAGGAGCATCAGTACGGTTACGCCAATGGCTAGTACTGCGGCGGCATTCCCGCCGTCTTGGGGAGTCCGGGTTTGGGGACTGCTGTCAGACGTGTCAGCCATGATTCCGCTGGCAATAAGATCTGGCTGTTGCTCGAAAAACTAGTTGCTGGCGAACCCAGAGCGCTCAATAATAACCACAACTTCTGATCGTGCCGAGAATGAAGATGATCGACCGTCGCGGCCGTATGCATGCTGCATGCACTGCTGTTATTATTGTACGACATTCAGGTGCAGTAGTTATTTGTACGAACTGCTGCATACCGTATCCGACCGGTACAAAAATACGGGTGTATACGGGTGTACTGTACTTCTACTTATCTTTACTAATTTTAAAAAAGTGCAGATCGCGCATAAATAAACCTAGTTTTGAAAAATTGGTTGTTTCCATGAAATGCGACAACTAATTTAATTTTGTAACAATTTGTAACGCCGGTGTTCAATTTTGTAACTTTATAATTAATTTTAATAACGCCGGTGTTCTTTCCACAATTCCCCATCAGCCATAATTAATCCTACAAAATTTATTAAGAAAATGCATAGGCATATACGATAATTGTACATTTAGTAACAGTTAGTGTATTAATGCTTAAGTAATAAGTAAGACTTACGAGTATTATAGAGGAATCGCTGTACCGTATAAATATACAGGAATCGCTGTACAAAAAATGACCAAATAAGTATACGCCAGAATTTACGAAACATTAGTTTTTATGAGAGCATCGTTTTTTTCCCAAACAATTCAAGCCATACTTTACCAGTTTTACATACGGAGAATGTGGGAATATTGCACTGCAGCGATGATACTGAGACAATCAGCATATGACGTGCATAATATCATTTTCCCGTCAAAAAGTGAGCATTTTCGCCCGTCAAAAAACTGAAAAAAGCTCGCAAGCATTTCCGCCCGGCAAATGTGCTCACAGCGTGAATTGTGCACATGTTAACATTCTTGCCGGCTATATATGTAGATCATTATATACAACTTGCTAACTATTATTTCTTTTCGACAAAGTTCTTTTATACGAGTGCAATGTTTTATTTCAAATTTCTGCTGCTTCTGCAGTCCGCGGACGACAATCCGTGGATGCGGAATACTGATCAACGATAAAAATTGCGCAAGTTTCCACCCTTGTAATACGTAAACCAATACAAACCACACTTAAGTTATTCATCGATATAATCGCTTTAAAATCGTTTTTTAAAAATAAGTTTGAAAGGATTCGGATTAATAGTTACTGCAACATGGACGTTCGACGACGATACACTTCCGCCTTCTGGAATAATTAAATCGAACTTATGCAAGATATTGGTAAATATTAAGAACAGTTCCATTTGTGCCAGTGATTCTCCTAAACATGCGCGCTTCCCTGTAATAAAAAAAACAGAGACCGTAGAATAACGAACTATGCAATTTTTATAAGTACACGTAGCATTGCATTGCGGTAACAAAAATCAGACCGTTCGCCACAGGCTACGCCCGCTTTTATCAAATATACATATAAAAATGTTACAAGTACGAGTAAGTATTCTGTAAAGCCATTATTAGCCATACCGACAGAGAAAGGTATAACATAAGGCGATTTGACGAATTTTCCATTGCTATCCAAAAATCGGGATGGGTCAAAAACATCAGGTGCCTTAAAGATATTAGGATTGCGGTGTGCAGCATAAAGATTGGAGATGACCAGTGTATTTTTTGGCAAGGTGTAATTATCTAACTGGATTGGTTCCGTTGTGCGATGAAACACGCCAATGGGCGCTACTGACTCCATCCGCAATAGTTCCAGCAGCGTCGCTTCCGTAAACGGTAACTGACCTATACAAGATTTGACTATACTTGAACATTATGTTAAAATTAATAATTTTAAAATACGAATTAAAAGCAACTAGGCACTGTATTTACTTGTATTATATCTATACATTATACTCTTGTTATCTTATACGTCATATGTTGTACGTACGCCGGTGCACCAGTGCATGTAAGCAACCATGCACCGGACCCGTTGTAGTTTCTTAACAAAATAATGGTAAAATAAATAAATATCCGCAAAGCGTACTTTACTATGGCGGTAATCTTTATCAGTTTGAAATCTGCAGAAGTATTGATTACTGCGACTATTTTTTGAAGTAATCCGACCGGACGTACCGCGGTGTTCTATCCGGACGGATGCGGATTGGCCAACTACATTGTCCAACTCTGATTGAATTCGCCTCATAATTTCTGGATTTTGTACCATATGCAGAAATCCCAACAGCAGGGTGGATGAAGTGGTTTCCGTGCCGGCCACGAACATGTTGGCTACGCTGACCTTTAGTTGCTTCGCTATAAGTGCATATGATAATAAGCATACTTTAATTTTATCGCGACGCTATGAAAATTTTTTTACGTAACAACCACTCCACACTGCCTTATAGTATTAATTTATTAGATTGCTTTTATTACGTTTACGATGCTTATATTTCGCTATATATATTTATTTTTTTATTGTCGCAGGGCACCAACATAATGTAATTACGAAGAACTACCTTCAAAGGTTGTTTGGACTTTTTTCTCCTTATGCCGATCGGATTCTCTGAGAAAAGCGTTAACATAATCCGGACTGTCGATGCCGCGTGTTTTACTAGTCTCTTGTATCATTTTTTCCATATGATCAAAGAAGAAATCATCTTCCGCTTTCATACGCAGGTAGCCTTTACGGAAGAAGGGCAAATGTTTCAGCGATGGAAACAGTACCAATAGGTTGGATTGGCCGAATTGTTTAATACTCTCTCGCAGGACATGCAGAAGTCCGCGGAATTCTTCATCATCGTACGCGAAGCGTTTACCAAACACCGCGGCACAGATTATATTGGAGACTGCGTTGGTAATTAAATGTGTCGGGTCGAATGGCTGTTCCTGCTGATCGGTAAGTGTTTTCGCCACCACTTCCACTTCATCGAGAATCTGATCTTGTAGCCAGGATTTGCCCATCCCCAGATCGCGCAGAGTGGACAAGGCGAAACGCCGGTGTTCTTTCCACAATTCCCCATCGGCCATAATTAATCCTACAAAATTAATTATGAAAATGCATAGCGCATCTAATCGTAAATATGTACCATAGCGTAGCATATACGATAATTGTACATTAAGTAACAGTTAGTGTATTAATGCTTAAGTAATAAAACATATTCAAATATTTCGCTAATTATAATGTGACTGCATTCTCATACGGCTAAAAATAAATTCATGACAAAATGTAGTTGTAGCAAATAGAAACATGCAGCACTCTTTTTGCATTATATGTATGTACAGAGTACCAGTCTACCAGTAAAAATTTTCCTAGCTGAAATTATACTCCACACTTGCCTTTTCCGTCGGTGAATTCATCGATAATCGTTCCTTTAATTCTCCCTGAACATCCATCTTGAGCGTAGGCTTTTTTAATGCTCTCATAATCATTGAGTACGACGCACAGATCCGAAGCAAAATAAATGCGAAATATTGGTCCGTATTTCTCCGCCATCTTCATTAAGGTGACATGAGGGATCATTCCTAACTGCGGTAGATTGCCCAAAATGGGCCAAGCTGCAAAAAAAATTTCAATTAAAACTAAAATGTTTGCGATTTATATTTACTGTATGTATTGATGTATCAAATGCAATACACTCTGACTTCACAATGAAAAGAATTTCTGCAGATATACTGTGTTTTTAATTCGTAAGCACCGGTCCATGTATTGGATTGCATGGATACGGTAAGTGTGTATCGTACACAATTGCACATTATAGTATCACCAATCATGTATAATTTATAATCATGTATAATGTATAATTATTATGTTATCATGTATAATTTATTATCATGTATAATGTATAATTCCAAAAAAGCTTCTATCCCTATCATTTACATTAAAGTATATTATTAAGCATAACCGCGTGCTTACCAGGGGGACCCGGAGGAAGATTTCGAAGGGAACTACTAAACCGGTACCATAAAGCCAGAAGCAGTGGAATAGCGATGGCCAAAACTAACGTAGCGTTTATACCCGGCTGCTCGGATGTCGTCGTTGTCGGATCGGAACTCACATTGATTTTTGTCATTTCTGATACCTGCTAACAATTTTCTGCATGCAAAACTGGTCAAGACCAACGTACAATAGTCAATTAAATGGTTGAGTAACTGCAAAACAACTGCAGCTAAGTTGTAAAACTCAAAAGGCGGCTCGCGACGCAGGTCCAGGGTAGAAGTACTTCACTTGTTGCTTATGGTAAATTACTTTGCCCACGTTTCTATAATCAGTATGTCATGCCTATCTTGGGAATTCGGTGCGCAGTACAAATACCTTACTTGTTAGTTATCACAGTTTATCTTGAAATGGCCAGATAATGACATAACAATAACACTTAAAGACGTTAATTATTCGCAAATCCGGGATTAAAAACAGAAGCGTGCCGTAGCAGCAGAACTGCACGTGCCATATAAATACAGAGTACTGTATTTCCCAGTACATTATTTCCCAGTCTTCCCAGTTGTACTACACCAACTGGGAAGACTACACCTTAACTATAGTTTCACCTTCGCCCCAGGCAGACAGTTCGATACCTGTAGTTTTACTTTCACAATATTACATACGCGGTTCTTCGGCAGCTGACAAAATTTGACTAACCTGTTGCACTCATACCGCATATAATGTACCATACGCTTAACTGTGAATTCAGCCTGTGATGCAATAAGAGCAAAATTGCTTATGATAATTATGCAGTGTAACATACTTGATCATGACGTACAGTATCTATATTCAACACTGCATAATGTTGTTTTTATCGAGCTTTGCCGATACCGATAGTTCCCATCCGATTGCTAAAGCAATCTACGTAGTTGTTATAATCTACACGCGCCTTAGTTATCTACTCTATCCTATTATTGTCAGAACTGAACGCTCAACAATTGCCAATGAACAAGAGGCACAATGGAGGCAACCGAAAGATCAAGCAACTATAAACAATAAGAATTTAATAACTTCGAATTGCGGTATACAAGAAAGAATGGATCGGGTAGAAAACTAGCGCCTTCAAATTTGTTGTGCAGAGACAGCAGAGTAAGTAAGTAATTAAAAAACATCCTACAATTCTGTCAGATGATTCCGCTTTTTAAATTGCTCAGTATTACGGTGCAAACAAGTACGAGTACTATTGTCCTGTCATCCCTCATCTGTTTTGGTACTTCAGTTTGTACTTGTACTGCGGTACTTATTAAAGTCATTAATTTAGTGTTCAACCAATACTATTCCTGCTCATGGTACATCTCCAGCTGTCTGCCAGCAGTAACATTATTCATTAATTACAAAATAGTCTGAAAAAGCCAGTAAGATATCACCCGGCCTTGTCCGGCAAGTATGCATGCAGTGTGACCATGTATTGCAGCTTATAAGTGGTGTCACTTTTAACCACTTGTTGAACACACGGCAAATCCACTTATTTGTCGACAGCAAATCCACTTATTTTATTCGTATAATTAAATATTCCGAGAAGACCAATAATATATTTACTAGACAAAAATACAAATGCCACCGATACACGATAAACAAACATACGATAGTCTGATCTGAAGGTATGCAAAAGCAGTCTCGAGTGTAAACACTTTTTTAACTACACCCAACTCATGGCCCGGCACTGATGCTTGGAATGTATAAAAAAATTCCTCAATAAACGAATAACGACCACCTGGAAGATTCTGAACACCTAATATCGATGCTTCCGTTAACAACACCAGTTGGATAAACGAACCTAACGGGGTATTCACACCACTTCGAAAAAGACCTCCCATCAAGTCCGTAAACTCAAGGAACTTCTAAGCACCACAAAGGACGCCGGTGAAATGCTGCATATTTATTTAATACGAGATCTGACCCTGGTGCTCCAATCCCAAAATTTTTAAGAATTCAGAAAGTACCACAGGGGATTAATGCAAACTGGACTCAAGAGTCTCGTTTTCCACCCACGCAGGATCAATCAGAATAATTTTAATACCATTGCTTGGAAACAACACTTCTCTCGTAACATTTTTTTAACAAGTGAAATGCAAAATCTGATGTCAGCAGAAGCACTGTAAAGAGGGAGTGCAACACAGAATTCAGAATCCACAAACAATCTGGGCATATAATAACAAAAAAAGAACCAAGTTTTAGCAGCAAAAAAAAGGAAACAGAAGTCCAGGATCATAATAATGCAATCGACAAACTGTGTCAAAAGTAGCTGATTTTACCACAACTGCCAACTAACCCATACAATGAAAACGCGACGTCGATGAGCGATCCATCCATTAAAGGCGATATAAATTCCGGTAAATCCGAAACGCTAATGGAGTACCTGATGATTATCATCCACAAATTGACAGCTGAAAAGCAAAATTTTACCATTACAACAGATTCAAATACATATTTTCCTACACTGAAAAAGAAACAGTCATGGTCGTGTCCACTATTTAGCAAAAACTGCTTCGTTTGCTGCTGGACTGATGAGAACCAAACAAACTTGCACAAAACGCGAACAAACATTGCAGGAACTTGAACGAAGTGGAAATAAGCGACGAAAATACGATTTAGCAACGTTTACCGTTTGCAACTAGAAGTTCCCGTTTCAGATAGGAACGAACGATTATTTTTTAGGGCAAGTCAATCTCACCTTATTTTTTATAAGTTTCCTGTTTCAGAAAAGCCGTAGGCTTTTCATTAGTGGCCTTCGTGGATGTCCCAGTCGATACATCGAATCCCAGAATCGCGGATTCTTTTCCAGGTAAAACCTATAAAAAGCGAAAGTCTGGAAACATTTTTGGATGTGTTATAAAGCTCGCAGGCTGCTTCTAGCATACTAAATCTGTACTAAATAAATAAAATATTTATAATTTATTGGCAACCAAATAACAAAAATGCAAGCGCTGGTGCACTACTCGATAGTAAAATTTTAAACATTAACAACCAAATTCTGTCGTCTCTCGGGTTAAAAGGTAAAGTACAGTACGAGTACTCAAAAGTGCCGTAGCATTTCTTTTAACAACAGCAAGACTAAAAGGCTGCTTGTAAAAAGCAGTAGAACGCGTTTCGCCAGTCTAATCCCGAATTTTGCGACCTATAAAATGTACCAGTTCACTTGAAACCACAAAGTAATGCAAACACCAGTCTTGACCAAAAGAGCAATCTGCCCTTCCCGGTACGGTCACGACAGACAGTAGGGCGAACCAGCACTGAATGGGACTTACGTCTGGAAAAAAAACCCCCGCTCGCTCATCAAGAACCATCCCCTTGAATCCTTTAACAATCCCCTCAATGTTTTCCGTAGTAAAAATAGTATCATTGGTCAGCTGATTACGCGGATCTTCACAAGGTCGATTACGCCAGTATTCACCAGACCGACCACATTCTAAATCATCATAAGTCCATTTGCGATGAGCTTCACAGTGTGTTGAATTTAATCTGGGAAAAAAACGAGAACACTGGCAAATCAGCTCGCTCTAAGCGCAAAATCTCTTAAAGCGGCGAAGTAAATTAGAAATAATCGATGTGAATCAAAACGAAAATAAGGTCACGGGCAAAATTTTTTTTAAATATATACGTATTGCATAAAGTATTTTAAGTATGTACGACAATAATAAACGAAATCTGTAAATTGTTACATTTTATTTTCGATGTCCAAGAGAAACGCGTCAGGAATTTTCTCCGCATGACCAAACAGACAGAACCACCACCGCTGTCGATCTGCTACTAAAGTAGTATCCCAACTGCACAGGACGCGGTGTTCCTGTAGACATCCAACTAAACGGCTGGGATAAACTGCAAAAAATACAACAAAATAAGGCAATATACCAGACTGTCAGATAATAACCTAGTCAATAAATTTTGTAACAAGTACTTACATGCTGACGGGTATCTCGACTGGTCACGTACGACAATACAAATCAAATGATATCCAAAACAATGGTTCCCTATATTAAAGTAAAAACCATCAATTTCATTCAATGCAGAAAGGTTAACTGCGAAAAATACTGGTGAAAAGCAACTATGTGTTAAATGCCGAGATTAGCTGTAAATAAAATTAAAAGTCGGGAAACGATACTGCAGAATTGAGATTCTAATGACACGTACTGACCTTTCCCTTGGCTACCGTCACCACGTACACGTGAACTGACGGGAATCGGAACGTTCCCTTTTGTTTTGGGACCTGTTGTGGTGGGTTTCTTCCGAAGATCATCACGCTCCGTTGGCCGTTCTGGAGGAACGTAGTTCACTGGTCGTGGGCGAGATTCTATAACAGAAAACATTAATAAAATTCGATTAGCGCAAGTGTAGAACTCTAGCCCTTTTGATAAAGATTAAATGCTAAGATTTACAATTACACTAACTATTCAATTTACATTATTCAATTAAATCATTATTTAAATGCTAAGAATATTCAGTTAAATAATGAAAAATTTCTAGTGTTGATTGCCGAGGTGGAAACGAAAGTACAATTGAAATTCTAGTGGCTGACCTTGCCCTTCTCCGCTTTCTCCTCCGCGTGCTGGCCGCTCCCCACGGTCGCCATCTCCTCCCCGGGGCGGTCGCTCGCTACGGTCGTCATGCTCGTTGTGGCCCGAACGGAAATCACTCCGATCCTCATCACGGTTGCCACGGAAACCACCCTGTTCGCGATCTCCCCGATTCTGCTGGCGACCGCCGCGGTCCTCTGAATTTCTTTCGAAACGGGATCCCCCGCCCCGATTACCATCGTCCCGATTGCCAAAACGGCTGCGCGGCTGATCCGATCGATTGTCATCCGCATCGCCTCCGCCTTCCGCTGTGGTGTCCGACGACCCAACGCGAGATCCGAATCTACCTAAAAAAGTGAAACCAAATCATCGTTACTTTTGACAACTGCCGAAATGAGCAATGTGTTCATTGTATATGGGTCCTTCGTTCGTATACTCATGTTTGCGCTCCGGAGAGTAAAACTGCAAAATGATGATCACTTAATTGATTGAATAATCTGTATTGCACAAAAGAGCAGATAGAACTGTAGAGCACACAGAAAACTGAAATATAAAAAGTGGGGACTTCCGTGTTTGGGAAATCAAGAGATCAACAACCGGAGCTGAAAAACGAAAAACGAAATTCTGACAAAGCAAAATTTTCGAACCGAAAGGGCACCGCTGTCAGTTGGCCAGTCTTTCCACTCTACTCTTGTCGAACTCGAGATCGATATCGAGTCGTCTACGTACAGCAATTATTAGAAGCGCGCCACACTACTGCTCAGCAAACTAAACGAATCTTTTCGTGGCGCGCCCTGGAAAAGCCCTGTTAACGAAGCCGAATGCCGATTTGCCCAGTGAGTGGAATGGGCTTTGCTATTCGACGTCAGTCGCGTCACCGTGGAAAAAATGCTTGGCAGCTCGGCAGACACCAGCTTCCTCTTATCTATTCGATCTCCTTTGTCTGCACTTCTCACTATCTCACTGTTTGCTTTTAGAGCTTTTTAGAGCTTCATTCTTCAAGTTTTTTCTCCCAGGTTCGGAATCGAAAAGTGTGTGCGTTTTCGAAGAAATTTTGTTATCATGATATCATTTATCTAAATTCGTGGCTTTACGCAACTTTTGTCAGGATTTGAGCATAGCTTGGTTTGTGCAGTTGGTACGATGCCTGTACAGCTGCGCCATGTTTCGGAGTTGGACAACAAGCGGTTTCTGGAGAATCTGCCCATTGCACCTCGACAACGGGAAGACGACGAACGGACGAAGGATTACGATCCAGGGCACCGTTTTGTCACCAATGGCGCCAAACGATCCAACGGGACCGGGTCATCGACGCCGAAAGGCGGCTATGCGCGTTTCATCGCGCTTACGGTGGAAAACGAGTGCCGACGCGGCGTGCGACCAGAGGATTACGGGAATGCCAGATATGGCAAAATGTGGCAAGTGGGTGATTCTATTGTATTTGCACTTCTACACATTACAACACATAGTCTCTATGCTGTACCTAATTAAAATTAAAATTTGATAAGAAGCATCGTAAGGTTAGCGAAATTTTGCCCCATGCTGGTGTTTTTTTCGGATATTTCGGTGAGTTTTGTCAGTTCATTACGAGATTGCTACTTTAATAGAAGTTATATCTATATTTATACGTTAAATTGTACTTGTTTTAGGAGTTTACTGCTTCTACACTACTGTACTAGCTAAATTCTACTTATATTTGAAGTTACTACTTGAATTCTCGTTGAAGGATTGCTGATTGTTGAATGTTTTTGTTGTGTTTTACTGTCCGAAAAATATTTACGTACCGGTTGTACCACTGCAGTCTTTATAATAATTTCCATTCGGCTAATTTTTGCTGTGAAATTTAAATTTTGGTATACTTCCATTTGTATTGTTGTTCCGTTTTGGTTAGCGTGCGTTTTGTACTTAAAATCACTGATTTTAAATAACCCGTTTGACAAATGCAGGGAATGAAGAGTGAAGAACGGGCAAAACTTAATTGCCACTCACCGGAAGATAGCGACACCGAGGATTTACCGGAAAGAAAGCCCGAAGAGATCCTTGCTGAAAATGTAGCAAAATGCGATGCTTTGGACGAGGTGCGAATGAAGGTCGGTCTGAAGGGGATGTCGGATCTGGACGCGATGGAGCTGTTCCACCCGTCTGCGCCGTCGGAACTACCGTATATTCGAGGCCGTTTTGCTGCGGAGGATGTGGGGACACTGCGAACGCTGTACATTCTTGAGCAAGCGGAGCAGAGGAATACGGAGGAAAAATGGATGGATCAGCTGGCGGAGCGATATTTACCGCACAGTAATGAACCGAAGATTTTACGTACATTTTGTAACTTATCAATACTTATTAATTTATTTTGGCGTTTTTCATTTGGTTTAATACGATTATCTTCCCGTTAACTTGCTATTCATAAACTAGTTATTCGTATTCTGAAGTTAAAATTTCGGAATTTTAGACGGAAAATAATTATTTAATGCGAATATGGTATTGTAGACTGCAGTGTCGAGCTCAAGTTTTTTACTTGTGTTCTATAAATTTGTGGTAGTTTAATCACTTTAATTTGTATTAATATTACTTGTGTATTTTTGGTTTTAGATTTCCTTTCTCAGTGTATTTTCATGTATTCCTTTGAGCAGTGACCCCAACCCTGTGAGGTGTGTGCATAATCCTCTGGAATTTTACTTGACTTCGTTTTCTCTGCAAAACGGATTGGATGATTGGGCCTATCATTCGTTTGTGCTGGCCGGCGACGCACTGGATTGGATGGCTTATCAAAAGAACAAAGACAACACACTGAAGGCGGATGAATTTAAACGGGCAGTCGAAAAGGCTAGTGAAGCCGCTTGGAAACAGGGTAGATAGTAGAGTCGAGTATACGAACAAGAATAGACAGTAAACATTTGGGAGTAAAATACAGTACCATGAATAGTTGTTAGGTGTTTTCAGTTTTTTTGTGAGTAACCGTTGCATTTAAGTCACATAAACTTTTTTTATTGAGTTGATTCAGTTTTTCGAAGAATATAAGAGGTTAGTGTGTTGTTTGTTGACTTTAATTCATTCATTTTTTTATTGACACAGCGCATTTTCACCATAACATCCTCTACGAAGGTTTCATTCCGTTTCATCCACGGTATGAACTGGACTGCATCGAACTGGATCGACAGTACGATGGTTGGGACATCGCCGCTCTCAAGAGCATAAATCGCAGCTGCAATTACGTAGAGATGTTCCAGACCATTACAGACTTATTACGCGACAGTGTCGGAACCGATGATGTGCCACCGTTAATTTTTACGTTACTAAAAGACTGTGAGATGGTGAAGGAGTGTTTTGTATGGCTGCGTGAAAGAGCTGTAGAACAAGCAGAGGACAGTAACATTCAGACAGGTACGTTTGTCACAAGTCAACGTAGCCTGGATTATTTCAGCAACGATAATTTTGGTTTATCTGAGGCTTATATTTCGAGAAATCGTACTCAATTCTGTAATGTATGTATCAAAATATCGCTAAATGAGTTACTGGAAGAAAAATTAATTAAGTCACGAGATTTTAGATGTCATATTGGATTCGCCATTGGTGTGTTCTCTGGAAAATCTACTGTGGCATATCTTTGGCTTACTCGGTATATCGTGTGACGGAAGACGATCGAAGAGGGATTGAATGCTGAGAACCTCAAGGAAACCTTTGGACTGCAACGGTGCGCCTTTAATTGAGCCAACACTAAGAAATGCCAATTAATTTAGATTCTCATCATTCTGCATAGGTATTTCTGCTTTTTATAGGTGCGCTTACCACGAAACTCGCCCTCCTGAAATTGTTTGTGCGCGTTCCAAGGCGCTGCTCACTGTGTAAGCAGAGTATCTGAGTATCTAGTTAATTATTGTTGTACATAACGTATCGACTTTTTACGTTCTAGAAAACACCGTGTATATCAATCTTTTCATAGTGTCAAAAATGCCGAAGGAATGCATCCATACTTTAATTTTTGATTCGACAATATACAGTTTATGAATTAAGTATGCCAGCTTAACCAAAATACAAAGTACAATATATTATGTAAACCATTAAACATAGTTTGGCTTGAGGATAGTATTATTGTACATTTTTACGCAGTCAGCGTCTTGTCTTTAGATTCAACGTGTTCCAGCTGATGAAGGACCAAGCAGGAATTAAGCTGTCTGCAAAACATCGTCCGGCGGATGTAGATGACGAGTGCAAGGAAGATATGGACGAAGTTAGTTCAGAAAGTGAAACATTGAGTCTAATTTTGCATGTTTGACGACATGGTGCTGTCGATTTCTGTCCTTGATGTCATTATAGCTTACTTCTTATGCTTTGTACAGTATTACGTAGTTATATTATTAAGGCTACTCTTTTGTTTCGATTGGTTTACATTCTTGTGTTATCCACATTTGCCACACTGTGATAACGTTCTTACGATCTCGCTATCGTTTTCTGTATTTTTGAAAGTCAGCCGACTTTGTAAACGTGAATCGTAACTGATTATGAAGTGAAGAAACCTGTATGAATAATAATAAATATTTTTTCGTAAGAATGCGTGCTTAAATTCGAATTCCGGCTTCCCTACAATGTCATGTACTCTGTAGTCTGTACTTTGTAACACGGATGGTGAGAATATTTTAGTGGCGCAGTTGAGTGAAATTCGATAAACAGATTCGTGAACAACAGAATGTTTTTTCTATTTTTGTTATTTCAAATACTCGTATTGGTACAAAATGGACTGCGATCGTACCGGTATAAATGCAATTTGTGCACCACAATGTGGTTCATCCAAAACGCACTGGTGGCTGTTCTTACACCAGACGCCAACGCGGTGTTCACTATTCAGTAAATCACGTTAGCATACCATAACGACTAAGAAACAAATAAGTTCCCACAGGGAATTAAAAGAAAACCTGTTACGATGTTACGGCTTGTTGGTTCGCAAGTCATTCGATTGATGAAGAAAGTCATTTCTACGTGTTTGGTGTAGTGGATAACGCTGATAACTATAAATAATTAGCGATTGCATAATATGAATGAGTTCAACAAGAACATAACTAATGCGATACAAAGTGCACATTGCAAGGAAAAAACGGCGAGTCGAAATTCTGCAGTTTTGTGTAGTAAAGGTGTGCTATGGAATGGTTTTTTAGCTGGGTCCTTATTTATAAATAATTACCTAGTGAGGATTACTAGAACACGGTCGAGATCTTCTTAATTATTGTGAGCTTGGAAGGATTGTACCGGTCAAGCGAAAGATGTTGTGGTACGTTGCCGGTGTGAGCGGGGGTTCACTAGCGTTCACGTCCGCGACGCTGCGCCAGCTGGATTACGTGTCTGTGTTGTGTCTCGCTCTGATTGGCTAGTGGGCGCGGCTTAGCACGTGCTGCACAGTGTTACACACTGTTGAATTGGCTCTAGGTTTTGCGATCGAGCTGCGCCGATCACTTGTTGATTATCTGGTCTCCAGACTTTTCAATATTAAAAAGTCAGCGATTTACGGTGCGACGTTTGTGTTTCCGCATAGCTCGCGATCCAGATCGTATCGCTCGCTTCCACAGGATAGATTCTGTTTCTGTCTCTGTCTCTGGATCCATTCTGGATCTAGCATTAGATGGTAGCAGAGCCGACAGCG